TGAGAGACCCGTGTTGTGACTGCCGCTTGGGAATGTTTGCCAGATGCCGCCGGGTTTCTTCTTCTGAGATAGTATACCTTGGGTTGATACACAGGGTGTCACCGAAGCCTGGGGCTCTCGATGAATGTCTGCAGCTAGAATCAATCTTTCTGGAGGAGGCTCTGGACCACCATGATCCCTGCATTAGTCCTACTACTAGGCCTAAGGACCCATAAGCCCCTGGCGTTCCCCTGGAGTCTGTTGAATCGGCTAAGTAACATACGCTGGCCTGTTGTGGTTTGAGATGAAGAGCGAAACCCTAATTCCCGACTCCTTTCAGAGACCAGTGTTGCGGCTTCCGTTTGGGGATGTTTGTCAGCTGCCGCTATGTTTCTTCTTCCATGATACTATACCCCTATACCCTGGCTTGGTATAATGCGTGCTATGGAGGCTCGGGGCTCCCGACGAACCTTTGCAACTACAATCAGCCATTTTCACGAGGCTCCGGACCACCGTAATCCCTGGGATGACCTCTCCCGGCACCTCCTCAGGCCGCCTCTCCGATGCCGGTCTTTGGGACGTTGCTTGCTTGCTTCGACGCTGTCTTGCGAAAGAGCAAGCAAGCAACGACCCAAACACGAGAAGAATGTGCGTGTGTGTAAAAAAAGCCAAGTCTTCAGGAAGATTTTAAGATGTGCCATGGCTGATCAGAGACCAGTCAGTCACCTGTGACTCTGTCCTCATTCGCAGCTCTATTATTGTGAAGTCAGTGAAGCTTCTTGCAATAACGCCATTTTCCGCAGCTGGTGTTTCCGCTGGTACAGTGAGGACGATGTGAGGCGTTCCACCCTTCATAACTTGAGAGGCAGGAATGCCAAGGACGAGTGGCCAGTTCTTGGCCAGGCACATTTCCATATATATAATATATATATATATATATATATATATATATATATATATGTATAGTATCCATATATTATGCATTTGCCAATCCCTCTGACAAGTTGCCACTTGACCTGTTGAGTCAGGCTCTGAGCCCTCACGCTAGGCGGATCTTGATTAAGCGTTCCCACACACAGGGCATAGAGTGAACTACATCGAGTCAAGTGTATGGTACAAAGATGACTCCACGACTCCGTGACTCTATCTCACTACAACTCTATGACTTTATGACTCATGACCCATGGACTCTATGACTCTTGATTCTGTGACTTTACGATCCTATACACTGACTCTATCTCACTACGACTCTATGACGCTATGTCACTGCAACTCTATGACTTTATGACTCATGACTCATGGACTCTATGACTCTTGATTCTGTGACTTTACGATCCTATACACTGGATCTATCACATAGCCCCACACTCTTCGCTGATGATGCTTTCGGGCCAATTGTCTTCTAGTGGTGCCAGTGAGCTCTGCAGCTCGTTCAGGACTCAGAATTTTGGACTTGGAGCGGTAGCTCACGACTTCGCCGACTTCATTATGGCAAGTTGGGAAGGAGAATCGCTTTGCGAGTAGACAGGTGAAGCTGTCGGATAGTGCAGTGGCCTTTGCGCGTATCCGTGCAATCCCTTCCCTCCTTCCCTCTTGGGACTCGTCTGATGGCCGTTTGGAGAAATTTCAGCCTTGCATCTCTTAGTGTTCGGGAAATGAGCAAGCTTCCATGTAGCAGAGAAAACATGAGTCTCACACTTACAACCGCGGCACACAGCGACCCATGTGACCACGACCTCATCCATTCCGTGACATCGACAGAGAGTGAAAGACGGATATGGCTTGTCGAGGGAAGCCCAATAATAAAGTTCAATACTTGGCCAAAGCCTTAAACTGCGAACCTTGAGCTCTAGATTCTCCCCGGGCTTGGAGTGAAAAATCTACCCTCCAGTCGTTCCCGAAGTCTTAAAGGCACTCATTGAAAGACGTTAAACCTGCAACGCCTAAACCGCACACCCTGCTCGCCCTTAATCCTCAACTGCAAATCCTGGACCCGAAGCCTTTGTAACAAGCAATGCACTAGCATGCCACTGCATTTGTCGAACCTATAAATCCTACATAAACCCTATAGAAGCAGCCCTTACCCTGTAGAACCCCGTCTAGAACCCTTATAGAGCCTGTAGAGCCCCTACCGAACTTATATGAACTGTTGTATAAAACTCTAGAGCCTTCTTTACGGTCTGAAGGCCCCATTACGGAACCCTTCTTGTATAGACCCGATTACGGCCCCAAGACACCCTCTTTTGCGCTCTTCCGAGGCTCAGGAGTTCGGCTTTGAGTCGCGCATCAGTGCGCTGGAGAAAGCGCCGCAATCCCAGAGACGGTGTAGTTTAGGCCTTCAAGGGGTTTGGGGTTTTGGGGTTGGAATGGTTCAAGTTTTTGGGTTTCGGCTTTTTGGAGTTGGAGCGGTTGGAGGTTTGGGGTTCAGGGCGTAGGATTTGAGGGTTCCGGGTTGAGCGTGAGGAATAGAGGTTTAGGGTTCAGGGCCTTTGGGGCATTCTGGTTTTGGGTTTAGGACTTATGGGCTGGAGATGTTGGGATAGGAGGGCAAGGCCCAGCCCATCACTTCGCAAGAAGTACTCCCCCCATTCTGCAGCTAGCTGCAAGCAATACCTGTTGCTTGATCTATTCGGTTTCGAGGGCTGCGCTTTTCCCGGTGCTGGGCTGGCACAAGTAAGTACGTGGATTGAGTCGCTGCAAGCCAAATGCAAAGAAAGTAGGCAGCGCACGTTCGAGCAACTTTACCAGCTATGTGCCTCTATCCCCAAGCACGCGGAGCACTCCTTTATTAACACTACTATTTGAAGCTTGCAATGTCTTGATACAAGCAACCTCTAAACTAATCTAAACCATTCCTTCTTGTAAATTCGTCTGACCTCTGAACAACCCCCCAACCGCCCAAACCCTGGGGTTTGGGATGTTTACTTGATAACAAGGTAGGGCAACACGTCCTTTGGTACTTGCAGCTTCGTGGCAACTATAGGGTTGGTGATGGACACCACGGTTCTTACCTTTGGTTAGTAGGGAATGGAGGAATGGGGTAAAATTCTAACTACTATTACTACCATTCTTCCATTCCCTACTAACCAATATAAGGGTTGGGGAAAAATGTCACGTCGTCCCCAAGCCCAGTCACGCCCTAAGCGCACGCCCTTAGCGCCTGCAGGCTTTTGCAGATATTTCGGGGAGACCCTAAGCTCCGAAACCATAGAGTAAGAGTGCACTAAAGGGTTCCGAAGAGGACATCTTGATGACAAGAACATCGATGTAATAGTTGATTATGCTTTTTTGATATTTACATACCCCACCAGTATTATCAATATTCTTTCTTAGTCGTATCACAATGATGTTAAGAGCAGCGACACCAAGGCAGGTGATGCTGCAGCAGAGCGTCGCACTCAAAGCTGAGGCTGGAGGTCGCTCCCAGCGAGTCTCTCTTTTGATGTTGACTCTTGATAGCCCTTTAAGGTTCCCTTTAAGGGTTCCTATGAAGGGTCAATAAAGCCCCAAGCCGTAGCTCGAGCTCAGCACTGTAGTTGATGGTGGTGTGCGGCTGTTGTAAAGCTGATTCTTCTCGCAGTTCTGAAGGCTTTTTAACAGAACATTCGACCAACCAACTCAAACGCACTCACGTAAAGCGGCCCCAAATTTTGCACCCTGCAAAGCGGCCTCATCCTAGCTAAGTGGGAGGAACCAGTACCCGCCGAGCCTAAACCCGAGTGAGACCTCGCCTGGCTTTCCCGAGTTGCGAAAGCATAAACCCTGAACCCCGGAGTAAGCTGATGTGCCACCGCCGCAGGTTTTGCAGGCCTTGAGCCGGACTTTGAACTCCGGTAGCCCTAGAACCTAGACAAAAACCCTTTTCAAGTTCGAACACCTTGCAAGCTTCAATCATCCCCAAACCTTTGTTGAAGCCACAGCCCTGTAAAACTACAACCCCCGAACCCAACACAAGACATGCCCTGAAAAGCCTCGACCCCAACCCTGAACTGCAAAAACAAAACCATGACTATAATTCCTGAGCCCTACCCGAAACCTTAAACCCCGCCCCCAAACTTCAAGTTGACACCCTGAACGCCTGACACTGCCAGATTAACTCCCCCAAGAGTAACCTTAAACCTTATAAAACTTACGCCCAAAGCTCAAAACCCCTAAACCCTAAAACCCTAAACCCTAAACCACTAAACCCTAAAGCCCTAAACCCTAAAGCCCTAAAGCCCTAAAGCCCTAAACCCCAAAGCTCAAAACCTCGGAACCGGTGCCATGGCCCGGTTCCTCCAGCGCGGCGATGCTCAAACGTTTCCTGGCGGCGTTGCGTTTTTGTTCTTTTTATCTCGTGTTCCTTAGGTACGGCCCCCTTTTAGTAAGAGTCTAAAATGGGGCTACTATTAAGGTCCTAATATTTCTATATTATGAATATTATTCAACTATTACTGAGTGGGGGCCGTACCTAACGTGTTCCTGTTACTGGTGCTTTCTTTGTTGTCAGCCACGAGCAGGTACACCTCACCCGGTTCGTTAAGCTAAGCGTTCGTTTTTCGTCAGCATGAGGGTTGAGGCTTAAGGGGATGTACTGGGCTTGGAACTCGGAATAGGGTTTTAAAGGTTTCAATGGTTCTGTGACTCCGTGGGGGTTTTGCCAAGAGCTGTGAAGCCTTCGCAGAGCTACCCATATCGTGACTTTGTTCATAAGCATCTTAGCCGGAATAACATTGAGTAAAAGCGAGGCGAACGTTCAACTGCACACTGCAGATTGAGATAGGGGCCTGACTAACTTGTAACTAGAATACAGGGAATTTCGGTATGTTACCAAAGTATATCTTTGTGCGGACTCCACAGACTACGGAACACTGAAATCCAGCCTCAACGTCGGCCCAAGCACCCGCAAGACAAAGCCGGACGTCCTAAAACCGAGATGGCCCGAATCCAGACTCAACCCCGGGGCCCAGATGGAAACTGCTCAAACCCGAAACCCCTGAATCCCTGTTCTCCTCCGTCCCAGCGTTCCTGAAGCATCCGAGGCAAGCGCAGCCCGGTCCCCCAGATGTGAGCGATCATATTGGCCTAGATGTCAACTACTGAGTGTTTCGGGCTTGTAGCTTTATACATACGGTAATACGGTTTTGATGTAAACGTTTTGGGTTTTGCCATTGGGCTGCTATCTGTGCGGCCGTGGCCGTAGAGCAGCCGATAACATGTCGCATCATTCTCAGACTTGGGGTTGAAAGTATCGGCAAGTCCTACCGCTGCTACTGCCACCGCCACTGCCACTGCCACCACCTCTTCGTGAAATGATGCAAGTGGTTCAAGTGGTGCAAGTGGTCCAAGTGGTGCAAGAGGTTCAAGCGGTACAACTGGTTTTTGGGCAAGCTGCAAGATTTGCGCTTCAATTTGGCCCCCCTTGAAAAAAGCAAGACTAGCAAGAGAGAATGGTGCCTTGTAGCCTGGAGTTCTCGTGTTGTACGGAAGTTCCCACAAACCTCGCCTGCTTGCCGAGAGCGAGTGACAAAAAAAAGATTGACTCGTAATTACGTTCTTGGTCGGATATCGGACCTCTTTCGCCCTGTCACTGTACTACTCGTACGACTACTACTGCTGCTGCTGCTGCTACTACGACTACGACTACGACGACGACGACGACAACGACGACTACTACTACTACTACTACTGCTACTGCTACTACCGCTACCGCTACCGCTACCGCTACCGCTACCGCTACCGCTACCGCTACTGCTACTGCTACTGCTACTGCTACTGCTACTGCTACTGCTACTGCTACTGCTACGACGACCACGACGACGACGACGACGGCGGCGACGACGACGACTACTACTACTGCTACTACTCCTACTACTACTACTACTACTACTACTCCTACTACTCCTACTACTACTACTACTACTACTACTACTACTACTACTACTACTACTACTACTACTACTACTACTACTACTACTACTACTACTACTACTACTACTACTACTGGGCATCTGCTCTTTCTTCCACAGTCCACGGCTACGACAGGACCGCCTATAGCAATGAGCATCAGCATTTGCAGTAGAACATGTTTGGAAGGTCTCGGAATGGACACACTCGGAAACATGTGTTTTCGCTGCTTGGGTTTGCTGTTGGCTGCAAGGCACACCAGAAGCTGCAGATGAGGAGGCCGCCGGACTAATTAACACTGTCTGCCTTTTCGAAGAACCAGCGGATACCAGCGGCTGGGGTTCAGGGTTGAATGTTTGAGTTTGCGATAGTTTGCGGTTTCAACACTTGGAGATGATATGGCGGCTTGGGTGTCGTGCGTTTGGGACGTACAATGCAGAATGGTGTCCAGGGGTGAACTTACACAGCACACATACACCGCTCCTTAAACTAAAATAGAGTTCCCTTGTTGTGCTGTTGCTGCAACGAGGTTCTGAGTATGAGAAGGCCGCGGGCTTTCGGCTCCAGGGTTTGGAGCATAGGGTCTTAGGGGCCCCAAAAGCACATAAGCATAAGCATTTTATAGGGATATCCCTACCTTATTGGGCTTCATTATAAGGGGCTCTGTATGGGATATCCCTATCCTAATTTTTGCTTATGTGCTTTTTTGGGGCCCTAGGATTCAGCTTTCGGGAGTTTAGGGTGTGGTTGTATTTGTCCGCTCGAGAACCTTTCAAATTCTTGACCAGGACTCTGCGAAGCTTCGACGGGGTAGTGATTTCGCCGAGGACGCCCGGCTTTTCGGATCTAGAGTTTAAGGGTTCATAAGGCCTAGGGTGAAATATCTGTGTGTCGACTTGGGCATGGAAATTTCAGAAGACCAGCGGCTCTGCCTACAATTCGTCTCCATTGCAACTTCATTTTTCGTGAACCAAGTTCATAGAGCTTGAAGCTACAATAGAAGGCAAGGCAACCAAGAAAGCGAACTACAATGGACACTAGTCAGCACTCGCACACTGACCGCCTGACGTCAGGAACCCCCTGACTAGGGTCCCTAGCGCGTTACAGATTAGCTTTGGGGGTTCAGAATGAAAGCTTCAGGGCTTCAGCTTCTTATTTTACTTTTCGTGTTGCTTCGCAGCATTTCGCCCAGGCAGCAATTTACAGCCAACCGTAGTTCAGCCCCATCTCATTGTCAATTCAGAACATAAACCTGAACCCGAAAGCTCTCAGGTTCTCCGAACCTTGCTATTTGTATAAGGGTTATTGTACTGTGGTTGTCGGCCTCGGGGAGGGAGGCAAGCTTCAAAGCCGTCAAACTAACCATATTTTCCCTGGTAGTAACCCTTGCAGAAACCCACGTCGCACCTTAATTATCATGAACCATGTTACAATACTTAAAGCCCTCCAGTCGAGCCATGCAGGAGCCAAAATGAATCTTAGAGCAACCCTTCAGAACTCTTGACTGGAGGATGCCTATGGAGAACTTTGCGAGGTCGAAGATGACGAGGCGAAGACTGGATTTGTTGATTAGGGCTGCCGTAAGGAATTAGGGCAATTAGGTTCGAGGGATTGAGGGTTTAGGGTTTCGAGACTGCAGTAGGGATTTCGGTGCATTTGAGGTTTGTAGTGTGTGCCGATCTCTTAAGTTGAGGGGCTCGGGCATTTTTCTCGGTGTGATGGTTCAGGGTTTATGGGTTGGGGTTTAGGGGATAGTATCTTCGACACACTTGTTGTCTCTTTGGGGCCGTGTCCGTTGCAGACCAGTTGTGGGGCGTCTACTCCTTGCACACCTGTGCCCGCAGAGACCTCATGAGGCCGCTCAAGCGTGCCACCTCTCACCGCCTTGTGCCTCCAACCTGCCCAGCAGCCGAAACTCAGGGTCCTAGATGACATAAATAGTTTTGCAGCTGCGGTCCCTAGAATCCTAGAAGCAAGAATTGAAGCAGCGCACGAATTCTCAGTAAGATGAAGTTCAACCTTTGGAAACTTGGACCGCGTTGTTCTGCATTCCATCGGAGTACATACGTCAGATTGTGAACCAATTTGATGGACTTGCTGTCAAAACTCCAACACTTCGAGTCAACAAACAACCCTATAGAACCCGCAGCCCCCAAAACCCCAAAACCAAGGTGACACTGAGCCAAAACAGTCAGAAGGCTCTGACGGCCGAAACCCCTCAGGAAGGGGCCTGGATAATTAGAATAAGGTGGTGGGTAGTACGGTACCATTATAAAGAGCCCCCAAAAGCAATATTGATGATAGTTTATGCCCCGATATTAGGCCCGTAAGTCGAGAAACCTACACAAGCAAGCAACTCCGACCCTAGCCAACCCTAGACTCTGCATGGGTAGTTCTCTGAATTAGGGTCCCCGAATATAATACGGCACCCAATGACCCAATGCCTGTTTTCGAGAACTACCCGTGTATTGCTGGAGGATCCCCAACCTCCCCAGCCATCGTCCAGCAGCCGACGCGGAGCCAAGGCCGCGGGTTTCCTCAGGTGGCTCTTTTTGGGTAGTCCTCCAACTGGGGATCCTTTTAGGCTACTTTGAGACAAGGGGGCCGTACTATTTTAGGGACGAAAAAGTATCCAAATTTAGAGAGCTAGCCTGATTGGGATGCATGGTTTGCAGAAGCTCGCGGGCCCTGCAACACTTCCCAACAGAAACATAGGAATCAATAAACTTTGCTAGGCTTTGTAGGTCTGTTGGCCTCGAGGCATTATCCATCGTGAGGAATATGCCATAATCCAATTCCATGGTCTGCATAGTAGCCGGGTAGTGAAACGGTACAAGAGAACATTCTGGGGACCCAGGAACTCAACAAGTATAGAGCTGAAGCGAAGCTTCAGTATTAAGCAGGTCTATTTCCGTCCTGAACTCGATATAGCTACACTATAAGATATGCCCAAGCCATACGCGTGAACTATGTAAAGTAATGCAACACTTTGTCCATCCACCAAAGTTGTGGCAATTGCAGGCTTGCGGGACTGCGGGTAGTCACCAGTCACCACAGATGTTAACCCGGAGTCTGCCAGCAAAAGCTACAAGCAAGCATATGGGCCGAGCATTAACTGCTATTCATTTAAGGGTTTGGGATTCAGGGCATCTAGGAAACCACGCCCTTCGTGATGTCCTTAAGGCTGAGCAGGTTCAGGGTTCCAGGAAGTGTGGGAATGTTGGCTTCGCTCATGATTGGTAGGCCCCGCTACTGCCGCTTTGATTGATTTCGCTGCTGTCCACTGCGTATGTGGGTGGATACTAAGTTATGTATGTACACAAACTTCGCCTGACTCTGTCGAGCGCGAGTGTCGAATACACTTGTGTATACGTGTGTGTGTGTGTGTGTGTGTGACAACCCGCATGGCGTTCGTTTCTTAGTCCATTACTATTGTCCTTCTCAAATGCGTGATGTCATGGCTATAGCTGTCGCAGTTTGATTCCGATCGTATGATGAACCTTAACCCCGACCTTTTTTACCCTCGTTCTCCTCGTGCCTCCCTAAGCAAGGTGTCCCTCGAGAAGCTCAGAGACATCAGACATGGAGCTCATGCGATCCTTTCGGCTGCTTGGCCTATAGTTTGTTTATTTGTAAGGTTGCGCAAGGCTTATACCAGGGTCTCATGGGGCTTCAGGGTCTTGCCGGTATTATGGTGCCAGGGGTTTGGGGCTGTTTTGCGTGGCTGCGGTGTAGGAGTCTGAATCTGACACCCAAAAGCAAGTCAACCCTCCACCCCAGTCCCGAAAGCACCCGAGGCCCAACCGTCAAAACCCTCCACAAGTCCTGAGTATGTGAACGCATTACGGATTTTAGGCAGACAGACGGAAACACCATTCAACATCAAACCATAACCCTCGGCCCCAAACCTTGTGAGTTTCCATCCGCCCTAAACTCCGTGCAGACAAATATGGGCGATTATCACCCAACAAGCCTTAACCTCAAAACTCGAGGTGGACTTCGCGCCAAGCTCTGCAGCAGTGGACTCTCGCGGTCAAAAGGCCCGACAGAGGGCCGAACCGCACATGTTATCAGGATGGTTGTGCTTTAGACCAGAGAGTTGTTGGTTTTGCATTATGTTTAGTGCTTCCGGCATAAGTAACCACTATAGGGTTCAGGTCTCTGGGGTTTCTTGCCTTTTGTAGACTTAAACTCGATGTCTGCGAGACATGTAAGGAAATTCCTGTACTTCTTGAAGGGAGTCGGCTGTCAGAGCTGCAGGGGGTTTGGGGATGACTTCGGAATTATAGCGAGCATGTGATTCAGGATTTCGGTCGGGGGCTTTAAGACTTAGCTTACGGGTTTGGGGCCGCAGAGTTTAGTACAGCATTATCCCCTGATTATCACCATTGTTCTTTAGTCGACCCCGAAAGCGACAGTCCAATTATTACAAGGCTCTGCATTACCAAGGTGGATTTTTGTTTCTTGGTCTCCCTCTCCGAAGCCACTCGGCGAAGGCGTGGAAGCTGATCACTGCCGGCCAAGATGGCAAGGCGCCGTCGTGTTTGTGAGCTAGGCTGTGAAAATACAGCTCAACTTAAGCCCCAGTCGTTGTACGGTTGAAGGTTTGCTTAGGGCTCTGGGTTGAGCTCTTGACGCGTTATGCCTGGAACCCTGCAACAGAAGTGTCATCTAGCGGCACCGACTATACCTAAAAGGGTAGAAGGCCGGAGCAGAGGGTGACCAGAGCCAGGGGCAACAGGGCCAAAGAAGTCAAGCACCAGAAGAGAGTGGACGTCCGGGGGAGTACGAGAACATCTGAATGGGCAATGACGGTTTAAGGCCTTCCGTGAATGCGGATTTCTGAAGAAGTCAAATGTAGATGCACTAACGCAAAAAATGCGTTAAAAAAAGGGGTAGAAGATCCCGAGATGGACGAGAAACCAGATCAAGCATGCGTTGCTTCAGGCACCGTGAAGGCCAACAACCTAAATCGCGGGAGCCCCTCCTGTCTGCCCTGAGGCTCGGTGGCTTAAGCCCGAAAACTCAGTAAATCTGCCATGTCTTTCCCAACCCACCTCGATGCCACGCCATTAAGCGAAATTCAGAAAATTAGGCTAATAGAGGAACCTTGCACTAAGCAGATCCTCTGTTCTGCTGCCTTGAGCCCGACAGCTCGATCGCAGAGTATGTGCCCTCCTCCCCGAAAAGTTTGCTGAGCCGGTTCGCCCAGCAACCCGGTCAAACCTGATCACCATTAAGCACGAAGCCAAAGAGCCCACTACCGTTTCATTAAGCAAACTACCAATAGAAACATGTACGCCATTGTGGATGTTCCTTGCACGATGAGCCCAGTAAACACTCAAGAACATTTACCCAGCCGGATCATATGCGTCATGCCAGTGGGGCCTATAAACCCTATTGAAAATCCTGTAGCCCCCCCATTGAAAACGCGCTATAGCCCCTGTTTAGCATATGCTCCGTTTGAGTGGAGCAGGTGAAGGTTTGGTCCGTGGCAATGACTCAGCCCTCCGCGCTTCCACGTCTCCTGGTGACCATGAGACACGAGGCACTGGAGCAATGGAATTTGGGATCACTACCCATAGGCCCCATAGTAGTTTCTTTTTGGGGGTTCATATGTGGAATCCTATAAAGAAATCCCAAAAAGGAACTACTATGGGGCCTGTAGGTAGCACGCATGCGCTCCTACAGCATGCATAAGGAGATGCGCATACGGTTGAGAATGCTAGCAGAAACTCCATGGTATAGCAGCCGTTGGACGAGTTTCGTGCCAGGCGCTGTTTCAGTCTACTTCCGGCAGTGTTTCCTTTAATCATTAATGAGTCCAAACGGCATTGACTGCACAAGTTCAGTCACGGGGACAGGTGGTACGTTCGACTTGCTCAGCATGAAAGCTGGAGCATTCAGAACGTCATGGGCCGAAGCCCGCAGAGCAAATGAATTAGCTTAAGGTGCTGCCTTTCGTGGGAGCAGACTTGGACAAGTCATTCCTACTTGAGCAGCAGTTTGCAAGCTCAAGCTGGGCATTTGGGTTGTTTTAATCTTGCGATTAACGTTTGTTCCGTGGCGTGATGGTTGCGGCAACATCACTTTGTGGCGGGAGGCGGTGGTTATAGTAGGTTGTGATACGTTTTGCCCACGGTGGGCCGGGGTTCTGCCAACTGATTGTTTAACGTACCCCCTCCCTGAACAGGAGTTGTAGCAGGGATTTTGTTAATTTTTAAGTAAGGTCCATCGAGAAGGATTAATTGAATCCGGGGTTAATTGTACGCTCAAGGCCTCCTGAACCTTTTAAGGCGCTGCATAGCCAGCAGATATATAGGGCCCGGATTTGCCAGGCCCCGGTCGCTTGCGCGCGCTGGTCTCCTGACGCGATGATGATCGCCTCTTGCGATGCCGAGGCGAATCCGAAGACAAGGGAACGCTAGCCTCTTCTCCCACCACAAGTAACGATGCATGTTTCGGAGTTTATACTATCCTTGAAATTAAACGGATCATCAACGCTCGGCGAGTTTATCCGCACTCCCACACTGTGTTGTCATGGTTCGGGGCCCAGGGAATTTAGCAGGGAGCTTAGACTATGGGCAGCTGGACGGCCCCAAGTCACTAAGCGCGACATCCACAGATGTACTGTCGACAATCCCATACCCAGAGAGCTCTGTGGCCATAAACAGCTGAAGTCGTACCTATCCCATACCTATATAACCTACGTACAAGATAATTGGTCCTTTAGGAAATGGCCCAAGGCGACACTCATGGTCTGGGCGCGTGGCCCAGGCCACGGCAATGTTGAGGTGGCGGCGGCGTGCATCGGCGAGGAAGCGAGTTTTTTTGATTCGGAAGACTTCGGCCGGGGGTTGTGCTACGGGTACCACTAGCAGCGAGTGTAAGACGTGTTCGGCTGAAACTCATTGCAGGACTTCGGGGAGGTCATGGCCCCTGGTTTCATTGTAAGCCTCCAGGAGCGATTCGGGGAGGGGTACCTACCTCGCAGCAGCATTCCTCCCTGACTTTTGGTTTGACAAGAGCGTCCGCGCCCTCATCCCACCCGAACCCAATTGTAGAAGTCTGATAGTTCAATCGTACATCTTTCCATGTCGTCTTCGCTTCTTACTTTTTTGGAAAACCCTCAGACTCATCATGTAAAGAGATTTTGGTCAGCTCCCGTCTTCTGACCGGGCACATGGCTTGAGCCTTCATGCGCAGGTTCCCTTAGTCCTACTACGGGGCGCTAGATCCCAACCCAGGTTTTCTCTGCTGTTTCTCAGGGCCCGGGTGAAACTCTACCTGCCGCCGCCAAGGCAACCGGGCGAAGTGGCGGAGTACTGGCATCGGAAGTGTGACCTGGACCCGTCTTTGTTCGAAAGCAGAGAAGGATGTAGAGCGCGCAGGGTCATCGCGTCCGCATCCTTTGGCGGCTTGCTACGCGATATGTCCAGGCTTCTGCTTTGTGGCCGAGATGGTTTGAGGTTATATGCCCAAAAGTCTTGGGCTGGGGTGCATCAGGCCTAGAGGGTCTACCTGCGCCTCTTTTGACATGGCTCCTTGCTTGTTGTACACTGTGTTCGCGCCGTGCAAGAATCCTTGTGGGTGTTGGAAGCGCGAACCCCAAAAGCCCTTCCCGGCATCCTCGTAGGACCAGGGATCAGCAAGTTGCACTCTGAGGTTTCTTGCCTGGCCATGAGGGCGAGATTTGTGACGCCTCTCGGCTGAGAGCTTATGTTCTGGATCGCAATCAAAACTCCTGTAGTTCAGGGCACTGTAAATAATGCAGGGTCCTGATCGAATAGTCAGGTGCCGAAACAGGGAATGCATGGCCCGTTTACCCGAAACGCTCAACCTTAAGGCCTAAACGCCCCGTGACAAGCCGCGTTGGTTAAAATGGCAGGATTATGCCCATGAATCAGGTTTCCTGGCATCCGAATCTTCACCCTGACTTTACACTGGCCTCGTGCTCACACGATGGGACGATCCGCTTGCGCCTCGATCTAGCAGCCCCATTGTTTCGGTTTAGGGTATCCGGTATCGGGTGATGGATGTGTGTGGGATTTAGGGCTTGGGGCCTAGGCGCTTCAGCCCGCATTCAGAAGGGTCTGTGCAAGACTAGAAAGGGCACAGGTGGTGTATATAGGGTTTTGGGTTTGCTGGGCTTGCTGCATGCTTTGAGGTTTAGGGTTCAGGATTTTGGGATTCTACAGTATAGGGCTTACGGGCGGAGAGGTTAGCATTTTAGAAGGATTGACTTGCGCTTCCGGATGACATTGTGGGTCTGCGTGGGAGGCTACCCTGCTGCAGTGAATTCAATTGATCGTGGCAGACTTCCTACGCAGTTCCGTGCTCGTACCGCCCTAGGCCCTAAACTTGGTTCCATGAAGAACTCAGTAGTGCACTGAGTAATTCATCTTCAGCCTGTGTGGGGTATTAGAACCCTATACCTTTGTAAACAGAAGGGTGAACCTGTAACTGCCCTGCAGGATCCTTCAAATCCCGCACGGAGCAGTATCATGGACCCCAAACTCCAAAACATACAGCGTGTCTTATACAGCCCTCCAAGTGGAAGCTGCTCAAATCCGCCCAAGCCCCCCAAAACTCATTTGAGGTGGAGCCTCCCCGCTGGCGAGCTGTGCCACTTCTGATCTAGGGCTCTGGATTTGAAAAGCTTTCAGGGTTTAGGCATTCGTCTGCAGGGGGTGGGGTTGGGGGAGTAAGGCTCCGTACCGAGCGAAATAGTATGAGCAGCATGAGCCGTGGAAATCACAGCTTTGTGAACGAATTGGGAGGTTCCTGGTCATGAAGACACAGGCTCCTAGCAAATGGAAACATCTTCGTGTGCAACCCTGGTGCACGCAGACACACGCACACATCATATGTATGTCAATGTGTGTAAAGCTGGTAGGCAGGGCAGGTAAGCAGGCAGGTAGGCAAGAAGGTAGGTGGGCAGGCAGGTGGGTAGGTCGGTGTGTGTGTGTGTGTAGGGTTGGGACTGCGAAAGCGGCCCTTCGTGCGACGTTTTCACTTCTTCAGTAAGGTGCACCGTGCTCCGTCTTCCCGGGGAAAGCGCTGGCTACGTCAAAGGTGTTGCCTTCGATCCGCTGGGTAGGTATCTGGTGCCTTGAGCCGCATCCAGGGCCCCCAGCCAGAATCTTGTCCAGCCCTGCATTTTTGGCTTAAGAGCTGAAGCTTCAGCCCTGAACCCTAGACTCAAATGCTAGATCGTACATACTCGGCAGGAGCTCATGCGAAGCCTGGCACATCAAAAAGCGATTCGTTGCTACAAACTTATTACTCTCTACATGAACGGTGAAAGGATCACGCTCAAGGCTTTTATCACGGTTCTTTGAGAGTGTTAAGGTTGTGCCGGGCTCACAGGCATTAAGGTACCGTGGTAGGAGTTCGGAAAGAACACCTGCACTCCTTGCAGGATGCAGGATCCTGCCTCACAATGCGAGTTTCAGCATTGCCGCATCAGTCTTGAACACAGTCGAGGCCACAATGAGCGATGGGACGGGTGTTCCTCTGCTGCAGAAGATAAAAGGATGAGGTCTGGAGGGTTAGCCAGAGTTACGAAGTTTGGGTTTGGCATTAGAAGGAAAATGAATGCCCAAAATAGCCAGGCTTTAAGAGATCCGGCAGTTTGAGTCTTCAAGTGTGTGGTGCAGGGCTGCAGTCCTAGCACCTATATACCCTCTCGAAAGCTTTCGGGTTGGCTGCATGGGGTGCATGCCAATCCTCGCAACGGCATTAGATACGTTCCCAGCTTTGATTGATGACCAGAGCCTGAACCTAATGGGGTACAAGGACTTCAAAGCCTCTAGGTTCTTTGAATGAGTGATTGGAACCTGAGATGCAGGGAGCAACTTAGAGACAGAAAGACAACTGCATCTGGAAGCTCATGCCTAGTACTATGTCGCTAAGGAAATCCAAGCTGCCAGGCCTCAAACCCTAAAGCCTAAACCCTAAACCCTAAACCCAAGTCTCACCCCTGGGACCTAGGAGCCCCTGCACTAATGTGCCCGAAGCCCCAGCCTTTTCGAACTCGCAGGCTTCCCCATGGCGGGGGGGGGGGGAGGTAAGAAGGGGTGTTCGCTTTGTGCTGTGAGCTTGATGCGGCTGGGCTACGCTGAAATTTCAGACGAACCTCCGAAACCCGGAAAAGCCTTGCAGGAGTTCGCAAGAAAGCCCTAACTAAGGCCCTAAACTCTAGAATTGAGCACAGCAAACGAAGCAGAGTAACGACAGGCCGCCAGCCGACCCCATGCCACGCTCTTCGAATGCCCGGATGCTGTGGGCGCCGGTCGCTCCGCCGACGGCTGGCGGCTCGTACCCCTGAGACGCTTGGGCCTACAGAATGGGCGGGTTTCAGAGGCCTTTCATTTAAGCATTTGGAACTTGAGGTTTGAGGCTTCAAACTGGTCTCCAGGATTCAGGCTCCCGAAGCACTGGTGCTGCGACTTTCGAATGCATTGAAACTTCTTCTCTGAACCCTTCACGACTTAACCGTATGACTCAACCATGCCCAGCCTCCAGAGCCTAAGCCGCCTTAGATCAATGATTTTGGAAGCGCGAACGGGCGCAATGGGATCGTTAAGGCAATCTTACAGAATCCGTATGCAACGCACTCCCTAGCCCTGTATGCTACTGCTGGTCTAAAACTCTGCAGTACCCAGCCTTAGATGCACCAGTTGTTTTTTGAAATTTCGTCGTTCTGTTTGCAACCGCGGCCTGATTCTCGCATTGCAAGAGTCGGACTAGGTGTTGCGAAGCCTTGCATGCCCTGGTCAATCTACAATCCTGCAGACTGTTTTAGCGAGGGAGAAGGTGCTGACAGAACAAACTGTAAACCCCAGATCATCTCAGAAGCTCTTAACAGATCCCTTATAGATCCTTTAAGGAGCTCTTAACAGATCCCTAGTAGATCCTTTAAGAAGCTCTTAACAGATCCCTTATAGATCCTTTAAGGAGTTCTTGAAGGAGCCCTGATAGAAGCCAAGATGGAGCGACTGTCCGAGGCCAGGAGCCCTGGGCGAAGCCAGGTCCGCTCATGGCCGCGGTGACTTGGGCGGTGTTTAGATATACAGTCACATAGAGCTATAAATATATATATATATATATATATATATGTATATATATATATATATATATATATATATTTATTTATTTATATTGTAATATATATATATATATATTTATACATACATACACTTATGTGTATATATACGGACATCTGCCAAAAGAACATCACATACACATCATCCACCCACACTTACATGGGATCAGTCATTCATACATGCATACATCTATGCATATGTGTACACATACATACATACGTACATACATACGTACAAATACATATATACATACATGCGTATATGCATATATATCTATATATGTATATAGCTGGGGGATCTCTCTGTGTTTCCACAGGAAGGTGCTAGACTACAAGAGAGCTGCTTCCGCCACATAGATCGGGGTGACGAACATGGTCTACAGATGGCTATTCTTAGTAATGATCCACGGACATGATTACAACCCTCCTGCACTTGTCTTGTCTTTGGCCTCTAACTCTGTCACCAAACCTTTAAGAACCCTGCAAGTCGGAGCCAGGTGAACTTTCGCCGGCCGAGCTGGGATCCACTGGGGCAATCTGTGGTCTTCCCATTCGGGGAAAGGAAGAATTGTGCCACTTGGCTGTTAGGGAGTTTTGGGCTACGGGTTTGAAATTGGGGTTTACAAGATTTTCCTATCAACTTAGCGTTTCAGGGCCTCAGCTTTGAGTGACAGACGATGTGTGTGCAAGCTCATTCCAGGAAAATGGCGGGCCCAAGACTTTATTGAAGGTCAACATGCAATACCAAAACTTGGTTGAATGGAGAGACAACCCCCAACAAGGCCTTCCTCCGCCCTAAGCTGATTTTGCCGAGGAGATCAGCACTGCCCGGTTCTATGCTGCACTCTTCGCTGAGCCGTGGAAGGTGGGGGCCTTTGGGAATTCACAGGCGTTCCGGGCTCACGATGGTCCGGTACAGCTCGTCTCCGTTTTGTTAGTTCATAATGATCGTATTGGTATGGTTCTGGATCTCAGTAAGCGGTTTTGGAAACAAGTCTGAATCCATTTGTCAATCACGTACAGCCGGCCCTACTCGCAGGAATTCGTCCTGCTGCTACTTACTTCTGCTTGTCCTACCACTACCACCATCACCACCACCACTACCGTCACCACCACCACCACTACCGTCACCACCACCACCACCACCACCACCACCACCACCACCACCACCACCACCACCACCACCACCACCACCACCACCACCACCACCACCACCACCACCACCACTCGCACGAACGAGTCCCCTAAAGCCCTCAAACCCTTAAGCCATCTTAGGCCCAAGGCTCGGAACCCCATTGCCCCTCGGGCCTGCGACGAGCGTTTCTCAGCATGTCCCAGTTGTGAGTGCTGAAAACTCTACTATATTACATCATAGAATACATATATATATATATACATATACACACACACATATATATATATATGTATTTGTTTATATATTTACATACTGTATTCAACTATATACTCTTTGTCTTGTGAAACCGAATGAGAGGCTCCGAAGCTGTACCGCGGGCACAAGAGCCAGATCTCCGTGGTTCAGTTTTCCCCTGCAGTGACCCTCGGCCTTTTCCTTGGCCTGTAAGACTTCGGATGTTAAGGGAAACTAGGTAACTAGGGACTATGCCCCGTGATGTCTGTTGGGATCGGGGGTTGCCCCAGAGTTCTTTCTTGTGGAACAAGTGGCAAGCCAAGCCCAGGTTAAAGACAACTGAATTATGGGGGGGTTCGGGGCTTTCTGTTCAGGAGTTGAGGGGTTTGGGGTCTTGTGCTAGTTAAGCATGTCGACTGCATCTCCAAAGTCAAACGAGTACCATGCGAAGGTCTTGTGACAAATGCTGGTAGGTTTTTGTAGTTCACACCAGACTTTCAAATAGTGCTCATGCCGCATCACAAGACTGGATGTGTCGTCGGCTGCACTTGGTGAACCGATGTCAGAGGATAGTCTCCGCAGACCTTTCTGTGAGGCAGCTCTGTGGGCCGAGCAAATGTATCTTCTGAGCTTATGTGTTTTATTCTACGCGTGGAGATCTTTATATCGGTTTCAGAGCTTGACAACACTCCCTACACCAAGATTCTCAGCTGCTGGTGCTCCTACTGCTGGAAGTCGTGGTAGATTAAACCCTTAGCCGTGGTGCTGCTACCTCCGCTCTTTGTCGAACCGGTCGGGTCTACAGCTGCCGAGGCATGGCAACAGCCAGAACCCAGAGCGTTTCGCACAGCACTGAAGTTCCTTCAGGCGAAGGGATGGCTTGGCTTGGGGCCGGGGTAAGGATTGGTGGCTTCCTTTGGAGGGGCAGAAGTGGGTGTTGAAGTAGTGAGGCGTTTATGGTATATCGCAAGCCCGTAACCTCCAAAAGGCTTCCGTGCAGGATTCAGCATGGGTTTGCGAGTCGAGCTTCGGGTTGTTACTGTGGACGGTGGATCTCGAGTCGTTACGGAGTGGACTTCTTTTCAACCCAGTCGAGGAAAGCTGGGTAATTGCCACCAGTCTCTGCTAGGGATCCCCACTGAAGTTATGATACGAGGCTCTCCAGTCTAAGTGCTCAGGGCTTCTATGTAACTGGGTTTGGGAGGGTCTTGTGCTTCACCAGTGTTCAAAGTTGGAGGCTTTCGTCGACTTTTCCCACTGTTCTGCGGGGCCTAAGCATGAAGGCCTGTAAAGCATAGAACGAACCCCTATAGCAACCCGTATTATCGAAGCCTTCCAGCGGCCCATATCTCGGTTTTTTATTTCCCCACCGCACAAAGGAACTGAAAGTCCAGTTGCTCATCCCTTTGGTGTCCGGAAACGAACGAATCTCTTGTTACTGCCCCCAGACGAATATCCTGCATTATCCGAGCCAGGCATAGATGTACCATAGTTTCTACAGTTCAGGATTCGATCATGCAGTTGCCACCTTCCATTCCTAGGAATGCCGCCGTGGTTCTGGCCCTTGCCGGAACGGATGCTGGGTCGTGGTTTCTTACAGTTTCTGTTTGGCATTACCCATCATCAAGATAGTCCCCAGAACCCTGAGTTATCCCTGGAGCCTGAACCCAAGCCCTAAACCCTAAAAGATCTTCAGACCGCCAAACCCGCCTGTAGTAAACAAGAGCTCAGGACGGAGTCCTGTCCATTTGGATCTCAAGCCTTCCTGTGCCGATTCTGGTGTGGAAGGATTTGGTCGATGAGAATTGTGCCTCGGCTAGCCATGGGGCTCCAATTACCTGCGATCTTTGCGATGTTGCTCCTCGATGTTTCGAAAACGTCACTGTAGCGGTCGGCATAACCTCCCCGCTGGAGTAGTACTTTTTAGGGTTCCCTGATTTTGAGTATACCAACCACCAAAGCCCGAGTCTTGCTAGTGAGGCCTTTGTTCAATGTCGTCGGTATAGCTCAGGGTTTGAAATCGCGCACATAGCTTGATCCATCAACTCTCTTCTCAGCATGTCCTTTGCACCTCGAGCATGACTGCTGTTTTTGTTACTTGAGCATTCATCAGAGAATTAATTCCACATTTGAGGGATTTAATGGAATCTGGCCTCTCGGAATGCTGCGAAAGACGGACCCCAACTTTTCAATGCCAGGCTTCATCACCGACCTATCTTGGACACCCGATGGGTCCGTGGCTTGGTGCGAGTAAACACCCCACTTCCTGGCGTTCTGTACACCAACGCGCTTGCGGCTTTGATCCCGAACCCTCAACCCTCACGCCAAGATGCAGAAACCGTAGACTCCGAGGCCTTACTCGTAGCCTCCATTGTCACTTGTACAAGTGTGTCACCTTCATGACACCCCTGACCAGAAATTTGTGAAGCATCGCGGCTTGCCTCAGGTCCTGTGCTTCTCCTCCAGCAGCTCGGTGTCTTTGAATGGCTTCTGTGTTATTCAACCTCCGCCACAGTGGGCTCCTTTCATGTCCTCACCGCACACACACACACACAGAAGTCAGATGCGAGATTGCATTGGTTCTTGAGGCTTCTAAACTCTTACAGCAAGCGGTTTGGAGAGCTCTAAACCTGCGCCTGAGGCGGTGGTGGAGTCGGTGCGCTTCTCCTCGCTTTCGACCAGCTGCCGCTTCCGGAGGGCACATGGTACCTGGGCCTTGAATCCGCCTTGAATCTGCCAAACCCTATAAGAGAGTTTCCGAAAATTAGGGGTGCCTTATTTTGGGGTCCTTATGATAAGGATCCTACTATTTAGGGTACTTACTATATTAGGGTCCCCTATTTTCGGAAACTCCCATAAGGCCTAAGTTCGAGCCCTTCGGTGCCTTTGAGGTTCATGTCTGATTGAGGACCTTCGGGTGCGGGTTCAGTCCGGCTAGCTCTGTTGTCGCGCGATGCTGGCTTCGATCTGCTCGTAATGAATCCTTATTGTCAATGTTTCGCAACCCTGATCACTTGACCCTGTCGCGCTTGCACCTGTCATAATACTCCCTCCCGGTTTTACATTAAACAATGAAGCACTCCCTAATAAGAAGAAGAATGCATTTCGGAAAGCTCCCCTGAAATCACCGCCGCCCTTTGAAAACTAAGTTGGATTAGCAGGGGACAGCAGCAAAAGCAGGCACAGGAGCGAGATCCCACCAAAAAGTAACCTCAGAGATAACGCCCCCTAGCGATAGAAGCATTTTTCCAGTTTCTATTGATGACCTGTAATATTCGGTGCAAAAGATTAGCTGATTAGCTACTTAGCCCTTACTTGGCTGTGAGTAGTGCTACACGTATGTAAGCGAACTATAGTCATGAGTCATGACTGGCTATTCCTGACCGCAATGAAGGTCCTTGTCACCCATCCTAGAGCTAAAGCCCTGAAAGACTCGGTGTTTCCAGCAGCCGACGAGGTCCTTGGACGAGCTTCGTTTGTGGCGTTGCCGTCAGTATGTGCAAGTTCCTTGCTTTGCTGATGAGGCTTTCCTTTTTTTTGTCAGCTTTCAGGGCTCAAGCTTTGGGAAGGACGAAGGCCTTTCTCGATTTTTCGCGAATTCCAGTTTCCTAGCACACCAACCCCGAGAGGCTAAAGCCACACGCTTAAGAAAACATCATTGTCACCTTGTAATCCCAACTGCGCCCCATACCATCCTAAAACTATGTAAACCTGCTAAACTTTACAAGTCTTCATATTAAGCCAATGAAGAACCTCATAAGGAGCCTCTGTTGCCCTAGCCACGTCAAGCCTCACACCGTCCTTGGTCTTACCTTTAGTAGGGAATGGAAGAATGGTAGTAATTAATAGTATTCCTACCATTCTTCCATTCCCTACTAACCAAAGGTAAGTGGTTAGCCCAGGTGGTCCAACCCAGCGCCGATCTCCCGAAAGACGCCAGCGCACTGGTGGGCGGCAGTGCTCGCGAAGAGTCCTTCGGCTTCCAAGGTCTGAAGTTCTGGGTTTTCATCGCTTCAGGCGCTGCAGGTCTCTGGGCTTTCAAGTGTTATTAGGGTCGTTTGGGTCTTTACGGTTGATAGGATCTTCCAGGAGCTAAGTTAGCAAACACTCCTAAGGCCGGTCTGCTTAGCCCATGCAAGCAGCCTATAAGGCGACGAGCAACTTGCCTCTCACGCCTGTAAGACACAAAACTAATGAAACACTTGACGAACCCAGGGCGGGCAACGGGTGCGATGATGTTATGAGGATCGGGATGAAGGGTCCTGCAGCAAAGTCTGCAAATGCATGAGCTATGAGAGCTATGTCCGTTGTCGTGTCAGGGCTGGGGGTTGGAACGTATGCGCACCCCCCACCCCCCCAGAACAACCATCCGCCTCACCAGAAGACCCATATCTTGAAACCGCTACAGGGGGGCCAGGAAACCTCGAAAAGACCATCAGCTCCACCTCTCAGCCGAGCATGGCTCATGCCTTGTTTTGGGCTCAAGCCGCTGATTTGCCAAGTTCGGTCCAAGCTGAAATTGACGAGAGTTGGTTGGTATGCCGAACCACCACGCCTCTCTTTTCGCTTATCGCCCCGGGTCTCCTCGCTCTCGCATCCGCGTGGGGTCTGAATCATGGACTCGCGTTGGGGACAGCTGGACTGGGAGGCGACACACGTCCAGTCCCTTACCAGAAGAGACGTACGACACAACACTGAAAGTGTCCATAGTTTCTGGGGGTGTGGTGTTGGTTAGACATGCTGGCGTAAACAACAGATCTGACTTGCGGTGGGCCATGGCCAAAGTGTTTGATGCCATCGCTGATGTGAGGACTCCATACCTGGATTCAGACCATGCAGAGAACATTAATTGCAAGTTGGTAACGGCGAAGGCTCTGTTTGATCTCCAGGAGAAGGTGGAGCAGCTCTTCAACCAAGGGCACTGGGAGTGTGCAAAGAATGAGTTCTGCAAGCCTCAACTAGTTTTGCGAGGCCGGGGCACATGCGTGCTCAGATTTGAGAAGGACATTTCCTATGCGCGAATGTTCTGGGCAACTGTCACTATGCCCACAATCCCGCTTTCTTTCCTCAAGAACATGTTTTTCTGGGAGAATGCAGCTGTGCCTGCAGCCCAGCAAGCCTTCAGGTACACAATGCTTGGTGGCGCCTTCGCAGGCAAGAATGTAATCCTTCTCACTTCGCCGTATCATGTTCAACAACAGGAGTCCATGATTGCATCTGTCGCCCGGATGGGCGCGAGTGTGTCTGGTTTCGTGCGAGCGCTTGGCAGCGTCTAGCAGCACGCTTCCAAAAAAGACGACGGGGTCTCCTGGTCAAGTGGTGTTTCAGTGTTGCAGAGTTTAGTGTGTTTGTAGCGCTTGCGGCTGTTAGGGTTTAGGGTTTTCGGGCGCTCTAGAGCTGGTGTGTTGTGTCTAGCGCGTTGGGGCGAGGGAGCGTTAAGGGTGGATGATGCTGAGAAATATAGGGTGAGAATGCACAGGGTGGGTTCCATGGAGCAGACATGCAGTTTGTCCTGGCTCGGGCATTATTCGAACCCTATAGTCACCCGAAGAAAACCCAGTAATGTGCATCCTTTCAGGCGACGGGAAACTTGCCACTTGTACTTGCAAAGCACAAAGCTTGAAACACTTGACGAACCCTGGGCAACGGATGCGATGAATGCACCACTTAGCAACTTAAGAGTGTCCTGTTTCGGCTTAGGGATTGAGCACAGCAAGTTTCCTGGTTTCTTGCCGTGTGGGCCGTGGAAGGTACCTGCCTTTTCCGAGGCTCCTGTCCATGTTTAAGTCTTTTAGGCCCGACATGAAATCGTCTTAATATGTCTTAACCATTTTGCTTTGAGGTTGAGGTTAGCCTCAAGACTCACAAGCCCGAGATCGGGGCTTTGGGCAGGATTTCCATAGAATCTGAAAATTTGGGGCATGGCCCGGATACGTTTTTCTTTTCCGCTCTCAACGACACCATGATCAAAAAAAGAGCCCGTGCGACGATGCACCCTCTTCGGAAAGATGGGGAGTGGCACAGTTGTTTGCAAACGTTGCGGGCCGGGTTATCTGACAAGTGCGGAAGACAAGGGTCACTGGGCTCAAAGTCTTTGTCCATACCTTATGAGTAGTCCTGATACTGTCATGCATTCTTTTGTGCGTGTAGTTTTAGGGTCCCAATATGCCGGCGTGCATCTCACTGACATGATCTTGGGGTTGCATTCAGTACGGTTGTGAGTATCAGGCCGCCGAAGAGTTTGCCGGCTTGTAGCCTCAACCAGGGTACAAATAGCAACTTTCTGTGCTTAACGATCTCATGCGGGCCTCCAAGCAGTACACATGTTTTCTGTCAGTCTCTGTAGCTCCCAGCATGAGGACGGCACCCGATGACATGGATCCCGATGAGGACTCTTTGCCTGAGACTTTTGTGATTCTGGCTCCGAGCAGTTTGGGGTGCTCCCTGGATCTACGTGGACTTCTGGGATGGAAGGGCCGGGTGCTCCTCTGCAGGCTAGCTCCCACAAAACTTCATCTGTGGTGGTGAAGTCTTGCAAACCTGGTGGTCACTTCGTGAATTAGCAAACACATGTAAGATAATCAGGCAATGTTATTGTTTTGGCCGACTTTCCCGGTGCCTCCCCCACCACAGGACTTGGTCGCCACTCTCCAAGGCTTGCCGGCATGGGCACCTTGGTGAAGCGGACCACATAGAGAGATGATATGAGAATCCCTTCACTAGTGCCTTCTTTACATCTCCTCTTGCTGTCGCCACAAATGAGGATCCTTACGAAAGGAGCTTGCACCCGGCAGCTAACTGTTCATCCCCACGGCCGCACGACACACGAGGGCCGAACCTTGAAATCACGCCATAGGGTTCTGAATAATTGGAGCTTCTATTTCGCTCTAGCGCCGGCTCAAAAAAGTACTTGTAGTGCCTTTTACAGAATGCCGTGTTCCATTATGTTCTACTCATGAAGGGTCCCAATATCAGGATTTGCTGTGAGTACGATGCTTGCGGTTTAGGATGGTTTAGGTTTCCAGGACAGGGTTGGGTTGGCCGGGATTGCAGAATTTAGGCTCCCGTAAACATCTGGGGCTCTGGGTTCCGACAGGGCCCAAAGCCTCTGCCCCCATGGCCTCGATGGAGTCTTCGTAGCTGTAGGTGACGTAGGGAATGGAGGGTGATCTTAAGGGGAATATAGGGTTGAAGATTGGGCCACAGGGCTTTAGTTTTATATATGCTGCCGAGGATACGGCCAAAGCGAGCAAAGCTTCCTCTGCGGCTCGAGTTCTCGACGTGGACAGCTGCATCGAGAAGAGGCCCAGAGAGGGCCTTTGCTTTTACCTAGGTCCTCCAGTTGTACCCTCATGCTCTTTTTGCTTGGGTCTCCATATCAAAACTGAAAACTTTGTCGGAGAAGCGTAAGTACGCTTATTAATAAAGGTTTCCCTATCTGGGCAGCCTTCGGGGCCTCAAACGCCGAATCTGTACCCAGAGCCGTAAACACCGCTGAACTACAGGTTACAGGTCCGACATCCTGCAATCCGAAGCCAGAGCCGTCGGCCCAACATGCGAGGCACCGAAATTTCAGGGCTCCAAGCAAGATAACTGCAGCTGTTGACGCTTGAAGCCTCAAATCGCCTGCTTGACAGACCCGAGGCAACTGCGTCCCTCTTGAAATCGCGCTTAGGAGAATTTATGGGGTCTGGGCTGGTGGCTTCAGGAAAAAATCTGAAGCCTACGCCCCCTAAACCGCAAACCCTCAGCTGCAAAACAAAGCCACCGAAGAAAACCCTAAACCATGCAAGCAGTCTCCTAGAAGGAAGCTGCTCAAATCCTGGCTGGCACCTGTCATGCCGCAGCTGACGGCGCTGTCGCCGCGGCTTGGACCCTTCTCACTGTGGGTTTTGGAGCCTTGAGGGTCTGGGGTTCGGGGTTTGGGTCTAGAGTCTAAGGCTGTTAGGGTTGAGGGTTCAGTGATCTGGTGTGACTATCAGGCTGCACCTTAAACAAGAGAGTGAAAGCATGCAGTGTCACACGGGGGTAGGGTTGGCTTACAATCGGTATCCTTGATATTGGAACCCTCATATAAGGATCCTATATACTGTTAAGGTTTCTATTGCATTGGAGCCCTTCTTCGCTGAAACTCCCACGTCGTGTTCAGTCGTGAGCTTTAGACACCAAGGTTTTCGGGTCTGGGGGACATTCTTGAGTTCCTCCCATGTTCAGTCGAATAGCATCTAGCTGCCTGTGCAAAAGTAGGATTGTTCCCGGGTGCCTGCGTTTGGAAGCAGACGGGGTCGTGGAGCAAGAGGAGTAAATACTAATTGCGAATATTCAACCCCTATACAACTAGTCCTACATCGCTATTCTATAGCTACCAAGGCGCCTATGTTGCCCACATCCAGGTCCTTGGCCTGAACCGGCCCTGAACCCCAAAATAAAACATCCGGAAATCCTCAGCCACACAGCTCCAGAGCGGACTTGAGCTCCTTTGCTCCCTACTCGGAGGTCCATGGGTAGTTTCAAGTGGGGTTGTTAAGTAGGGTAATTATAACCCAGATTAGGGCACTTGTAACTCCACTTGTAACTACCCATGAACTTCTATGTAGATCCCGCCGAAACTTCAGGCCGCGCACCGCGTGGTTTGTTCAGGAGGACGGGTGGTGCCAGTGTCCTTTTTTTGACTGGGCTCAGAACTTGAGCTTTTCCGGAGTTTCGTCCTTCGGCCGTCAGACGCATTGTCGTGGTGCTATCTGAAACAGTTTCGGACCCCCCGGGTCGTATCGCCTGATGCCGTCCGTCAGGATGGCGGCAACGGCGCTTTGCTCGCCTATCAACGAACCCTGGACATCGTGCCACGGCGTCCTTTCATTCATGTTGATATGACTTCGCCGGCAATGTTGAGCGAATGTTGAGCAAAGCGCAAGAGTTTGCTGTAGACCACCATGCTGCAGGCTACTGGATTCCTAATCGATCGATCTATTTATCAAACTACCTGTATATACTTACTTTATGATGAACAATCACGTTCCGAGGAATCGATTCCTGGAGTTGATGGGCTGCTTTGCCGCATTTCGCTGCGGGAGGAGCATGCAGCCAAGCAGCTGGGCCAACAAATCATGTTTTTTGTGTGTTGCATTGTCGTATTTCCACTCGTTTCTCTCGATATTTACAGACCGTGTTTAAGAGCGGGGCGGCGAGCCTTCAACACTGAAGCCATAGCATCCGAATCAGTGGCAATGATATCGAGAATGAAGGATTTTCAAGCATGCACACATAGCTACATGCATACATACATGTATACACGGCGAAGGGGGTGCTCTCTGTGTACGTATATATATGTATATGTATATGTATATGTATATATATATATGTATATATATTATATTATATATAGATAGATAGACATATGCAGATCAAGATAAATACATCCGGATCCGTGCTTGTTGTGTACATACTGCGAACAGACCACGCGCACATGATACAGAGTCGGAAAGTTGTTGCTCTGCCGTAGAGGCTCAATTACGCATCCTTCAGTATGTCTCAGTCTCAGTATGTTCGCGGAGCATGAGTTTAGCCGGTTTGCATTCCGGGGCTCCAGCCTTATGTATGTCTGCAACACTGGCGCTTGATCTATGCGAAGTCGTCTGCTCGCAGGCTACGGCTCAAGGGCACGCTGCTGTTCAGACCACCTGCTTTCTCAGATTAGGACCGCCATGGCTCCATCCACCCAGCAGCTCGCCGTGGCCGTGGCAGCCGCGGGCTGCACGGCTTTCGTGGCCGCGCCAAGCACCGCCCGTGGGCCCACGCTCGGCAGCACGACCCAGGGCCGAGCCACAAGCTCTTCCTCCTCCTCCAGCAGCTCCAGCACCTTGATACAGCTTGTGCTTTTTTTTTTTTTTGGTATTTTTCGCTTGAAGGTCATACACCTATGCCTTGTTAAGCTGATCATTTTCAACTTCTATGGGCTCTCTCGAAGGTACTGGCTTGGCGATTTGCGGTCTCGGCGCTGCAGTGGGCGCCGCCATTGCTGTGCCAAAGAAGGAGCGGGCACCTGTGGCTCAAAATTGACATTTGGGTGTTCTCTTGACTCTTGTCTTAGGATACTTCATGAGATATATAGTTTCGGTTGATTAGGTTGGTATAGGTCTTGGGATCTCGACAGCATAACTGTACCTGTCTGTGCCTCCCACAATGCTGATTGCTCAGAGTTAGATGTCCAAACCAACTGGGCCCAAGCTGTATAGAGCATTACTAGACCCAACTCATAACCTCTTTCGGTCGGCAGCTTCAGACACTACGGGCACCACTCTAGCCGACAATAGCAGGATTCCTCAGCGGGACTCCTCGACCGTGATTGCACCCCATATCTAAGCCTCAAAAGATCGAAACTTGAACCCCCGAAAGCTGTGAACCTAAATCCTAAGCTCCAAGCCTTCAAAGACCCCGAAAAGTTGAAATCCCGAAGTGCAAGAAGCCTTTCCAGGCCTTAGGGGCTTCATATAGAAGCCGGAATAATTATCACTACGACCTCTTAGGATTCCTCTTCTGCATACAGTACGGTATGCCCCCGAAACCCCATTCTTGTCATTTAGCCATTTGCATTAGGTCGTTCTTCGTGCTTTCGAGACAGAACTGGGAGTGCAGCCGCCGGCAGGATTTTGGGACCCACTAGGCGGGAAGGGGCTTGCGGGTTTTGGGCACTAGGTTTGTTTTTTTGTTTGTGGGCTTTAGGTCCGAGCAACAAGCGGAGTTACGGGTCCAGAGACGTGGGTAGCACTATCCCAAATCTTTTAGCCTTGCAAAATCCCAGGTATTGCTTTCATGCAATTACGCACATCGCATTCTCAAAACATGGACTTTCGGGACCCATCAGGCTTCACCAAGGGAGGTGATGCGGCATCCTTCCGCCGTCGGCGATACGTGGAGTTGAAGCACGGGCGCGTTGCCATGTTGGCATGCCTTGGATACATCGTCCCTGAGTACCTTAGAAAAGCGGAGAATAGGTAATGTTTGTTTCGTTTGTGCGACTGTTTATGTTGCATAATATATATATATATATATATATATATATATGTATGCACACACACACACGCACATGCATCCGTTCATTTAGTTTTTAGATGTGTGCGTGTGTGTGTGTGTCTCTCTCTCTCTCTCTCTCTCTCTTTGTCTCTCTGTCTCTCTCTCTATACATATATTTACACATATACATTTTCCTACCATCCGAAACCGTATGCACCCCAAACCGAGGGGAAACAAGAACTCATTTGGAAAGTCCGAGTTGTAAATTACAACTCGTAAACCCACGTTTCACAGCTTATTATCCTTCTTCAAGCCAGGGAACTCAGCAACTAAGGTACTACCGCTGGCCAGGTGATTTGTCTCCTTCTCTTGGCATCAAGTTCACGGATGTCCCTACTGGCTTTGCAGCTTTCTCCAAGGCTTGCTTCACCCATGGTGAGGGGACATGTCGTCCACATATGTATGTATATAAGAAGTCAATAAGTAGATGATTACATGGATAAACCTATATGTGCATATACGCATTATGTATTTGTAGGTATGTGTACGTATGCAGACATGTGTGTATAGTTCGCTTGCACTTAATCAATAGCACAGAAAAGAATACTTGCTCTAATCAGTACGACAACTGAAACACTTGTTTAGCCTGAAGTACTACATACTATATGTTTTCGCAAAATCTGTAAAGCCCCATGAAACCCGCCAGAACCGAGCTTCATAAATCCAATATTGAAGCCAATTTCACTGTTTGATTCAACGGTTGATTTAGTTCCTTCAGCCTACCCTGTAAGCTCTATATCATCAAAACGTCCTGAAGCCTAGGCCCTAAACTCCAAATCTTCACCCTGCAATGGGGGTCGTCAAGCTAAAACCCGAAAGCGGAGGTGCCGCTTAGCGGCTGGGCCCAGATGGTCTTCTTCGCTGGCAGCGTGGAGCTTTTCCAGTATGTCGACGATCCCAAGCGGGCTCCGGGCGACTCTGGGCCCTCAGAGAGGGGTGTCTTCTAATTTCATCAGAGATTCGAAATGATATGTATATATATATATATATCCACATATACATATACGTATACATATACATGTACATATACATATACATATACATATACATACATTAATACATGCATATATATGTACACACACACATATGTATGTGCATGTATAAGTATATGTATTATGTATATGTATATGCGTACACAAACGTTGACCTATATATATATATATGTATGTATGTATGTATGTATGTATGTATGTATATAATATATTAGCCATACATGCATCCATACGTACATACATATATTCATACATACATAGTTGACATAGACAGGTATGCCTATACAGGTAGAAGTGATCAGAAGGAAGTCTATTGTTAAGGATTTTATACACTTGAGTAGGTGCGAAGTTAATCTAAGTTATCACGCAGCAGAAGGAACTACTGGGTTTTATACGGCTTTCAGTTCTCTTGGAATATGTGGTTATGGGTCTCTTACTGACCGGGGTTACGAAATTTTAGTCCGAGTTTCAATAATTTGGGGGTCTGTGGTAATGGTAACTTAATTCAGTTCCCGAGCCCTAAACCCTAAACCCTGAAGCCTAAGCCGAAGCACCCAGGACTTCGAGAACGCAGGTCTGCTCGGCATCCCCAATGGTTTCATGAAGGCTCCAGAGGGCCAGAAGGAGAAGAAACTGGCAGTCCTTATCCCTCAACCCCCTTATGAACCCAAGAATTCTAGAATTCTGAGATATTATGTAATTAAAGCAGGTGAGCCCTGTAAACTCTGTGACAAACCCTGAACCTTGAACATTTGCCAAAACCTGCAGGAGAAGAAATTGGCTGCGGAAATCGCAAACGGCCGTTTGGCAATGATGGCTATCATTGGCATGTTCTTCCAAAATGGATTGACAGGACAGGCATGGGGCGACTGGTCTCTGTACACGGACTCCCCGCTGCGCGCCCTGACACCGGCACAGGAGATCATTGCCGGGACAGGCGGCCCTCTTCCCGACAACTTCTGGGACCCCGCAGGCATCACCAATGGGAAGACGGAGAAGGAGATCGCAATGCTCCGGGCTATGGAGCTGAAGCACGGACGTGTGGCGATGCTCGCAGTGCTCCACTGGTTTCATGTGGCCGCAGGTTACCACCTCTTGGGTGACTATGCCATCGGTGAGAGGATGAGCAACGACCCGCTCGTTAGCTTGACCCAGCTGCCCATGGGAGGCATGTGGCAGGTGATCTTCACCATCATGTGCTTAGAGTGGCTGACCACCTACATCTGCAAGCCTCCTGAGGACCGGCCTTGGGATGTGCTCGGATGGAAGGGCATCATCGACGAGGACTACCCCTCTGAGATCTGGAACGGCTGGAAGCGCGTGCAGTGCCAGGAGCTGAACAACAGCCGCCTGGCCATGGTGGCCATCACCGGACTCGTCGCGCAGGACGTCGTCACCGGCGACTACGTCGCAGGCGTCGGCAAGCTCTGCGGTGGAGCAGAGGTGTGCAACCAGCCCATCGACTACTCTCCTTGGCAGAAGCCAGTCCGTTAACTTTGAAATCGTTTTGCTTTCTGACAGGGCATAGTTTGCTGGTAATTGGTTTTCGAAGGGCCCGAAGCCTTATAGCCGAAACTCAGGAACCTTCCTCCCATCGAAGACTTCGTGGCCAACGCCCCATCTTGGGCCAATGGACCAGCTCTCTACGGCGTCAACTGATCGGCTGCCGGTAGAGGACAGAAGTGTAGGAAGGTATGGCCGTGGTGAGATCAGGAGTTCCCAAAGCCCCACTTCCTAACCCGTGTAGCTGGCAAATACCCAGCACATGATGTGTCTTGTGAATTTGGTGCTGAGTGTCAAGAATTACAGACTGTCGCCTTCAACCATAAAGCCCTAAACTGAGCTCGTCTTTTTGACATGAGAGGGGGTCCGGCTCGTGCCGATGTGCCATTACCTCATCCGTCTCACCCGGATCCGTCCGAGTTGTGAGCGCAAGAACACCGGCAATTCGACACTGTTCGAGCCTTTCGGGCTTTGTTCGAACTGAGAAGCCCATGCATACGCTAAAGCCTATAAACCGACGAAGCTCAAAGAAGCCAAATCCCGAAGCCTTACTTTAAAGGCCCAGGTCCGGCGGCCAGTTCATGCTACGGCAAACCAGGACCAGCCCCAGGATTCCTCCTGGAAAATCATTAGCTTAAGCTTCAGTCCAACGTATGTAGGATAGCCGATACAGCCCTACAATGCCGGAGGAATGTGAGCAGCAAGGGTAGCTAGAGGTTTGACATCTTCCTAGGAAGATGTCAGTGAACGGCCTTATAACAGAAGAGAAGTGTCAGCACAAGGACATGCTTGAACATGTGTGCAGACTTCTAGCAAGGCACCGCGCTTCCCGCAGCCAGCTCCGGTGGCGGGTCTCCCTGGCCAAGCGTGTGCTCTGTGCGAAGGTCCAAGGCAGGCTCTTTGGGTGGAGGTTGAGTTTTTGCTTAAGGTGTTGCTTGCTTGAGGGTTCTAGGGCTTGGGGTTGAGCAGGTTCTCAGATCAGGGACCTATGAAGTCATATATACATACATATATATATATATATATATATATACATACATACATACATACATATATATATATATATACATATATATATATATATATATATACATACATACATACATATATATATATATATACACAGACTGGTGCCAAGACGGCTTGTGGCTTCAAGGTTCAAGGTCTTGGCATACAGCGTCAGTGGTGCTCCTATACCCACTCATGACCTGGGGGCCCGCATCGGGGTGCAAGAGACCCGAAATCCACAGACTCTAAAGGCCCTGACGCCGCCGAACCCCCCAAACCCTAAACCAAATCCTCAATTCCAAACAGCCCAGTCTCCGAACTTCCCGAAAGGTGCATTCGTGGCGCTCGTTACAAGCTCTTCTACGGATCTGGGCCCCTGGGAGCTCCAGGTGCTCAATGCCCAGTGCCTTGGGATCCAAGCTTAAGGTTTACGGATCTGGGTGTATTTTGGATTTAGGCGTTTGGATTTAGGATTTAGAGTTTGACGTTTTGGAGCTTGAGAGTTTAGGCCATTAGAGGTTGTTGGTTTAGTCTTCAATGGATCTCTTTGGGCAAGTAAGGCCGTGATGCAGGGATCTGGCTAGTCCCCAAGCCCAGTTGCAAAAAAGAGGCCGATGAAACTCACTGGTCTAAGCCACAGAACCTATGAACAGGTATCCTACTTTTATATGGCTTGAGACACGGACCCGTGCCTCGGATTAGGGCTTAGTAGGGGTTGCTGGCGTGTTTAAGGCTGCGGCCACATGTCAGATAGCAGCATTAATCCCTGTATACCCTACAAGTAAGTTAACCTGTAGATCCGCTATGCCACTGGGCCCGCCGCTTCACTGAAATCGGAATTCCTTAAGACACCCATGACAGTCCCGAAAGATCTTGAAACTACCCAGAACACTCACATCGGATTTCGCAGACACGCAAAACGAACACTCGCAAAAGATAGCCCAAAGACCCAGAGTATTCTCAAACGATCCCAAAACACCCAGAACACTCTCAAAGGCTCCCCCCCTATACACACCCCACGCTCTACTTTACTCTAATTACTCTCCGCGAAAAGACTACCGAATAGAGCCCCGTGTTCCCAGGACTGGCCTGGATTTCCTTGAACCCGTGTGCCTTGGCTACAGCTAGCGGCACATTAAAGGTCACAGTGACGGGAAGGTGCAGGATGTTGGTTTCAATGAGGGGTTTAGGGCTGACGGGTTGAGGTGTATTGATAGTGGGTTTGATTCGGGTTCTGCGAGGAATTAGGTTTGTTTTTAAGGCGCTCATGACTTTGGTTTGCGTAAGCTAGGGCCCGAAAAAATCCTATTTGAAGTCTAGCGCCTTATACTTAGAATTTCCGACTTGCTCAAGGAAGCTTGAACCGTATGCCCATTATTGCAGCGCCGTTTAACTGAGGTTCCACGTTCGTTTCTTCTGAGGGCATAGGTATCACCCTGCTTATGCGTGAACCTCTCTCATGCCCAGTCTTTGAGACCTGCCTCATCCTGCTCGCGCGTTCTAGCTGCTTCCAGCTTTCAGTTTTGCAGGGTCCTGACAAGAAGCCTACATATACACGCTCCAGAAGGCTATTGCAATGGGAGTTTAGGTAACCTTAAAGCCTTCAAGCCTAAGCCCTAAACCCTACGATACCTTAAACCCTATTCCCTAAATCTTTAAACCTTAAACCTTCAAACCCCAAACCCAGGTGTCTGGGGAATGCCCCGGCACGGTTAGAGCTCTTCGAAGCTGGCGCTTTCCTGGTGCTCGTGGAAACCGACGCCACGCTGTCATTGACCCTGGGCCGAAGTAGTATAGTGTAGTATACTATATTGTATAACAAAGTAGAGTAGAGTAGAGTAGAGTAGTGTTCCCTTACAGTTCGTGTGTCGTCATAGCATAACCTCCCCCTAGACATATCTATGCAGACAGACATACACACATATATATATATGTGTATGGATATACATACTTTATCACTCGCATATGCATACATACATACATACATACATACATCACATACATACATACATCACATACATACATACATACATACATACATACATACATACATACATACATATACATATATATATATATATATATATATATCGGTGTATTTATATGTGTGTGTATATATATATATATATATATATATATATATTCGTGTATGTACATGCACGCTTGTGTGTACAGTTATGTTCCTGCGTACATCAGATACGCACACAGGGGTATACATGCATACTTGCTGGCATACATGTACATAATGTACATACATATGTATGTATATTGTATGTATATATATATATATACATCTGTTTACAAACACTTTATGTACTGTTGATGTATTCCATGACTTGAGTGACTTGAGGGGTTGAGGAATCCGTCCAGCACCCCTACCTTGCAGGATCTTATGTTTTTTGCCGGTGATTCACGAATGCCCCAATTCGACGGTGATTCGGGGTCTCCCTTGAATCCTTATAGGGCTTAGGTTCACCATGAAGAAGCTCCCACGCCTAAGCGTAGAGTGGCCAAGGTGGCAACTGGCATCGCCAGACACGTCTCGGATCTTGCTCCGATGCTCAGACTGCACAGAGACTGAGCTATTCTCATTTATGGGGTTCAATTTTCAGGGTTTGGTGTTGTAGGGAGTCGCAGGCTGACACTAAGAGCCTGGCTGCAAAACAGGGAGAAGTAGGGCATGGGTGCCGTAGAGTCAAAGCTGCATGCCGGATACCGGGTGTCACCTAAAGGCTTATCAGGTCAGACACTTTGGCCCTTGCATTAAGCAGTTGTGCTGCGTTGCTGATGCATTGCTGCATAGGCCCGCAAGATGGATGGTGAACGTCTACCTCGCTCACCTGCACTTGCTCTCATTCTCTCCTATAACTCATGAGCCCTTTATCGAAGGATTTGAGATCTCCGTTCTTGCATAAGGGTCCAAGTACCTATTCACTCCAACATTTCGCCAGCTCTTCCCTTACATCACTACTACCTTGCACCTCTTAACTTTCAGATACTTGGGCCGCTTAGGGGTCTTGAATCCTTTTGCTGGCTTCTTGCTGCCAGGTTGTTCGATACCGCGTCCTTTCCACAATGCTTCTGACATGGGAGCCATGACTGCATCAGAATTTTTCAGGTGTCGCCGATTCGACTTTATGCCCTGCTAGGCTTTTGCATCTTTTGGGGCTTTAAGGTTTGCGCATAGGAATTTGGTCTCTCGAGAGTTTTGGTAGCGGAGTTTACGACCTTGCGGTTAATTCAGCATGAACCTCCGAAATCACCGTTCCCCAGAGAGCCCAATACCCCCAATTTCAAGGGTAAGCTCAGAGCTTAAGCATTGGAGGAGACCCCGGCTCGCTGTACCCTCAAGACAACCGGACAAAACGTGTAACTGATAAACCCTTTAACGTTCGCCAAAATTCCATATGGCACGTTTGCAAGATGGAGGCAATTGGGCATCCCACTTTCCACACCAGATCCTTGACGGCGTTCACGCATTGCCTTGCCAGCTGGCAATCTCTGATTTTGACCCCAAGCTCTTGAAAGTCTAAATCCCTTAACAATTAAATCCTAAACCCGTTTGAATCTGTGAGGCCTGATCCGCTCCTCCTTAGCGAGAGCGCCCTACCTTAGAAAAGGCACGCCGGACTCACGGTTTAGGTTTCAAGGGTTTTCGGTGTAGTGGACAAGCATACATCACCTAGACTGGATGCGGGTTTGGGGTTTGAAGATGTGGGCTTGCTAGGAGCAGTCCACATGTTTGTTTGTTGTGTAAGGACAAGCGGACCTTAAAGCCAGAACTCGTCGACAGTCCTTCAGGCTGTAATTAGACGAAGTACTCGCTTCAGCTCCTGTAGAGGAGGGGAGGGATCTGCAACTATACTATACCCACTCAAAAACCTAAGCAGCAAACCCGAAACCCTATATTAAGTCTCAAGCCCCAGCCTTTCTTAAGCTGCAAGACCCATGGAAACGAGCCCAAACAAACTAGCAAAAAGCGCACAGGGTCGAAGAATGTCCCAGCATTGAGTTTTATTGTGAAGAAGTATGGGAGTTTCAGATAGGTGGGGGACCTTTGGACACACTGCAAATAGCACGGTCCTGATATTCAGGACCCAGGCAAGAGATAATGTGATCCCTTTGCACTTTTTGGGGTTGTCGACTTCCGACTTGCAACACAGAAACAACGGCACTAAGAACCAGATTGCCGAGCAATACAGACTCAAGACGACAATGCCCGAGATGTTGCGCGCTTAGTCTGAGATTGCAGGGTGTCAAACAGCCACCTGTTCAGTCCCAAACAGGTCGCAAGAGCGCCGTTTACCAGGCAGATCTTGCCTGCTGGATGGAGCTTCCATGGTGCGTCCCTCAGGCATAGATATTTGGGCTGTGAACATGCTGCATAGGATTCAGTGTGCATTCGGTCACTCAGTTTTGGACTCGGCAGACGGCAGACTCGCAGAATAGGGTTTTCCTGCTTTTCATCGGGAGTCTTCGTCTTGTTGCTCCTACACCCTACCTAGTAGCTGAGTGGATACACTTTGTACATTTGGGGATAATATTACCCACTCTAAAACTACAAGTGTACACTTTTTTTTTTTGGGGGGGGGGGGGGCTTATGAACTCAGCAACTAAGCCCTAAATCCGCTTCGGTATCATCCTTGAGGCCCAGCATGAACCAGGTTCCAAAGGAGAGCCCCAGCCCTCAGATCTTCGAATGTCCTCGTCGTTCTAGGGTCTGGGGTTGATATCTATATATATATATATATATTGTATTATATTATATTATATTATATTATATTATGGTATGTTATATTATATTATGTTATGTTATATTATATTATGTTATATTATATTATGTTATATTATATTATATTGTATTATATTATAATATATTGTATTATATTATATATATTATATATATATATATATATATATGTTCGACATGTCCCCGCAATCGACGCTGAGCCTTTGAAACCCTCAGCCCTGAATGGTTCGCCAGGAAGCCTGACCGATAAAACCCTTTTAGAGACACACCCAGGTCCAAGTAAAATCTCAAACCACGCACCTTCCGGCGGTGCCAAACTGAAGATTAATGCATCAAGCCCAACACCACCGCATAGTAACCCTCAGAAAAAAGCCTGCAAGTAACCCCCAATTCAGCCCTGAAATTGGAACCCCTAAGCCCCAAACAAAGCCTTGGTCCTTCCAGGAGGGAGCTTCAGAAGCGGCTGCATGCATCCGAGGTGGGCTCGGATCTCGTTTGGGAGACGGCCTTGAAGTTATTTATGGGGCTTTCGGGTTTGAGGGTTTAGGGCTCCGTGGTCTTACGAGTGGCACAGATGCTGCCCTTCGACCAGGCCTGATGCCTCGAGTGCCTGTGTGAGAGAGAGAGCGGGCTTTGAGGGTTTAGGAGTCGCTGCAGGCCAGGTGCAAAAGGGTCTAGGCTGCATAGTGACGTCTTGTTTCGAGAGTCTGGAGCCTAGGGTGCAGGGCTCTAGTTGAAGAGGGTCTAGGACGGACTAGAGTCTCTAGAGTCCAGGTCTGGGGTTTTCTTTGCAGGGGGTCGTCCTTCCTTCGTCCCTCTTGCAGTTTTGGGCTGAGGTTAGGATTTGGTTCGTGATGCCACGCTTCTTTACTTTGCACTCATGCAGAACTCAGCTAGGCGCAGCTACCCCTCAATTACGGGACGGTCTGCTTGGTACCAGTTGTTGCCAGATCTTTCCGTGTTGTTTCATAGATCCCCTGGGAAATTCTTGGACGAAGCTATGAAAACTGGGCCTTCCACTGTAGCTTGCACGACAAGCGCAAGCAAGTTGAGTTGTGTTCTACTGAATCCTGGAATCCTCAAATATAGGGGGCTGTATAATTGCCAATACTATTTTGGGGGGTTCCTTCTTACAATTATAGTTTGATTCGCTATATATTAACCCTGAACCCCAGACTCGGAAGCCAAAGTTGTGTTCCTGGGCCTATAAAGTCCAACAGTTGCTCAGCTCGAAGGTGAACACACCGATGCAGCTGGACCTTTCAGGCGCGCAGTCCCAGTACCCAAGTCACAGCCGACTGCGGATAACACGTGAATCCTACGATAGAAACTAAATAGTAGGCTCAATACAAGAACCACCCCCGCCCTGAAATGAGATGCTCAATCTTGCTGCTTCTGCTTTGAGACTTCTGTTCATGAGTTTATGTGCTTCCTTCTTGGTCTAGACTTCCCTGCTATGTCTGTATGTGTGTATAATGTATTATACATACAGAGTTTTATGACACGGTCTATATGGTCTGCATACGTGCATGTACTGTCTACGCATGAATGTTTGTTACTACAACTTTACACAACGCTGTTTTTCAATACACCTGAGCTTGCGTATGCAACATTGACTTCATTCCCGAAGCCCGTGAAGGCCTGCTCGAACTCCCCATGGCCGAGCTGTCAGCGGAGCTCGCCGCCCCAGCCTCAACTGGGTTGCGTTCTATCAGGCTGCTATAGCCGCAAGGCGTCTAAACGAACAAGGTGGGTGTTGTACATTAGTTGTTTATCAATCTTTGTGTAAGAGTTCCATACGGATGCAAACGGCTTGTACAGGTTTGCCAGCTTCCCGCGTAGCTGAACATGTTCCCAGTAGCCTGTATGGCTTGCTACAGTTTTTCAGTGTAAATGTATATTGTAGACCCCTGCAGTCAAGCTGAAACTAGTTCAGTCCCGAATTTGAATGTCGTGAAGACTGAGCTGCACGTCTTAGGTTTGGTGATGTTTGGTGTCTTGCAGCTCAATGTGTGGATGCACTTACGCCTATGGAGGTCTTGCGAATGCTCACGTCAATGCTGGCTGTGCTAAATGCGCAAAACCACCAGAGCCAACACCATACCACCGCCACCAGCAGCAGCAGCACCACCACCACCACCGCCCCCTCAGCCACAACGCCTTCGTCTTGCACTGATACTCACCAGTTGTCATCATCGCAGCTCCACCCTCGCGATCATCGCCGCGGTCGTCATGAACCCGTAACAGGGTCTGCACATGCTGCTCACCACCACTAGCAGCTGCACCATCAACAGCTTTGTCGTATCACGACGAATTATCCCCATTGCCGTTCGCACGTATCTCACTCAGTTGCCCGTCGTCCTCTGTAAGCCAAGGCCCAGCGCTCCTTTCCGACCTCATTGCCTGCCTTGCTTGGTGTGTTGAAGCTTGGCCTTCTCAGGTAAAAGAAGAGAAGAGAAGATTAAGCATTAATTAGCGTCCCTTGAGGCTATACCATAGGGTGTCACATAGTCCCATGCAAATTTCCTGCACCCCTTTATCCACCGTGGGGATGTTTGGCCGGGAATGGGGAGCCAACTTGCTCTTGCGGGCTCCCCACTCCATGATCAGGTTTCGGGAGTTATCAGGTTTAGGGTCTTAAGACTAGGTTATCGGCTTGGCGCTCCAAGAGGCAAGTTGCCAAAAGCTGTGCTACATGTCGTTGCTAGATCTGTCATCTGAAGCCAAAACCTCGCCCCTATGTCCTTTCGTAAATCCCGAAGCGAAAAGAGTAATACCCTCTAACACCCTAAACAGTTCAATGGCACACCATTAAACAACAAATGCAGCTTGGACCCTGAAACTCAATAGACCAACTGAGACCCAGGTCTGAGTTGGGAATATATGCAGCCGAGGCCACGTGGGGTCTTGAGGTCATAGGGTCTTGGGGTTCGCAGTTTAGGGGTTGGGGGGGGATGAAGCACAGCATTCTTTGGTTGCAGGTTTAGTGTTCGGTTCTAGGGCTTGTTGTTTAGAGGTTAGTGAACTCAAACGACTAGAAGAATTCCACGCCTCAACAAGTTGTTTTAGAGCGTATGGGGTTTTGCATATTCCCCTGCGCCTTCGCGCTGAAGCCACCTTTGATGAGCAGATGGCGTGTTTGTTTGTTGTTTTTGTTTCGGCCGGGACGGATGTGAGGAAAGTAGGAGCCCGGAAAATCCACAGGAGCCGACAAACTGATAGCCGTTCTAAGGAGGAAGCGACCAAAATCCCGGCTGCAGGAGGGCCTGCCGGGGCTACTCAAAGAGATCCAGACTGCCCTGGGTGAGGTGACTTGCTTTTGCTTTCGGGGTCTTTGTGTGGTTTTGTGGTTTAGGGTGTTCATGCTTAGGTTTTAGGGCTTGGGTGTGCGATGCTTGTTTTTCAGGGATAGATTTCGACTGCTTTGGATGCCTCATTGGGTGGTCTGTCGTAGCACCGTTTTCCCGGATGGTCACATTTGTTGAAATCTTGAACTCTTGAAGTTGGATCGTACAGGAAGGAGGGCACGCTGCTTACGTAGTCTCAGGTCACTTCTTCTTAGGAGATCTCTGGTGAGCCTGCTTTAACTAGCAACCCTGTGGAATCTTCATGAAATCCTTAAGCCTTATAAGCTTGGCCTATAACTATAAACAGAAACAAGAGATTCAACAAATCACCAGACTACCAGAAAACATCAGAACACACTTGTATGGCCCTTTCGACTCCTATTGGGGGGAACCTACGGGAAAAGCCAAAGTCCTTGGGAGGTCTCGAGGTCTTCAGCAACTTCCGAAGATCTGACAGGGCCGATTGTCGGGCGCCCAGCTGCTCACTGTTGAGGCCGTAAGGTGTGAGGTTTGGGGTTTAGGCTTGTTGAGGGCCCTATAACGATACTTGTCAGTTAGGTGAGGGTTAGGGCGTAAGGTGTAGGGTTTACAGGGTCTAGTTCTGTTGAGACTTCAAAAAGTACGGGCGTTAGAAGAGGCCGGCACGTTTCTCAGGGGTCATGTCTTGTTTTTACTAATGATAATGAGGCAGGAGTTTTTCGGAACAGCACCTTCCCTGTGGCAAGGTGATATGTAGTCAGGGCCATACACGGGTTCCCTAAATTTTCGATGAAGGGAGTTCTGACCGCTCGGCACAGGATTGAGGCAAGAGAGTCAAAGTTTGAAGTTTTTGTTACGGGCTTGCAGAGTGTTGGCAGTGAAGAGCAAGGTTCAGGAATCCTGTTTTCTATATGCAGGTTGACGGGGATTGATGTTCTGTTTTGCCTGAACCCCGGAAGTTCTTGTTTGGCAGTGTTTCCTATTGGGTTGGCGGTCGGAAGTTGTTTGGCTCTGGGCCGAACGTCTCGCAATGCAGGCTCCGGGGATTCCGAACACGGTGTCTTTGCCACCTTTGCATCGTATTTGTGTACCCAACAGGCAAGCGGATGTAGAAGTAATGCCAACTACTTGCCGTTTGTATGAAGTCTCGCCGCGTTCTTTACTTCAAATCTGCTCGTGGTCTGAATCTTTCAGCCAATCTTGAGCACCGAAGACTGGCCGGGGACCCAACACCCGAGTCGCCCTTACCTCATTCGCGGTCCACAATCGGCACTTAAGTCCGCAAACCTAAACCGCACCAGAGTTTCTAGACTCGAGACTCGATACCTGAGCTTTAGCCCCCATGGCAGCCTCAAGCAGTGAAGCCCCAAGATGAGAGATTAACAGCACAAATCCAAAACGACCCCAGAAAGGAAGTCCAGCCCGAAAGGCAACCCGGCAGCCTCAAACCTAAACCCAAGACGCGAGGACCCTATGCAAAGCCTACGCGACATCCCTGCAAGCCCAGAATTGCACTTCAGTTTACATAAAACATTACATATAGCTACAGATGTACATGAATACGTGTATGTACATCCATGTACACTAGCATGAGCCGAAAGCTCTATGCAGACCATTCCGACTACTTAAACCTAGGACTTTAAAAGCTCGTGCCGGGACGGAAGAAAAACATACTTTGTCTATTGTCGATGTATACATATACATTGTTTTACATACATACATACATACATACATACATACATACATACATATACTCATGTATGTATGTATATGTATGTATGTACGTATCTACGTATTTCAGCTACTCTAACACCTGAAGATTCTAATCCGCCGGAACACCCAGAGAGGCCTGCCTAAGCGAGTCCCTTCGCCAAGCGACACGTGAGCACGCCAAGGCCGGTTTGGGGCAAAAAGGTTTTCTGGGCGATACAAGCAAACACATCTTATTGTTGTTACTACTGTTACTGTTATTATTAGTATTACTATTGTTATCATTAACGTTATTAACATTCGTATTCTCATATTACTTCTACTGTTGTTCCTGTTGCTGCTTTCTTGTACTACTGTTATCATAATTACGAGAAAGGCTACATACTAAAGGGTTTGGGGTTGACGGTTTTGAGGTTTGGGGCGTCTTGAGGTTCAGGCTTTGAGGGTTTAAGGTTAAGAAGAGCGTCTTGTCAGGGCCTTCAGAGCTTAAGGCGGTGTTTTCAGGGCTGCGGAGGGGTGGGATCTCGGTGGTTCATTGCTGCCGATGCAGAGCTCAAGATGACTTCGGGGGGTTCGTGGCTTCTCTACTTCGGGGTATGAAACTTACGGTCTAAGGAGTGAAAAGAGAGAGAAGCACCGAGCCCGCATGCTTGCGATGAGCTGTCAGACACACTTTGCACTTGCAGGCAGACGGCGACGAGGACCGGCCTTCGTGCTTTTCTGGGTTTTGCGGTTCTTTTGCAGACTTTGGCGAGAATGCTTCGCAGATCGTCGGGAACCAGGCTAACAACGCTTGGTGAAGCGGCAGCTGCTCTTCTACAGCAAGCAGTGAACTGCAACTGAACTCTCAGGATCTTGCAATTGCAACATTATCAGTACTGCTCGTCTATGTTGAAATTCATACGGATCACGCAGGACAACCCAGGGTAAGCACGCTTTTATTGTCGTCCTCTGAGCTCGAACCTTCCTCGACCACGAAACAAGCTGTCGAATAGTTGCAAGGTTCTGTTGATGAAGCTGTCTGAAGTGTACCGTGGAAGCTGTCTTGTACACTCCGTGAACCATGCACTGCATCATGCCATGCGGGTGTCAAAACACCTGGCATTTTGCTGCCTTCAGCCACCGGGGAGTGCATGGGGCTGAACCCCACATCCTGAACCCGGTGCACTCGCCAAACGACCTTGCGCTCGCACACGGGATGGCTGTGAATGCCAGGATGGCGCAAAGCTTGTCGAGAAGGCTGCATCGCAGCTGGAGGTGCGGACTGGGAACCTGGTCTTATGAGATGTAGGGCCAAATATGGCTAAACACTGGATTCTGGATGCAGCCGGGGACGTGATCCTGCAATGCCAGTAACTGGCGCAGAAAATCATGTTAAGCAATCTAGTTGCCATTGGTGATTGTTACCATAGAACATGGTTTTGGATGCCGTCTAGTCGCAGCCTGTTGGCCACGAATCCCTGCCCTTCTTCCAATAAAATGTCAGTTTTGCCACCCAAACACCCTGGGCAGACCCTTCAACCCCACGCCGGCGCTCACCCACAACCTCCGATCTTCAAACCCCGACACTGGCCCTAAAACCTAAACCCCGCACCCATGACTCTTCCATCCCCAAGGAGGAGGTGGGTCCCAAACGATCAGATTCTAATAGATTCGCCCTCCCGTGGGCCCATGTCAAGGCCAAGGGTTCACCGTCACGGCCAGTCCGGGATCGGGGAGTTCTGGGATTTAGACGTGCAGAAACGTGGTTCAGCCTTCTGCTTGTACGATGTTCTAGTTCAGAGGTTTGGGTTGCCATTGACATATACAAAGTTGCTATGAGTGCAACCTCTATGCCAGTCTCTCCTGCGCGAGCTTTCTGCGGACGACGAGGGCTAGGGCGAAAGCAGCTCCTTGGTAAATCTGAGTCCGGAGCCTTTCGGAAAGGTTTGAGGGTTTAGGGTATATACGGCACCTACATATCACAAAGTGCGGTTTCCAGTGTACAGGTTTGTGCGGGTATCTTTTCACGGGTCAGGGATGTTCAGGGTTTCGTTTTTGTTGCTAGAGGGTTTCGTTTGTTTTTCTGCTGCTGGTAGACAAGACCCTGCATGGTTCGTGGGAACGAGGGCTTGTGTCCGTCAGGTACGAAGCGACTCCCCATTACACCTCTCACTATATCCGTAAGAAGTCGTAGCATCCGCACTATACCGTACAGGTACCACGTTCCGTTTTGAATTTGCTATCTAGAATTAGGGCCCTGCATTATTTTCAGGAGCCTTGTCGTTTCAGGTCATGGCAGCCTCCGGCGTTCAGCGCCACCGCGGGATGAGAGTCGAACAAAAAGTGTGACTAGAATGTGAGGCTGCTTGCATGGTTTTAGAGCCGTGTATGGGGTTTGGGTTTCATGGCCGCTGTAAACAATGGGGACTTCGCGTCGCAGGATACCAAAGCAGGAGCCCTAGGAGTAGAACCCACGATTAGCTAACTACTAGGAAAGGGATATCAAATCTTGAGTCCTCAATGCGGATCCCACCATTAGAAGAGCCCGAATTCAGTAGTTTGAGGGTTCGCACCCGCAAGCCATCGGATTTTGGTAGCTCTTACGAGGGAAGTTCCGATGCACCCGAACCCTGCAACAAACCAAGCATCGTCCGCAGCCGAATTATGTCCCAATCCCTCCAGACCTGTGCCCCGCGCACTCCCAACCTGTCAAAAAACCCGAACCCCCTCCAAGCCCCTAAACCCTCGGCTGTGTTCCAGTTCTGAGTGCTGAGAGTCCCCAAAAGTTTGCGGAACCCAGAAGACCCCCCAAGCCCAACCCCACAGCCAGGGCTCCAGGGGATCAAGAAGGAGCTCCAAGAGCTGGGAAGCCCAGCAAAACTTACCGTTGGTTATGTTTGGGAAATGGAAGAATGGTAGTAATAGTCTAGTTCATGATTGTACCCCATTCCTCCATTCCCTACTAACCCAAGGTAAGAAAAGCAGGGGGTGGAGCTTGAGAGAGTCATTGCTAGAGGGCTTGTGGGGCTGATGATTGGGTTTCTTTCTTTTTGCTTGTTGGGCTTGCGGCGGAAAAGGTTCAGGGATTTGTCGCTGATGAACCTTCGGAGGTGAGCTTGGACTTTAAATAGACTTTCAGCGGTTTTGATTTTGAGGGTTTTGGGGTTATAGGCTTCGGAGGTGTTTGGCATGTTTCGCCTTCAACATTGCGACTTGCCTGAAGTGGAGTGGCTGCGTGGGTGTCACAATTTCCCCGGATCTATTGTTGCTCACGGCGGCTAGAGAAGTATGTTGAACCTGTAACCCGAAGCCCGACGACCAATAGTAAGCTCCGTTATGCTAAATGGTATTGCATTGTTTGTCATCCTAGGTCATACTGTTTGCATGTTGTTATGCTACATAGCTGGCCTTCTAGAAAGAGCTTCAGGATGTCACTGGCTTCCTTGCCCCGGCTGGTGCTTGATGACAACACCTTCCTCTGAAGCGTGATCCCCTATCTAATACGTCACAACCTTCTTACACTCTTGCGAAGCCGTCGTAAAGCTCTTGTCTTGCTGCGCTCTCATTTTTCGTGTTTTACTCACTCAGCCCTCGTGAACATGATGGTTTGAGGCCCTAACCCCTAAATGTGACTGCTGAAGCCCTGAACCCTGATTATATAACTGCCATGCCTGTCCCCAAATCCGAGATTCTGGTGTTTGCGCCCTAAATCCCGAGGCAACGGCAGATTATTCAACAGAAGGCCAATAGCTCTGCCATGGTTCGGAGCTCAGAGCAACAAAGGGGAGGTGTGCTGAGGGTCCAAGCTTCACGGTGTTAGGTCCGGGAGTTTGTGTTTGGGTTGTAGGGCTGGCCGCTTCAGGGTTTAAGGTCCTAGGTCCTAGGGTTCGTAGGGCTTAGACCAGAGGTGTTGGGATGGAGGTCGGCTGTAGGGCTTGTTTGCGTCTCGGAATCGTCAGACAGCGTCCGAGGAGCTCCCATGCATACAACGATCTTTTCTGCATGCAGCACGGGTGCCACCATTTCCTCTTGACCTCAATGCCCGAACTTGTACCTCGGACGTGTTTGTTTTGTATATTAGACAGGCACATACATATGTTGGTTTTCAGAAACAAGGTGTCTAAGTACTCCAATGTTGTCGAAGCTGGGTATTGTATATACTTTGCGACCAAACATACCCCATTCTGGCGCAGCTCCTTCAAATTCTCCCGTTAACTAGGCAGTAAACTCCCTGCATCTTAAAAACCCCAAAGCCCTAAATTCCAACAACCCTGCAAAGTTCAAGCCTTACAAGCTCGACTCGAACAACGAAGACTGACACCCTAAACCTTTAAAGCCTCAAGTCCCGAGAGTGTCTAGGAAAGTTTAGGTTTAGGGTTTACATCCTCAGATGGCCCAGGCAACAGTTCAGGCTCGGTGCTGCTGCCCGGGAGATTCTTTCGGGGGGTTGCCATGATTTTTGTACTAGTCACTAGTGCTGGGGGTCCCCTGTAAAAAGAACCCCAAATCAGGGTCTGAGCTGAAGAGTTTGGCTTCGCGTACGCGCTTCACACGGCATTGAAGCCCTTGGCCTTGAATGAGAGTCCTTTGTTCCTCGTTCGTGTTAGTGAGAGAGATCTGGACACCCTACTCTGCGCTGCTCTACAATACCTGCAGGCTTCCACACTAGCACTGAACTCTCTTTTTTCTACGGATGGTGCAGATTATTGCCAGCGGTTTCAGGAGCCTCACCGGAGACTTGTTTCAGCTTACTGCAGTACCACCACCACCATGGCAATGTTGCGGCTACTGTAAACGCTGCTGCCGAACAAAAACAACGAAAGGCCCTGGAGACCCCAAATTGGTGGCGCCTGAGTTCTGGTTGACGAAGAGTGGTGTTTGTGGAAAGATCTGCATTTCCATGGCTACGACCTTAAAAGTTTGTCAGCATCACAAGAAAGCGGAAAAGCCGCTTCCCGGATCCTTCAAAGCTTGAAAAGGGTCCTTCAAAAACAAGTCCGATCCCGTGCGCGAGGTGTGCGAGTCGACCACGCGACACACCGAAACCCCATACCCGTAATGCCCCCAAAAGAACTCCCTACGACTATACACAAAGAAAGCTGCAAGTTCCTGCACAACAGTACCTGCACACTGCACCTTAGAGCAAAACAAATCACCTCACGCCCTCGATCCCATCAAACCCCGAATCCAACACGCCCTCAAGGAAATGTAAAGCTAAGGCCACAACGATTTTATGCTTAACTTACAGGGGCATTTTCTATTGATCCCCAACGCCGACACACCAAAGCCGACAACGCGTAAACCATGAAATCTCCAGACCCCTAAAGCTGCAATGCCGACTACCGTAACCCCAACGGAGCATTGAGAAGACAACGCCCCGTGGCACATAAGGTCCTGCCCATCAAGACCACGTAATATTTTGAAGGAACTACAACAGATACTCCCTACACCCTCATCATTACTCGCACACAAACTAGTCCGCCATCAGAGTCTATGGATGTGGATTGGGTGCAATACGACACTCCCTTTCGGGAGCAATCCGGGCTTGAACACGATGTTTTTTCTCAGACCCTGAGTGCGCCCGCACCTGAAGCCTTCTATAACTTAATTCTAAATTCGAGACCTAGAGCTCATAAACCCTAAGCCTGAACCGTATAGCAGCCCTGTTATAAGCCCTGAAGCCCTAGAAAAGCATCCTTTTCTCGGGGAGGCTCAGCTCCGCTCCGTGGAGTCTACGCTCGCGTGGAAAGCGGATCAGACGGCCCCGGGGACCTGCAAGACACCGGGTGCTCTCCGGGTTTTTAAGCGGGTGGTTGTCTTTTTTTTGGGTCCCTTTTATAGTACGGCACCTATTATTTTTAGGGTACCCAACAAGGAACCCTAATTTTGTCAACCACCCAAGTGTGTGTTTTTAGAGTGTTCTTTAAGCGTCTCTTGAGGGCTTCTACATGGGTTTCTTTGCGAGGGTTGAGGGTCAGAAGCCGAGCTTTCATGTTTGTGGTGGTTCAAGGCCGAAGGCAAGATGACAATTAAACAACATTGATGTTGGGGCGAAGGGTCTCATGAAGGAAAGGGCTGAGGGTTTGGGCTTCAATCGCTTGAGGGTTTGAGGATGTAAGGTGTTAAAGCCCGAGGTTTTGGGTGTACAGGGTTTACAGTTCCCATTGGCTTTTGCGAGGGGCTTGCAAACGTTTTGGACTTGCATAGTCGCTCCTGTTTGAACAAGGTCAAGGTTTTTCGACCTAGCTATCGATACGGAAGGGGAGAGGCAGATGAAATTTTCGGGATTTCAACTAGGGTTTCAAAGAGGTTCTTCCCAAGTGTCTGCAGAAAGCTTTCCGCGGCTTCTAGGAAACGGAGTTGGGGCTTAAAGTCTCGGGAGACGGCGAGGAAGGTTCAGGTTCTTAGACTTGGGGCATAGGCAATAAGCGAGTTGGGGGCTGTTTGTAGGGCTTCGGAAGTCCAATCTCGCTTTGGGCGGTTGTCGAAATTAGGGCCCCTTGTTCGGTCGCTATTATAACACGGCACCGAATATTTAGGGTGCCCAAAAAGGGGCCATAATTTCGGGATTTAGCGCGCGGGGGAGAAAATCCTGACAAGCTGGACAGGTTTCATAAACCCCGAGAAAATTTGAAAGCCTTAAATCATCTACATATGTAAAATATAAAGCCCATGTGTATAAGGAGCCTTTTTAGGGGATCGAGTCTCAGGCCCTGGAGGAGCACATGCGCAATGCAGAGATGACCGGGAAGATCGCCGAGGGCAAGGCCTCGGGGGCCCTCGGGGACTGGGATGACTTTGGATGAACAAAATCTCGTGGCGCTTTGAGTTTTCTGACTTTGCAAGAGGGTCCATATAGATACTACCGCAGTATGGAATTACGTCCCACAAGACCAACCTCACAATATATGGTGTTTGGGACTTAATAGTTCCATAATGGCAGTGTATATGGGCCCTCTGGGTTTGTTGTTTGTTTGTTATAACCGCACGGCTTTTTGGGAAAGGTCCGTGAACTGGGTCTTGAACGTTCTTGTAAAGGCGCATAAAATCATTCTGAGGACGGGTTTTTCACATTCACTTCGCGAGCGGGTTGTCTTAGACGCGCCTTTCCTGGGATTTGGCCAACATGACGGGCCACTGGGAAACAGCAGGAACTTTACAATCCAACAGAGGAAGTCTAAAACAAAAAACACAGCCACGGCATCCGCCAAACACCTTCCCAACATTCGTAAAGCTTTCCGAAAAGCACAGAATTACAAATGCTTGTAGCAGCAGAGGCAGTACTATTATCAAGAGTAGTACAAGCGCGTAACTGGTGGTAGTCGGGTCGTCGTTGTGCTAGCGCAAATTGATAGCAAAGGTTCCTGGATTCTGGTATTGAAGTACCAAAATGAGACGTAATGATGGCACTGGCCATCGTAATGACATGCTGGGCAGTGGTGACAGTCTCAGTACGGCGACGGCAGTGACTAGCTTCACTTTCAAGCCAGGCGGACCAAAGCTCTGTAAACCGCGCCCTGGCCACGATGCAGAAGTTGCAGGGCCAGGCCAGCTGCAGATCACAGAATGTCCCCAGGAGGTTGCAGAGAGAGCCCAACGCGAGTTGAGCAAGTAGCAACTAGCATGATTGAAGGTACATTGCTTAGTTAAGCGGTACGTATTGGCCTTGCAATGTATATGGGCTTTCGGCGCAGTGTCGGCCCTGTCCCATCAGTAAGAACTTCATGCCGACTCATACCCATTCTATATCGGGGTTTCATGTTTCAGGTTCAAGGTTGTTGGGCCTGAGAAGCACGGGCTGAAGAGTGAGAGCAGGGCTGCGGGACCACAGTGCAAGGTAGAAACGATGCTGATTACTTTTGGGTCCGGGTCCGGGCTAGAGATGTAGCCCCATACCACAAGCTTTAAGGACTATAAGAGCTCTGTGGGACGGTGCGTGGGGGCGCTGGTAAGTCCGAAACCCTACAAGGGACCCAGAAGGCGTGCCTGCGTCAGCGAGTGTGCGAGTCGAAACCCGAAATCCTTGTTCGTGCCAGGTGTCCCAGCTGGAGAAGCTTGTCCAGGACCGGACGAGAACACGCAGGGGTGTCCGGTTGTTAGAGGTGAGTTTGTTCTGGCCCTTGTCATTGTTCTTGTATTCCAAGGTTTAACGTCTACACAAGGGGCGTTTTTGGATTTTCCTAGGCCCACAGCATGTAGTACACTTGACCTCAAGATTCGCAGCCCTGCATTGCGCACACAAGGTTTGAAATCGGCACGCAGCACAGCCTTTCAAGCCCTCAACCCCAAGACCGTAAAGCTTTTAGCAGCACCCACCAGCCGACGATCAAGACAGCCTTCAATTATACACCCTAAGCGCCTGATCCCCGCAACCCTAGACCCAAGACACCTAAAACTGTAAAATGCGAAGGAGGCACAGGGTCGCCTCCAGAAGTTGGAGATGCACAACCTGCCTGGACATGCCGTGGGCCCAAAGTTCATTGAATCACAGGGGATCGTCCTGTACGAGTGCTGCAGGGTCTAGACTTCTTAGTCATACTGCTGTTGGGTTCTAGTCACATTGTCCCAAGCATCACTCACCACCAATCTAGATATCATACAGTTTGGGGCTGTGGGTTTTCGTGAGTCGGCACTTCTGTAAACTTGGGGTTGTCCTGCTTAAGACTTCGTGCCGTGCCTCTCTGAGCATCTCTGAGAGTTTAGTGTGTGTAGTTTTCTTTGAGGGGACGGGGGTGCAAAGCCTGTGTTCTGAAGGCTTGTCCAGGCCTTCTGGCCGTGGGGCTTTGGGAGTTAGGCTTGTTAATTAAGAAGTTCAGCTGGCCGTACCCATTATTCATCCCAGAAAGAGGGCCAGTTGTGTCTGCCCTTGTTGAGGAACCTAGGTTAATTAAGTCGCGCGCCACAACAGGGAAAACAGGTTTGATTGCACTGGAGCCTTATGCCGTCGTTGTAAAGCACTACGCCCAATATATCCCTATCCCATTACATTGCTTTCACGGAGGCTCAGCGTATGTCTGATCAGCTCAGCAAGACGCGAACACAGCAGCTGGGCTTTTTCAGTTTCGGTGCGTGCTTTGGGGTTCTATATCTTGGGGTTTCAGGGGTGATACGGTTCAGGGATCAAGGATTGAGGATTTAAGGCTTAGGGCGATAAGGGTCTTGGGGTTCCAGTAATCAGGATCCTACTAGTTCGGCTGGCCTCCGGCACAGCGCATTTGGGGATTCGGGGCTTGGGGTTTGAGGATGTAGGGTGAAGGCGGATGCAGGGCGCTCACAGAATAGTTTTTCGGATGCGGATTCATCGGGACTGGGGGGTTGGGGTGAAGCCTCTGATTCTGGGCATTTAGGGGGGCCTAGGCTTTAGGAATAAGGGGCTTTGTGCATGTATGAAGTATGGCGTAGCTTCATAACTTGGGGAGCTTAAGGGTGTCGGTGTAGGATTGTTTATTATATTTATGTTTACTTCGTGCTTTTTCTCAGAAGTCACCTAGATGGAAACACAAGGCCAACCACAACACGTTGATATACAGTGTGGGGCTACCCTTCATCAAGGCTATGTGGGCTGAGGGTTTCGATTAAGAGTTACTAAGGAATCTTTACTCCCCATCTTGGATGGACACGTTTGCTTCTGCAGTGTAAGCTGTGAGACTGAAAACCCAAACCCTAACGGCCCTAACGGATGTTTGCCTCAGGATCCAGAAGCTGCAGGAAATTCTCGCAGCCAAAGTGGCGGTGCCCTCAGTCGGAGTGGTGGTAACAGGGCTTGGAAAGGTTCGGGTTTGGGGGATGGCACTTCTGTTCGGGGCTGTGTGGAGTTTCGATGTTGATTAATGCATAATTCACACAGCATCGCACATTGATCATAGTCAAGTGTACTCTGTGAGACGAAGATAGACAACCTGACTATTTACTAAGATTATTCCGCATGCGACAGACCCTTGATCTCCCATATCATAGAACCTTTAGCGTATACAACCGTGTCGAACCTGTATCATGGAACCCTTAACATGCACAACCGTGTAGAAACCCAAAATAACAACTAGCGCCCCCATACAGGTGCCACCAGAGCGCCCCCATACAGGTGCCACCAGTTTTGCCTGGACTGATGACCATGATAATGACCAGGAGAATCCAAAGCGGATCCCCTCAACCCCATATTATTTCCTTTCCGGGAAGGAGCTCTCAGACCTCATATGCACCGCATGACTTCATGACCCTCAAAGAGGCCCCATTTCAGTCCAGCCTCGATGTCGAACCCCCCCCCCCTCCCCCGCCACCCCCGGGCCACAACGTGGATGAGAATAAGGCTCATGATATGACGGCCCTTACAGAAACAACTCCACTGGCCGAGGACAGCCGAGATCTTGAGGCAATGGCATCCAACATGCGTCTTTGGACTTCTGTACGGTTTCTACAACAAGGTGTTAATCATAAGGGTTCAGCAAAGGTTTGTTGAAAGGTTGGGGGGTTTAAAAGGTCGTAGTGTCTTGTGACTCCATGGGGTTTCTACGATGCTTCTGGAAGGGTTCGAGAGGGGTTGAAGGGCCTTAAGTTGTTAGTGTCGCAGGGCTCAGCTAGTGGATACTCGTATTAGATGCCCTAAACTCTAAACCATCTACACGGAGGTATATGTGTATGTGTATATATATATGTATACATATATGTAGGTGTGTATGTATCCATGAATATGTATGTGTATGTGTACGTAAGCAGATAGGTAAATGGATAGGTATACGGATGTATCTATATGTTTACATACAATTGGTTTATACACACACACACATATATATATATATATATGCATATATACAAAGTACATATAGTTTCTATGCTGGGTCCAGGCTTGCTTGGGCTGTTAGAGTTGGGGCTTTAGCTGCGGAGGTTTGGAATTTCAGGCTCTGCTCCGATTATGTGGTATCAGATTTTGGGTCTTTGCCGGCTCTTTGGTTCCGGCTGGGGTTTAGCAGTTTAGGTAATTAAGCTTCTGGGTTGGGGCGCTTGAATTAAGGTTTAGGACTCTATAGTCTAAATCTTTGGGTTCACCTACAAGTCTGGGAGGTGGATGTTTCTATGGGCGCATCCAACCATTTTCACTATAGTTATAATAGAAAACACCCCGAAGCCGTGTTTCTGTTTTTTGCGTCCCCCCCCCTCTCCCACACGGCACGCTGCGGCTGTGCCTCGAAAGCCAAAACCCGGGCTCGAGCCAGCATTTGTCACCGTCTACTCTGCGGCAGGCGCTGACAACTGCGACCAAGGACTTGCGCCGCCCCCAACCGTTAAACCCTCAACCTTTAAACCGTTACAGCCGATTGCTCAGGGGGCTGCGTGCCTTCGTATGCGAAGTAGTCTCCGTCCTGTTGTCTTGGGGAGGGCTTTTGGGTGGGCCTTGACGATTGTAGGGCGCCGGGTTGCACCTTCGTGGATTGGCTCGGATTAAACGATTGGGATTTGGGGTGGATGCTTTGGGATGTCGGGTGTTTATCTTGGCTTCACTTTCAGCGCAGAAAGGGGGATTCGAACAGCACACGCACAATTCCAAGAGAGCTCTCCTCACAGCGTGTTTCATCAAGTGTTTCGTCGCCTGCCCGGTGCAGCCACCCGAGAATTATCGAGGTTTCAACACACCGTTGGTAAACCAAAGTCCCTCTAAACCCTACATAACAACCGGAAACAAGGGGTCTTTTGGTGGCGGAAGTAAGTCTTTTGGTGGCCCCGGGATGCACAGGAGCTGCAGACGGCCGTCGCCCTGAAGGCTCACGGAGCGGCGCCAACAGGGATGGGCCCCTTTTTGCACACTGTAAGTTCTGCATCGAGAAAACTAACCCTAGGCTGCGGTAAACCATCCGCACCATCAACCCCTGTGACTCAAACCCCGGTAAACAGCTCGGATCCGGTCGGAAGCATGGGACCCGGACAAGGAACCTACTACAACTAATTTCGGTGTTCCTCCTGTCAGTATTCGATCATGCTGCGAGCCTTTACGTTTTCTAGCAGTACTGTCATCCTGTCGGGTTTAGGGTTCAAGTAAGAGTTCGGGCATTTGTGTTTAAAGGTATAGGGGCTTTATGCGCTTGGAGGGATTACGGATATTGTTTCAAACCGGAGACGAGAGCGTCTGAACCGTGAGCACTCTGGGCCAGAGCAATGCACGGTCCAGGAGTTATGAAAATCACTTGGCAATCGAATGCCCGTACAGTCGCTACGGAACATTCTACCAATACCCTTGGACAGGCTTCTGTATTGCCGTCGAAGCAAGTAAGATATGGCAAGCATGGATTCTTGCGAGGTGGGTCCTCAGTCGATACAGGACTGCTGCGTTGTTTAGCCTGTTTGTGGCGCTTACTCTGATTCATTCAGGCTTATAACAGGTTTGGGCTACAGCTAGTGCAGGATTTCAGGTGTCTGGTGTTTTCGGTCCAGAGGTTTTGGGTTTGTCGAGTTCGGTGCTCAGGACTACTCTTGGACCTCAAAGCAACGAAAGCTTCATCATGAGCTCCAGAGTTTCGTACGATGAGCTTTGGGTTAATTGAAATTGCCCCGACCGCCTTCAAATTTCAAATCCCTCAGCCCAGGCAGAAGTCTCGACGCCCTACATAACCCTAGAACCGTTAAAAAGCCCCCAGAAGTTCTTGGTAATTTCACTTGACCTAAAACGTTGAAACCTTGAGCCGTAAACCTCAAACTCTAAACCCCGAAACCCTGTTTAAGCCTCTTTGGGACCTGTCAAGGCATCGGAGAAAAGGAGCTCAAAAAAAAAACTGTAGCCCCAACCACTTCGACGCCTTATGCGGAGGAGCTCCGTGGAGCGCTAAGAGATCTGCAGCTCAAGCAATCCGATCACGATTATGCCGTGGTTGCAAATATACTATACTGTAATGGAGCTAGTCTGATCGTCTGATCTGACTTATAATATACGTTTGTTTTTTTCAGGGGGAGGCCGGGGGGTTTAGAGTTTAGGGTTCAGGGCCAGTTTCGGGCCTGAGGCCTTTTTTGGCTTTTGGGAGTGGTGTGTCGCGGCTTCTTGTGTCGGGCTTGGTGAGGAGAGCAGGTTTGTGAGACGTTTGAGTCATCTGTGAAAATAGCTTCTTCCAGCCAACTGCATTCCGAGCAAAGCTGAACTGGTTCTAAGGCAAGCTTTGTAATGACGAAGAAGGAAGTAACACAGCAGCCGGGACATCGCCGCCCCTCCGTTTTTCGATCTTCATCCCGCGGGTCCGTCGGTAGCTTCTAGTAAGGCCGCAAGTATACTCACCCCAACTACTCAGGGAATTTCATCTACTTCAACTGGATGCTACCACGGCTGCCCTGATCCGCAGCTTCAAGTCCCATGTGAACTTGGGGTTCCGCGTGCCCCGCGCTCTCTCTTCTTTGTTGTGTGTGTGTGTGTGTGTGTGTGTGTGTGTGTTTCCCTTCTTCTCGGCCACAAAGGGCTGCACGGAACCCTCCAAACCCTAAATAGAGACCCTACAGTATACTATACCTTATAGGGCCTATGTACTATAAGACTATGAGCCCTATACACTCGGTGCCTTAGAGCCGGATGAAGAGCCCGCATCTTTGCTCTTTTCTGCCAGGTTAGATCTGAAAGTGGATTCGCCTGGGACCCAGCGTGGCCCAGCACTGCATTTGTAGAGGCCTTCAATGAAGGGGTCCCTGTGCAAATATAGGGGCCTGAATATCTAGAGGGGGTTCTATAAGGGTTACTATACGGATGGGGTTTCACAAGACAGGGTTCTAAAATATAGTAAGACATCTACTTATAACGGGAGCACCAAGAAATTATGTTTCTCGCGATGGATTTTTGTTCAGCCCCACGCTTTCTTCCCAAACCGCATTTGCTATGCATGCGGCGGTTGTAAGGTGTCGGGCTGACCACGGGGCCAACACAGCGAATATCGAAATTAAACAGAGGGTGTTTCCTTCACTTTCGGACCAGTGGGGTAGGGAGGATTCACATTAATGCGCTAGGGTGACTTTCGGTCTTTGAGGTTGACGAAGTGCAGGCCTTTGGGTTTGGTCTTGAGCTTTTGAGGGCTTTCGGCTTTGCTTCAAGGGAGGCCTTCGGAGCTTTAGCTACTCTCCAAGGTCGGGGTGTTCCCTAGCGCCCCCCCACAGCGTACTCCGTGAACTGCCATGAACACAATAATGCTTGACGCTGCAGGATGGGACTCTTCCTGCTTAAGGGCTCCTTGTGATGAGGATCGTATCCTTTAGGATCGTTATGTATAGTCTATGTTTGGGTTTCTTCAGATGTAAACAACCGATAGCAGGATGGGGTTGGTGTATGTTTAGGGCTGGTCGAAAGCCCCTTCCGCGGGCTCCGAGGAAGCAGGCACGTATTGAAATTCGATGGGAGGTTGGAGCGTGCTAAATCAACACAGATTTGATGTTTCGATGCAAGGCGGTTTCAGGAGTCCTCGTGCCCTGTTTTGCTCGCAATCGCCGAGGCCGGCTGTCGACGATGTCCGATCAGCGTCCGAACTCCCAGATGCAAGCTTGGGAGCAATATGGGACCCAAGGAATAATCATGGTAATCATGCTCCTTTGAGGATCTTTGAGGGATGTATAAGGTTCCCATCGAGGGGCTTTATGATATTGAGAGCAAGACAAGGTAAGGGGTATATTTCTATGTGAGGGAATGGTTTAGGTGTTGGGGGCTGTTTGCATTCGGGTTCACTCAAAATCCAAGAACTGCAAGACAAAGATCCCCGACAGCCCGAAACCCGCAGAGCACAACACTAAAAGGGCTCGGCATGATGACAAGTAGTCCGTGAGACTTAGCAAGGCATGACTGAATGTGGACCAAAGATCGGATGCACTCTTCTCTCGAGAAGAACTTCAGTGGTGATATATACATATACACACATATACATGTATACATATACACATCCTATACAAGTATCGTCAGGGTTCATGTCGTTTTGGAGCGGTCATAATGACGCCTTGCTAACCTCTCAACGACAGTGTGACGATCAAGTTCGCAGTCGAGAATCTTGCGAACACTAGACCTTACATTCCAAATCGAAAATCGAACAACCCGGCATGCGGGCTCGTGCTTTCTAGGCAAAGCTCTCCGAACTTCCAAACCATCCTTTGTGATTCTTATCTGCGGTTAAATCTCAGGCTTTAAGGTTAGACACATGTACTGAACAGCAAGATGAGCAAAACAAGAACTACCATGGATATTCTGGGTAAACCTGATGCCTCACAACATTGTAGGGCATCCCCAACTTCCTGAAGACTAAATGCTGAATTCGAAAGCCCTTTCGCCGAGGCTTCACAAGGCGCTGTCCCAGGTCGCAGAAAAAGCAGACTCGCAGGAAGGGGCTTTTTGTTGAAGGGGTGCATTGTGGGTTTGGTGCCGATTTATATGAGTTCTTGCAGGGCTTAGGAATGTGGAGTTCAGAATGGCTCTTTCGAATATGATGTAGCGGCCTAGGATTGCGAGCTCGTGGTTTAGAAGGGGATGAAGGTTTCCTACTGGGCTTCTACAAGGGCTGAGCGTTTTCGGGGTTTGGGGTTTAGGGCTTAGGCCTGTGCAGATGCCTCCTTGTTTTGTACCGATGGGAATTACGTTTGGTCCGATTTTTAACTCAACTGTCAACGATCCAGTCCTAGGATTTTAGCTTTCTGGATTTAGGCTTTGGGTTCTCGTATGTCGTATGTCTACCGAGACTCGTTGGAGATTGTCTTCTTGCTCTCTTTCGACACCTGCTTGAAGTTGCCAGGACTTGCGGGAAACCGCCTCGTCCATCCAAAGCCTGAGGCCCCGAGTTAGGGCATTTGGGATTCTTGTGCCATGTTCAATTCAGTCCCTGTAGGGCTTTGGACTTGCTGTTTTTTTAGGTGGGGGGGGTATTTCAGTAGTGTTCTGAGCATGGGATTTCGGAGTTTATTGTGGTGGAACCTGTTGAAATGATTATATACTTTCTGAACCTGACAGGTTTCTTCGAGTGCTATGATATACGGATCTTTGATGGTGATAAGTCTGAGTGTCGCTGGTCCTCACGGATCCGAGGTCCCGAAGTCCACACCTTATCAGCCTTAAGCCGTACACCCACTCAATGCGAAACTCCCATGACTCTCGCTGAGCTCTTAACAGAGCCCTCAGAGGATGGAGCTCGTAAAGTATAAACCTAAGACCACACGAGGATCTCAAGCCGTTCAGAGCCGGCGTTCTGGGTCCAGGGCCTCGTCCGAGAAGCAACATGGGGGGCCCAACATATGGGAGTCTCCGAAAATTAGGGGTACCCTATTTTGGGGTCCTTATAATAAGGATCCTATTATTGAGGGTACTATATTAGGGTCCCCTATTTCCGGAAACTATTCACTTTCCGCTTATCAATGGGCCTATCACGAAGAGTTTTTAGGGTTTGCGGTCTACTATAGAGTGTTCACAAACTAGAAGACAGTTCCTGAGGGATCCTTAAGATGATGCAATATAATGTGCGCCAAAACCCTTTTCTAATTAGTATGGCCTCTCGTTAGGGTCTGGGTTTTGGATTCAGGATGTCGGGTTGCATGCTGGGGGGAGGTGTCAGAAGTGTGGAGGGTTTCTACCCCGACTGCAACTTTTTTGACTAAGCTACTCGCGAAGTCTCCCGGTCCTCCACGTAGTTGGCAGGGCGAACATCGATGGCAAGGCGGCTGTGCACTCAGCTGGAGTTGCGGATTTTCAAACAATTAGGCCTCCTTGGAGGCTTTGTTGTGCCTTTGTTTATTTGGGATCAGGGTAAAGAAGGCTTCATGAGAGTGCCAGAAGGCTGAAGAGCATTTAGGAGTTTCGGGGTTTTAGCCTTTGGTCTTGAAGGGCCGTAGCTTTGAGGATAGGCAGGCACGTTCAAAGCTTGAGCCGGGTGTTACTCGACTCGCCGGTAAGATTCGTCTCACGATGCATTGAGGCTTTTCGAATTCCAGAGACAAGTCGTGGCCATAGGATCGGGGATGAGTGCTCTGTGGTCTGGGGTTTAGTACTGTTTGGGCGGGCATTCCACCTCGCAACAGCTGTGAATTCTTGGATTGAACATCTCGGTCGGTAAACGGCATCTCACGATTCCAAGCTCACAAATCCTCAGCTGCAATCGCGATCTGCATGTCAAGATTGAGGTTGAGGGTATCTTACTTCGGGTTTCATGCGGGGCTTGCATGGTTTTACATTGGGTTTCGACATCCTGCCTCCTGCACCCGGCATCATCCTATTAATCTTGAATAAGCCCGATGCAACACCCCAAAGAAGCCACTTCACTCTCCAATCCCAAGCGCTGGCCAAGGACTTCGCTATTTTGAGCAGCGCTCCGAGATTCTTGCGTGACCTTGGGGTTTAAGCTCTCTGAAGGGATCGGAGTGCTTGTGTCGTCCCATGCACTATCTGAGTCCAATCTCATATCTGCGTGGATAACTAGGAGCAAGTAAGTAGCCACGTAACAAGATGAGTGAACAACGTCAAGGCGATACAGGATACTCACCACCAGCAAAAGACGGACTTGCTTAGGAACATGCTACAAGCAGGATCGAGTTTAGGCATGCCGTGTTCAGAGAGAGGGGTGTTAATCCCCGTCGCGAGACTTCGACTTAGCAACGCACAAAACAGGCTTCTGCTGGTCATAGCCCTGAGAGAAGAGTGACAATCTGGGTCGTATCATACTCTCGCAACTAGTTAACTTCACGGTTTAGTATCGTTTACTTCCCCTGGAAGGATGCAACTGTTCGGTGTACCCGGCACAGCAAGAGACCGGTGGAGCCGACAGCTGGACTCCAGCCCTAAGCCTTACAATGGCCCCAACACTGCACGCTAATCGCTCGAATACCATGTGGCAAAATTATTATCCCGTTTTGGGTACCCGAAGTATTAGGTGCCGTATCATATTCAGGACCCAAAAAGGGACCTTAATTTTGACGACCACCCATGTAATAATACAGCAACACCACAGAGCTCTTCAGCCTCAACATCCTGAGGTACATGACCCTAAACTCTCGTAGTCCCGCAAACTGGAGCCTGATCAAACCCGAAGCCCGAAATTCTGAAGAGTGGGATTTTGGACGAAGCCTATAACACCCTACCCGAAGACCCCAGACCCCACAGCCCCTAAACTGAAGTCACTCTGATTTCAAAGACAGAGAGAACTCGTGAGCAAGACAAGACAGAGACACCCAAACTCCTAGCTCCTAAAACCCCCAAGCACTAAGCACCCCAAGCAAAACACACAAACAACAACAAAAAGAAGAAAGCGCCCAGGCGAGCTCCGGGTTCGGATTCAGGCGCTGGAGTCCGCACTGGTGCAGAAGACCGAAGCCAAGGACCAAAACTGCTCGCCCTCAGGGGCCGAAGCTTCGTTTCGGTTTTTTTGCAAAAGAGCCGTCGAAGGGAGATGGCTCTTGTTGGCACATGTTGCAAAGATGTTCTGTGCTTTTCGTGCTTTTTTTTGCGTTGTTTTAGCATTGCTGATCTGTTTCTTCCTAGGGTTTGGGGACTGCTGGTTAGGTCTGTAGGGTTCGAAGCCGGGATTGCGAGTTAAGGACTTCAGGGCTTCGCGAGTGGGTGGCTTCACGGTTTAGGGTTTATGGATAGCTGGCCTTAAACCCTACGCCCCAAAAACCCGCAGGCCCACACCAGTGGCTTGTGCCAACCTTGACTGCTAGGCGGAAAAAGGTGTTCAAAAAAAAACCTGCAGGACATCCCAGATGTTGCTTCCATCAAGGACAGCTTGGCATCGAAGGCGCCGGGTGTGCGGTGGGTTTCCTCGAATCGAAGCTTCAGTCTAAGGAGGTCCCCTCTCTCTCTCTCTCTCTCTCTCTCTCTCTCTCTCTCTCAAAAAAAAAGAAAAACTGTATATATGTATATATATATATACTTTATGTTTATATTTATACTTATATAAACAGACGGGTTTCGGGTTCAGGGGATCAGAGCCTTAAACTGTGGGTTTCGGTGCTGCTTGCACTCCTCATCAAAGTCCTGCCCTTGTTTTTGAAGCCCAGCGCCCGAGACCAAAACCCCACATAATCTAGGTTGATTGGATGCTGAGTCAATTCGGCTTTGCGGATGTTTACACCTGTTTCCGGTGCTTACTGTAAGGTTCGGATGCACAAGGCGTACGGCTCACAATCCCCGTTCGGGGGGAGGACTTTAGGCCCTGGCTTCAAGTGAGATTAGAGTTCAAGATTGTTTGTACCTTCACGGAAGTTCAGGTGCAAGATTTCTGTTTCGGGATACCTGCTAGGAAGCTAGTGCCCGACCTTGGATCCACGCCACTTGAGCCTAAGCTAAGCCATATGCCTCGCCTGGATTGTCCGAGTGTGAGCTCCGAAACCCGAACCCAAACTATCGCAAGCACCTCTAGAAACAATGCTGTACTGCTAAATTAATGCCTTTCTTCGTACTACTTGGGACCCTAAACCCTACAGCCCTAAACCCTAAAGCCCTACAGCCCTAAAACCCTAAAGCCCTAAACCCTAAACCCCTAAACCCTAATTAAGCCCTAAAACCCTAAACCAAATGGCTAGAACGTTGGACAGGTCATCGCAGTCGGAGTTTTTGATCAAGAGGTTCAATTCCTTGTTGCTGCCAACTGACGAGACATCGGCCGGGCGCAGCTTCGCGTTCTTGCTCGCCATCAAGGAAGGGGATGTGACAACAATTTGGAGTTGAACCTGAACTTCAACTGTAGCCATTTGGTTTGAGCCCGGCCGATGTCTCGTCAGTTGGCAGCAACGAGGAATTGAACCTCTTGATCAAAACCTCCGACTGCGATGACCTGTCCAACAACGTTATCAAGGCCTTAAAAGTCAAGTTCAAGGAGTTAGATCCAGATTCCGGGGACTATTCCAACGAGTTTGTACGTGACCATGTGAAGGAGATCAAAGAGTTCTACGGGAAGCAAGTCGCAGAATTTCGTGAGCGTGGATAGCATGCGCTACCGATTCGCGATCTTAAAGGAATTCCAGGCCGCCAAGATGGATGCCCAGGACATCTTCTTTGCCATGGTCTCTAGCACTCACTCGGCCACGACGATTAGGTTCATACACGGCATTGAATCGATCGCTCCCCCGCCAGTTGTCATGAAGATTACGTCATTCATCTCCACTGGGCTTGTCCGTGCCATGTCAGCTACCACGACCCATATCGCCTCAAACTTTCCCGAGTTCTCAGTGGCCTGCGCCGTTGCCTTCGACACTGCCGTCTTCATCAAAGGATGCAAGGACGCTGACTCGAATTTCTCGATGGGCGATGCCAGTGCCGCGGACTTGCTGACTTACGCCTGCTCGACACATGTGAAAGCCCAACCCAGCTTTCCCAGAACCCTAATCTTCAAGAAACCTTTGACCCGAGATCTTAAGCCCAAAAGCTTTCCTGAGCCTCCGTCAACCCGCTGCACGATGCCCAAGTTTCTCGCATGGACCCCAAGCTCCCGTCACCTTTCAGCCAAGACTTCACAAACACACACACACACACACACACACACTGGTTGAAACCACTGCACTTAGCACCTGAAAGCCTTTTCACCCAGAATTCGACAGAGCATCTCATCATGCTGCCCATGCCGCCGGCAGGTCCCACTGGGACTGCCTCACAATCAAACTTCGGTCTGACGAAGGAGCCTGGCGCGGAAAAGCGGACCGTCGCTTGCTTCATGGAGTCCGCCCTCAGTGTGACGGGCATGAAGTTTGATAGGCGAAGAGTTGCTCTAGTATACAAGTGATGCATTGCCGCTTTGTGTCAAACTCGCTGAAGTGACAAACCAGCCTGCAGCGCTAAAGGTGATGAGCTTGGCCGCGGCCATTATCCATTCCACTCGCATTGTGATCTTGGAGACCAGGGCACCGAAGGTTGGCTCCGCACCGGGCCGTGTGCCTGTCATCATCCACACGAGCTTTTTAGACTCATATGTGCTTGGCAGCAAGCGCCCATCGAAGGTTGAAATGGTCGACATCGGATCAAATAAAGTGGCATCGATATCCATCGATGACTTTGTGAGGGGATTGCAGGACACCATGAACGCAGTCTTCAGCAAGGGCACTGTACTCAACATCACAGAGCACGGCAACTCTATCGATATCACGACCCCTGTCATGCACATTGGCCCGAACTTCAAGGTGACAATGCAGGAGGTGATCGACAGTCTCTTCAAAGATGAGACCACGCAGGCCATGGGCTTGGCACTCGACTTTCTCCGTCAAGTCATCCATGAAGGCTGGGAGGCATTTGAAGTGGACGGTGACAACGTCTCGGGCCTCAACACTGTGATGTCCATGGTCAGTTACGGTCCGTTTGTAATTCCAGCCAGCTCGTCATTTCCTTTGAGAGTGTGCGAGTTCGCTATTTGATTGGCGTTCAAAGACAGTCTGACATTGCTGGACTTTATATAGTGATGTGTATTCGTAAATTGGCTTATAGTTATCAATGATAAGGCAGCTTTGAAGCCCAGGGCCAGCGATTATATCAGTTTCTTGGTCGTTCTCACATCCTCTGCCGTCTACCGGGTGTTCTCTTAGACCAAGTGCGGGCATGTGCTGACTTGAGCTGCGAGGCGAGTTCGGCTTGGACGAGAGGGCTTGGTTTAGCTATGGCTGGTTGGTTTCCTTTGGATGGGGTTTTATTGGAGCTCACTTGCCTTCTCGTTCGACCCAGGGCATGCATGCGTACACTACGTACGGTAACATTGGCTTTCGGACGAGCTCCCTGCGGTGCGACTTTGTCAGCTGGGCGGGTGGGAAAAGAAAACCCTAAACCCTCAGCCCTAAACCCTAAATCCCCAAAGCTCTCTTTGAGTTTTTTCAAAACGAAACTTCCCAAGCTGAGGCCGAGAAGCGGCAGGTGGCCGAAGTAGCAGCGGCCATGGAACGGCATCAGCAGCAGCCGGGGCCTCGGGGCCTTGACCCCCCAAAGGAACTTAGGGCTTATATGGTTTATAGGTTAGGGGTTCTTGAGGGCGGAAGGGTTGAGGGCTCCAGTGCTTAAAGGTCGTGTCAGGGTTTCATACTAGTTTATGGCGTTGTGTGTGTGTGTGTGTTTGTTTCACAAAGGTTGGAGTTTGGGGATTTAAATCATCGCGCTTGAGGGTTGCTGATTTTGGTTTTTAGGTCAACGGATGAGTGGCCGCTAGGTAGCTTGCTTCCGCACACAATCGAAGGAGCTTTCGGGTTCAGGGCCCCGAAACCCTAAATCCTGAGTGAGGGGCTTTGCGATCCAGGCTAATTACGAGTACGTGCTTCCGAGTTTGCCAGCTTAAGGATTGAAGGTTTTGGCGATGCACGGGCCTGAACAGATTCCCGTTTCCAGGATTGTTGCCGAGGGAACCTTATCATCTTGACGTTGTTGCGATGATATACCCCAAAACCTTTTCTAGTTCGTTTGCTTCAGAGCCTTTGGGGGTTGGACTGACCTTTGGAATTGCACAGGCTGCGTGATCCATCAATAATATAGCTTGTAGACTCTCATAAGGCCCGGCAAACCACTACCAAGCTTGTCAAGTGGTTCAAAACAATACATATAGCATCCCTATACAATGCTTGTGCAGCCGACGACTGTACAAAATCACGTAAAGCAGTACAAGACCACGCCCGGGTAAAGGGTTCAGGGTTTAAAATCTAGGGACCCCAAAGGACATCCCCGTCCTGATTTTTGCTTATCTGCTTTGTTGGGTTCCAAACAATCCCATGTTCTGTCAAGGCTTCACTTCAGCCTTGAGAACGATCGCGCTTCCCTTCGGCGTGAGTGGGAGGCTGCTCCAGAGAGAACCCAAGATTCCTTAATGCAGAAACACATGTACTTTGAAGACACCTAAATTATCATCTGATATTCCTCTATAACTTAGGCTAAGATTTTTGATTTTCCTTTTTTCAGTGCACCTCAAGTTACAACATTCGCTCCTTAATGAGTGAAGCTAGATTCCTGAATTGCAGAGTCTTGGGCTCTCTGGCCGCTAGCTGTGGTTGAAGTTCAAGGTCACCTTTCACGACCCTTTTCAACAGTGGGACTTCTCATGCATTTAGCTTCCACATTCGCTTTGTTCCATGCAGAACGTGTTTCAGGGCTAGTTTGAGGAGACTAAACGTGTGGGCCGGTTCTGAGAGAAGCACCGAAATCCTGAGCGCTCTAGAAAGCGGCCTGTGGTTCAGCCGTACAGAAAGCCATGTAGATCCTAAGCGCCGAGAAATGTTGAAACCCACAGCCCTGGTTGCCAGAACGTCGGCGCGTGCCCTGCGAAGTGAAGCTTCGAAGCCTCGTCTGTCGAGACCCCAAAGCTTCACAGCCAGACGATTCGATAGGATCATTAGAGACTCGAGAACCACTCCTTGGCACGTTTGTATCCTTTCTTGCGGGATGTTTCATAAAACCGTATGCCAAGAGAATTGGCGACGTTTCGTCGTTTTGAGTCCTTCCTTGTCACACTGCTCAGTGCAAGCGTGTGCTGCTCTCTTTGATCCCACTGTCTTGGCAAACGCTCTCAACGTTCGTATACCCGACATAGATAAACCCCTTTTCCAAGAATTTCGACTTTTCCGAGAACTTCGAACACCACATTGCGGGCCCTGAAGTTCACAAACTTCACGCGCTGAGCTCCTTAATCAGGAGCTCTGAGCCATGAACCCCTGCAGCCATACAAGCGCCTAAACCCTAAGCCCAAGACCGTAACCCTTCGGGACTACCGAACCCGTAAACCCAAAAGCCTAGACAACAACATCTGCAGCATGGACTGAGAAATCGAGATGGGTCTCGAAGAATGCAAGGCCAAAGTGGAGAAGATGGACCTTCTTGAGCAGAACTTGGAGAGTGTTCCCTGCCAGAAGCGGTTTACTATAGGGGCCTAAATAGTTGCGTTTATTATTTTGTGGGGCTCCTTAGTATAGGTATAGTATAATCGTCACCAAAACCCTGTTCTGATTCTTAAAGCCCCTGCATTAGGGTTTCAATGAAGTTCTAAGGATTATCGAAGTACCTGAAGGTAAGCGTTGTTGTCTAGAGCTTCGTCTGGGGTCTTGATGTAGGAGTTGAGAAGACAGAATCGTCATTGAGCCAGGATTTTGAGGGCTTCTGTGCTGCCAACATATTTGCGATCAAGGAGTACTATATCTTCCCGTTCAGGCCTGTATACCACTTGGGGTGTGATCGTGACCATGCATTCATAACTGTTGGGTAGGCGGGCTGTCTAATACAATAAACCCTAAAGCCCCAGCAATGCACGAGGCGAAGCGGGAAGACAACCCCAACCTCTTCCTAGGTCCTCGTGGTCGTGGAGGGTTTACAGCAGAAGGCGGTTCGCGCCCCAGCCGTGGCGGCCGAGCAATTCGGTAAGGGGGCTGGGGTTTTGGGGCTTGCGATCTGTGGGGAATCCGTTCGGGATGTAGAGTTCGCTTGGGAGGGGGCTCAGGTTAGGTCTTCCTTTTGCTGTTACATTGACGGGCTTTGCTGGCAGTATTGACTTGCTGGCGCTCTCGGACAAGGTCTTCATAAATAGAGCATCTGCAACCGCGTTGTTGTTTCGGGTTTTCGTTTTTGGGATGCTTTGCGAAGTGGGTACTTCGGCTACTCGACGCTGTGCTTTTGTTTCGTGTGTGCACCCTAAGGCTGCATTCAGCCTGCAAGGAACATTTGGCGCACGAATCCTGACATAACGTCCGAGTGCGAGCGCCGAGACCCTACATAAACCCCAGAATGCCTGCACTATTTGTTAAGGCCTCTGTAGTATGCTCAACAAGTTTCCGGGGTTTCCTCGAGTGCGCAGGCTAGCGAGACCCGCTGGTGCAGTTGTTGGATCATTCGGTTCATCCTTGTTAACTGTTGCACTTGAAACATGTTGGCTACGATGTACTCACCATTATGTCGCTATTTGTTGCTGCTGCTACTTCTACTATCATTCTCAGTATTACAACTTTAATACAACCACCTATTATGATTTTTAGTGCTATCTTCTTAACTACCCAGAGCTACCTAGCACGGGCAGGCATTGGCCACAAACGCAACTATCCCGCGCGTGACAGTCTTAAGTAAAGAGCTTACCTGAACATATAGGTCTACGATATGGATTCTTTCTACATGCTAAGGCACATTCCTCAATTCGGGGGTTTTGGAGTCTTTGGCAGTAATTACAGTTCTGCACACTTGGAGGATGCGACTCCTTGCCGCGGTGAGCTGTCGCCTTGTCGTGCGGGCCCTGTTTAGGGCTCCGGAACTCGGGTTCAGGCATTTGTGTGTTCCTGGGTTCGTTGTTAAGTGAAGTGTATACAGAATAAGTAGCATTTCGGAGATATGAGGTTGAAGTCTGAACCCTAAATCCCAACGCTTCGTTGCTAGTGGCTCCTGCGCAATATCTTCAGAAGGTCAGGTTCAGGATCTTTCAGTTCACCCAGATGTAGGGTTTAGAAGCATTCACAGCAGTAGTTTAAAATACCTGTTCGCTCTCTGCGACTCACACTTTCTTTCTCTTCCTCTATTTCTCTTTGCTTGTCTATGTGTGTTTTAAACTCTGTAAGCCCTAAACCCTAAAGGGGCCCTTGAAAAAACAGCCCTATGAAATGCGGCACTCTGCAAGTCCTCCCCGATCGGCAGAGGCAGCGACTCGCCTCCTCCGGGACCCGGTGGGGAGGCCGCTCCAGCAGTGGCCAAGTCTTACTACAGGGGCTTAAAAAATTAGAATAGTGTTTTTGGGGCCCAATATTCTATAACAGTAACAATAAGGAGCCCTCAAGATAGTATAGGTACTTATTTCGGCCTGTATATTAATGTCTTAATGCAAGGCTGATGCGTTTAAGACAGGTCCTTGGACGCCTTATGTGACAGTTATTTGGGTGCAAGTGTGCAACGTATACTGAGCACTGCCGTTTTACATCTCACTTCTACACATATTTTGTTTCGTGGCTCTGGACCCCGAGACCTCAAGGGACCCTGTAGTTCTCGAAAACAAAGCTTGCACCTTGTGGCTAATGTAGGGCCTTACGCAATAGTGCCAAAAATGTGTTGGGGTACACGATGGTACACGGTTTGATTCGCGACGTGGAAGAAGTTTCCCTTCGGCACTCGGAACCCAACGAACCGCTTCGAGCAGAAACCCTGTGGCCAGCCATAATATGCCAGCCGAAGCGGCGACAATGTTGCTGCGGCATAATATAGGGGTCTAACAATAACTACCAATACTATTTTCTGTTGTTTTTTGTATAATTACAGTATAGTGGGCCCCAAAGCCCTGTCCTAATTATTAAGGCCCCTACATTCGGTTGAACCATGGAGGTTTCTTCGGTCTTGGAGGAATCGTCGGGGATCGGAAAGGCTTTCAGTTTTCGATCTTCGGGTTTCAGGTCCGGCTTTTGGGGCTTTAGGCTTGAAGGGCTTTGGCAGAAAAAAAGGGTTTAGAGGGTTTGGAGGTTGGAATCTCAGGGGCCCTCAAATTCGAATTGAAGACTCAGAAGACTGCGATTGCGAGGAAAACACGCCTCACATCAGAGCCTCATCATTTGGACAGTCACTCGCCATAAATTCCCGACGTCCGGTACGAGAGATATCGGAGATTTCAAGGTCTTCTGAAACATACTCTGAACCATGACATACAGGTGAGTGTTTCAGAAAGATCCCTACAGGACCTTGCCAAAGAAACTTTGATCAGGAAGCCTTATCTTTCGATGAAGCAACGCCCAACTTGATCTAGTCTCCGAGTCAGGCTTCGGGCAGGGAGGTTCCTCACATTAGGCTGCCTATGATTCCGGGACCTGTCGCGCAATCCTCCAACCGGCTATTTAGAATAGATACCTTTATACTATTTTTACGTATAAGTATATACATAAGTACACTGTGCAGTAGATCAATTGATAGAGCTGTAGTTCTCGAGGCATCCATCAGTACACCTGAAGAGTTCGAAACTGACACTCAGATATCAAGCCGTAGCCCTCGCGGGTAGGGGTCTGGTACCATACTGTTGGATATAGGCGACTATAAACTCCAAAGTTCGTATCCCAATCATGCCAAGGAGCGTAACATAAACTACTTACTTGTACTACATCTACTCCGAAACCCTATAAACCCTAAACCCTGATCCTTGCACGTAGGCTCTCACTGCGAAGACCGACCAGCTGGAACACTCCATACGTCAGGCCAGAGTTCGTGTTGCTTACAATTACCAAGATTAATTCCCCACCTCTCCTAACTTCAATGAGAAGCTATAGTGGATCCCGAAACCCTGAATGCCCCTTTATTTATACAGGCCCTGGGTTTCCGTGGTTTCGGCCCAAAACAAGATAGCTCAGGGCTCTTTCTTGTGCGTGACACAGTAGGCTTTCGGGACGTTCCTGGATTTTGAGCGTGGTGGGGTGGTGGTGGAATGCTTGGGTTTCTGTTTTTGCTTCGGTTGAGGGAGGAAGAATCCCCCGATCCGTTAATTTCCGTCAGTGCCTCAGATGCAGCCTTTAATTATAGTTTTTGTTGTGAAATGCTGGGTAGGATCGCTCATTAGTCAGGGGTCTATGAGAAACCTCAGGTTTTCGGAGTCAGGCCTGCGTTCTCTGATTGAAAACGGTTCCACGCTAGGCTTCATGCGACTTGGAAGGCCGGGGTACCTGGTAACGGGGCATAGGTGTGTCAGTGTCATACATGTATACATACAGTGTTATTTTGTATCAGCTTTTAGTTTTTTGTGTGTTTTCATTTTCGACCCTACTAACTGAACCCTGAGCCAGAGGTGCTCGACTCACTCCTGCGGATGCAAAGAACCGCCGCGGGGGCGTAGCTTTTAGAGAGTTCCCACCCTCGTTCGCTGCTTTACATTGTTGGGCTTGGTGGTGGGGGAGTATAAGGCTGATAAGCTCCCCCCCCGGCTATTTGGGGTTGTATCTTATGTTTGTTCCTTGTTTCCTGAACCGCAGGTGCTCCACTCCTTGGATAGCAAAGCCAGCCGGGAAGAGCTCGAGGCACACGTTTCGTTTGATTGTCGTGTTTCCGTGTTGGAGAACGTCTGGAAGCTGTTGGAGTCATGTTGATTTTGTAGAGCTATATGCTTGGAGCTTACGCTCGTGTTTTATGAAGCAGTCTGCGGCTGGACTTGCTGGGTCGGTCTGCAGCCGAGATGCGTGTGTGGTTAAGACTCCATCTCGGACCTTGGACCAAAACTTTGGTCACTTCGTGCTTAATGGGTATGTTTGTCCTCAACCTCTTACTTGTGGCTTATCCCCTTACCCGATGATACACACCATATCCTTATTATGACTGGAGTTAGTGCGGTCCCGATCATGCCAAACCTCTCCAAAATCCGGAAGATGCAGAAAGACCTAAACCTTCAGTCCTAAACCCGAAGCCGAAGCCCTCACGCCGACCAGAACATATGGAACCTCGCCTCGCCTGGCTGTACCCGAGTTGTGAAAGCGTAAACCCAAACTTGATTTAATTTTCTAAGCTCGAACAAGGTTTAGGGTTTAGGGGTTTAGGCTAAAGGGTTTCGAAGCCCGTAAAGAGTACAGTCTCGTTGACTTCAAAGCAACTCAACTGTCAGGAGCAGCTCGCTCTGTCGGCCGAGTTGGCGGGACAACACCAGGCAAGGCCGAGAGCAGGGTGGTGGACGCAGGGGCAAGGGCTGAATAATCGCATAGTCGAAATAATCATATTATATATATATATAGATAGATAGATGGATAGGTAGATAGAGCATGTGAATGTCCGTGCTTGAGGTGTGGGATCGGGGCGTCAAGACTGTCCTTCCTGGCTTAGGGCTTGGCATTTTGGTCTGTTGATGGACACTGAACAGTGTAAATCCTAAACCCTTTCTAAATACCCCTGAATCCCAAAGTCCTAAATCTGATGACTCTGGGCTTGGGATATGGAGATCGAGGCTGTTGTCCGAGAGTTCTGGCACAAGGAAATTGGACCTCAGAGACTTGCAACTACCCTCCAGCACAGCTGACATGCCCATGGCTAAGGACCATGAGGGCGCTATTACTGTAAGGACTGTAAGGGTGCTTTGGAGTCACGGTTTTGGCCCGCACTTAGAGAAGGTGGGTGGTCACAGGGAGCCAATGTTCAGGACTTGCGGTCTAGGAAAAAATGGAGTTTAGAGAACAGGGCTGTATCGCCCATACTACAGGCCTTACTGGAACGATCTGTGGGGACACCGGTAGTCTTAACTTCTGCTCCTAAGCCTTGATTGAAATCGCAAGCCAAGTCCGAACATCTTAAAATCTTAAACTCAAGCCGTCAAGCCGGAGTGATGTGTGCAAACCTAACCTCTGCGCCCCGAAACCCTAAGGCAAAAAATCAAGCAACACAAACAAAAATCTTGATCCCAAGAGTCCGTACCCTACAAGAGACCAGCGGAATCCAGACTCAAGATACGATTCTAATTGTGGAAGCCAACAGGTCAAACGACACTCCTTCCTAAACCCATCCAGACCGTCTAAAGCAAAAGGGAAAGCAAACAGCAACAACAACCACGGATCGCTGAAGTCATATGAAGAGCTTCACCCTGAACCCTTAAGCCTCTAATATAGGCGACTTATTAGGCACTTATGCTGTTTTGGGGTGCTGATTTGGGGATTCCTTATTGTAATTATAGTATAATGGAGCCCGAGGCCCTATTCTATCTAATTCTTAAGGCCCCTATAGTAGGACCATCAAAGCGAATTGAAGGCCGTTGCCACGAAGATCACCTCTTTGGAGGTGGACCTTCGGTCGGCTCCAGCCTTGGCTGTGGGGTTTTAGGGGGGAGGGTGGTTTGGGGCCTTGGGAATTACAAATGCCATTTTAGGGGTTCCGTATTATAATTTTAGCATAGGCTTGTGAATTACAAATACTATCTTTTGGGAGGGGGGGTTCCTTGCTATAACTATAGTAGAATGGGCCCCCCAAAACCCTGCTCTAATTATTAAGACCCCTACAGTGGGGTTAGGGGTTTCGGGGATGAGAGGTTTCGGGGTTGGAGGTTTAGGGTTTAGTGTTTTCAGAACTTAGGGCTTAGGGTTGGTGGGTTCGACATGACAAGGGGTGGGTGGTGGTTTTTGGAGCGTGCCGTTTCGGTGCAGGATTGAGAGCAAGGAGCTTTCGGCATGGGCAGGCAAAGATAGGGTAGAGCAGGGTTTTTTGAAATCCGTGCAATCTGCACGGAATGATGGACACTGCTGCCCAGTTCCCATCCCTTCTACCCGGCCCAGCATGAAAGCCTTCGCGGGCCGCCCTCCAAGCTTGATGAATATGATCGACTTGTTTTGTGGGTGAAGGGTTCGGGCGCAAATTGCACCCTACGCCCCAATACCCCATGAGAATTCTCATAAGGACTTTTCAAAGGAGCCCTATAAACCCTGTTAGGCCCCTCAGAAGAACCCTCTACTAAAGGAGCACTATAATGCCTAAATTGTTTAGTTACCCAGGTCCTGGATCTTGTGAAGCACAAGGTTGATCGCGGGGAGATTGAGGAGACAGGGAGTTGCGATTCAGACAGGGCTTGGCATGTTGGTGCGCTATTAGGGTCTAGGACTTCGGGAGTAAAGTCTACAGGCTTTTAAGGCTGTTGCAAGTTCCGTGGTTTAAAGGTGTAGGGCTTCGGCGTTTTAGTGAACAGGGCTGCCTCTTTTCTGAAGCCAACTTAGACTTGTTTGAGCCGCTAATTGCAGAGCATCGCTGCAATGAGTCCAGTAGTTAGCGCCTTAATCGTGTCCCCGCCCTTCCGGAAGCTTGAAATTTTACCTTGAACCCTATCACCCTAAAGCCGTAGGCCCTAAACCCTAAGCCTTGAAACCTTCTACCCGAGGCTGCCAAGCCTTAAATCAAAACTCCAAGCCCCAAGACCCCCAAAGCTGCCCTATAGTTGAGTTACACCTATGATAGTCCTAGAGATTTAAACCCCAAAGCCCAAAACCCTATACCAGAATCAACCTGGAAACACTAAACCCCAAAAAACTTCCTCAAGCTAGCCTTAAATCCCCACAGGTTCAGGATCTGATGCCCCAAACCTCAAAACCCACCTCTTAACACCCGAAAGCCGACCAACCCCCAAAATCTTCGGAAGACCAGCGACCCTAGTGAGAATCGACCGTCATCGACTTTTCACACCGACTCCGCACCAAAGAACCTCGCCTGGCTGTGTCCGAGTTGTGAGAGCGTAAATCCATCAACGAGCATCGATCGTTCAAATTATTCAGGTCCCACACCCAGAAATCTCAAAACCCTGAGTCCCCAGAGTAAGAGTGATTATGAGAGCCACGTCGGTAACGACGGCAACAACCATCACCACTATCACCACCACGACAATCACTATCATCACCACCGCCACCACCACCATCATCATCAGCATCCTCATCCGTCATCAACATCGCCACAATCATCCTTATCATCCACAATAATCTCGAAATGACTTTGCTCCCGAAGCATCCGAAGGAGCTTCTGTCTGCCGCCGCGGAGGCCGCCGCCGAAGGCATCTCCGAGCCGAGCCCCCAGCAGCAAAAACATGGGGGGCCTTTGGGGCTTCAGGCTTTCACAGGGGCTTTTTTAGGGCTTCATAGAGCTTCTAGAGTTTCATAGGGTTTATAGGGTTTCGGGATTTTTAGGGCTTCAGGGTTCAAGTTTTAAGCTAAAGCGTTGTAGTATCTTTTTCAGGAATCCTTAAAGCCCTAAAGCCCCTTCGACCCGAAGCCCTCCAGCCTTATACGGTGACCCTCAAACCCAGAGCCCGAGAGGCCCGAGGACCCTGAGCCCCAGAGCATTACATTATAGTAACACTTAAAGGAGCCCGAGAACGTAGGAACCCCCCCCCAAAACCCCATACAACCTAGGACCCCCAAAACCCTAAAACGCACCACCCCCCGAAACCCCGAAGCCCAGAACCCTCCATGACCCGACTAAGCAAGCACTTGTACCCGGGCCAAGGTCGCTTGGCGGCCCCGCCGCCCCAGGCCCTCGGTCTTTTTCCTAGTAGAGTTAGGGCTTCGGCTTGAGTTTAGGAGTTCGAGTTTAGGGTTTAGGATTTTTTAGAGTTTAGGGTTTAGGGATTGGAGTTTAGGGTTCAGGGTTTAGGGTTGTGTAGGTGCAGCCTCGGAGTCTGTTACGAGTACAGCCCGGCCCGAGTCAGCTGTCCTGTCGTGACGTCGCAAGCCAGTTACACAAGGGGTTGAGTAGGTAACGTTTAACCTTTTAGCCTTTTCTTGGGGGTATTCTATACCCTACATGACCCTATGCACTCCATCATCATCCCAAAGGTTAACCTTTACATCCCCGAGGGTGCTGGACAGGTAGGCTTTCTGTGTTGTTGTGGTGGTTTCCAGGGTTTTCGGGGTTCAAGGTTTTTGTTGGACTTTGGTTTAAGGGTTGTAGCATTCCAGTAAAGCAACAAAGCCGTTGGGGTTCTTGTAGTTTGCGGCTCCTCCATGCAAGTGTCATTACTGGCTATAGTGACTATAGTGGAGCTTCTTATTTGGGTCTAGGCTGTTTGACGGTCCTGAATAGAGAGCTTCGGTTTTCCTTAACTGTTCCTTGCTTGGGGTTTGTGATGATTTGTTGGCTTTTGTCCACTGTTTGGAGACGGTTGGTTTTGCGGTATTTTACGGTTGGTCATTCCGGAAGTATTTTTTCGTGTTTTAGGTGCCTTACTGGTTCCCTAATAGTGGTTTCGTGTACCGCAGAGGTTCCATACTTGGGCGAGGGTGTTTTTGCTTATTCGAAGCTTTGCATTTTCCAGATCCTAAGCCCTCCCTAGCCCTAACCGTAAACCCTTATGAACCCCAAACCCGAGACCTTGTGATGGGCGTTTCTAAATCCCAAAATCCCACACCCTAACCCCGACCTGAGCAGGTTCCAGCCCGGAGCCCGGGAGTGGCGGCGGGACATGGAAGGTGCGATTCCATGGTGGTGAGCACAATTTGGCATAGGGTTCGGGGTTCTTGGTGCTTAGGGAAAAGATGGCTTATTCAGGATTTTGGGCTCAGTCTTTCTATAATATTGCCACGATACAACTGTTCTTGTACTGGGGTCTACCCCGCAGGTTCGTGCAAGGTTAACCATCCAACGCCAACGCCCGGCTTTGGGGTTCATCCGGGCCTGGTGGCAGTCGACAGGAGCCTGTTGCGACGAGCGCCGAGGAGGCAAGATGGTCTAGGATTCGGGTATGTTCAAGTATATGAGAGTTGTCTAGGGAAGTTGGGGCTTTGGTTCGCTGCGATGCTGGAAGATTAAGACCAATGCACAAACCACACAGTTGTACCCCTACAAATAAACAGTTCTCAGACCCTACACCAGGGAAGCCCGAAACACCCCAACCTCACAACCCTTTCAAGCCTAATCCGCTTTGTTGTAGCTGACTTCAGAGAATGCCTGAGAGCTCCCACTGAGTATATAGCTGAGTAAACACTTTTGAGCCCTCCCAGGCACATTTAGTCCTACCATCATTGTGAGGTAAGTTCAAATTTCGTACGAGCACTCGGCATGGGAAGGGCGCTAAGGGACACCATCTTGCATGGCAGCAAACAGCCATATGAGGATGCATGGTTCAAGCTTGGGCTTACTTGAGGTCACGCGGCGATTTGCAAGTAGGGAAACGTACCTGGTATTTCAATTTGAGAACCCAGCCTGAAAACAACACGTGCGTACACAAAAAAACCAAGCAACCGCACCGTCCTGGAACCCTCAACACCCAGGACCTGGAACACTAAACACCCGAAGCCCCCCAAAGATGTGGCCTCCTCGGTGTACGGTTCAGACCCTGGATTGTAGCACAGTGTTGCGGATAGCCTGTTTTATGGTTCGGGCCCTTTGCCAAAAAATACTGGAACTCAAGGCCTACCCCCTAGCAATTAGAATTCAGCTAGAAAGTCCGTGGAATTCGTATGTATATAAAGCCTGAGTACCGCAGCTCCAACCAAGGCTCTTGCAACTACACGCCCCCGAGCACCCTATAAGCAGCAAGAACAAGAACATCAAGAACAAGCACAACCAGAACCACACGGTTTCGGGTTCAGGCTTCAGGGCTTCTTGTTAAGGTTTTAGGCAACTGAGCCCTTAAAAACCCCAAACTCCCTAAACCCTAAACACCCCGAACCACATGCCTCGCCTGGATTGTCCGAGTGTGAGCGCCGAAACACCCCGAAATGCCCCTTCCTCGCTCTCCAGTTGCCAAACATGGACTACGTTCGCATGACCACAAATGGTCCCATCCCCAGGAGCCTCTGGCCGAGCGGCCTTTTGAGGTCTACTCATTCTCTCTGCGTAAACACATAGAAATTCCGATACATACATATATATATATATATATATACATATGTAATTGTATATATACTGACATAAATACATGTTTAATGATATGGGTTTAAGGTCCGGTACGGTCTTCTAGGACACACTGTTGTATGGTGTTCAGGTTCATAGGGTCTTGCTGGCTCTGCTCGGTCTATTCTTCCGTCATGGAGATTGTGGTGGTCTTGCATTGCTTTGGAGGGGACTATTTGGGCCTCAGGGTTGCGCGGGGTCCAAGGGTTGGGCTTGGGGGTTCAGGCGCGATGGGGGACGTTTAGGGGTCTGTTTGCTCAACCGAAAACCTTGTATAGTAAGCCTAGAAACCTGAAACACTGCAAGCCCAAAGCACTCAACGCCAAAAGCCCGACACCTCCGTACACCTGAAATAAAAAGCCCAAAACCCGGAAGAAAGCTCTCACAGCTCCAACTCCTCAACCCCCAAACCTCAGGACATGTAATATACCGCAAGACCTCTTCCTTTATAGTAATCCCCAAACTCAATATAATACGCTGGGAATCCTAAAAGCTTTATCAATAGTTCTAATCCTGACGGTCTTGAAGCCTATAGCTTTTTGGAGCCATCTGCAGAGACCCTTAACACAAGTCTGTGTAGGCCTACCTACACCATTATCGACCGCCAGGGCACCTAAAAACTCCATATCCGCAAAGAAGACCCTATTCCCATAACAACGTTTGATTTGAACGAACCCCATATTTTGAAACAGAACCCGTAACACCCAACCCTGTAAAACCAGAAGCCTGATACTCAGATTAACCTACTATTTGCTTAAGAACCCCCCAAAAAATATTCCTTATGGGGGTAATATAGGGATTATTATTTTTTTTTGGGGGGGGGTTCTTAAGCAAATAGTAGTAACCCTCAACCCTACAAACCGCCCTTAAACCTAAACCCTATAAACCCTATCCCTCCAAGGACCTCATGGTTAGGGCCCGCGGCCCCTGAATGACCCCATAAATAGGTCCCTCGAGGCATAGGGTAAAGACCCTTTGAGCGAAAAGGTACCTACACATCGGAGCTCTCCCTGGAGGTCAAGGGCTTTAAAACGGGGATCCTTGGGAAGGGAAACTCTCGAACAGGTTGATGAAGGTAATGTAGGGGCCTGGATAATGACCTATGCTATTTGGGGTTCTTTAATGTATTTATAGCATAGTGGCCCCAGAACTCTATTCTAATTATGAAGGCCGCTGCATTAATGTCTCTATCGTGGCAGTGAGGTTTACACTCGAAACCGGTAGCCAGCCCGCATCAGTTCTCCATGAAGGAAAACAAGATAATACAGGGGCCTGGAATTATCACAGGGCATGGCGCAGGTACGAATGTAAAACTGCACAGCGATTACAAGGGGACAGTATAGCTAATTCTCGGTTGTGCAGAAAGCAGTGTGGGGTTAACTCATGCATGCTGGAATATCCAAGTTCGAGTTTGCAATGGATATTCACATCCGGAATACCACCATGTACGCACATGGCACAGCAATCGAGGGTTTACTGTAGGTACCGCCTCTGAAAATAGCATGGCTGATGTTGCAGGATGCGCCGACCAGCGCGGCTGACAAAATTTCCATGGCCCCGGGCCCGATTGTGGTCCACATAGGATATGCTCGATTGTATGAGATACTGCTATGAATGCTACCGTATGCATATTACGTCCGGCATTCGCTGTCTCACTTGCGAGGTCGTGGCTGTTGGCAGTAGAAGTGCTCTCTTTGTTGGTTCAAACCTCTTTTTTGGCGTCATCACAAGTCCTCGTCACCTTCGCAGGAACATCTTTGCGGCGGTAGAAGAATCGGTGGCAGTGTTGGTCTAGTTGCTGCAGCATAACCACACTCCTCGTATTACTTCTGCTGTTACTACTACCACTTCCAATACCACTACCACTACCACCACCACGACGAAGACTACCGCGACGACGACTAAGACTGCGACTCCGGTTCCTGTCGCTACGATATAGCTGTCACTATACTCTCACTACCACCAGTGACCAGTGAAGAGTCTGCGTCTTGCGCTTATGCGGTACCCGGTATAGGATCATAGCCCGAACCCTCAACGAAAGAAGCCCGAGTCTGAAATCTTTGTTGCCTATGCCCCGTTGTGGATGCAGCCAGAGCTCAAGCAGAAGAGCGTGAAGTATCGAGACCAAGACAACACTGAGGTGGGCAATAATTTTTCCGCCGCGACGAAAAGTCCGGACAGTCGCTCGGCTTACTGAGAAGTCTGAACCCCCCTCCTTGCAAGAGTCTAGGAACTATAGAGTTTATAGGGTTCCTGATCAATGAACCCCTTCTTCTGCAGCATCACTACTTGTATCTTCATGTGCTGGTTCTCGAAGCAGGTATTTTTGCTTGCAGCCGGGGGGTTTCCATCATTAATGTTCAGTCCTAAGGATGTACTTGGTGGGACACAGATACTCGTGTGTTCTGCATTTGTTTGTCGCCATGTTTGATTAAACCGCGTATGATCTTCGAACAAGCAGGCTCGTTTGCTCGTGAGTTTTGGGCGCCCAGGGTGCCTGGAAGTTTGAGTCGCAGCAGGGCTTGGGCTCAACCTGTGCGATCCCGAACAGATAACCTTTCGGTGCGGGGATGTGACATATCTCGGATCTTGTGAGGTGAGGTATTATTCAGAAGCGCACAAGTACAAAGGACGCATACATCCTTACTTCTACAACCCCGAAAACGCCCAGAGTTTTCGGTTTGAGCGTTGCCTAAAGGGCACCAGTTAATAGTGTCGAATCTATGAATCTATGACTAGCCACCTACTGGTTAACTGGAACCTTCAAATAGTCCCCGGGAAATGGGTCAAGGGTCCAGGGTCAAGGTGAGTTGCTTTAGGAGAGCTTCGTTGATTGCCTTTGACTGAACGCAGGGCTTCAAGAGCACCTGCAATGTGTTGCAACGACTTCAACCGGCCTTGCATATTCTATGGGAAGACAAGCTACTATATGGCTAGCATCCGCACCCAAGCTCTTGGCAATCACTGATTAGCGGCTTGACTGAAAAGCTGTTGAGGTACTGGCAGCGGCCACACCACTCCGAGAATGAAGGGCTCTGCCCGGCGCTGAGAGGTATCCAGAAACGCGGAAACACTAGGCCTCAGCTCAAGCCCTAAAGCCGAAACCCATGTTGGTTTGTTGCCAGGGACTTTTGCGAAGTCCTGTTTGCCTGAGGAAAGCCTTGCGCATGAAACCGCTATAGGAACCCTTATATACACTAAACGCCGAAAGAAGCTGTTGCCAAGGAAGTTGTGCTTCCTGGGAGATGAAGAAACTTCAAAGCCGTCTTGGGTTACATAATAAATAGAGGGGCCTGAACAATCCGCAATCTTCTTCCTTAGGTTCCTCCATAGACTTGACTTTCATGATACACCTCCAAACACCAAACTCTATAGTCTATATAGGGGAAAATAGTCGATACAGTCACTAAGGACCCTGTGGTACCCTGCCAAAGGAAAAGAAGCCCCTTAAACCACCTCAAGGCCTCGGCTCCCTCGGCGGCTGGCCTCATTGCATCCCTGACCGGCGCAGAGCTCAGTGGTGGGTGCCTCCAAAGGATGGGGAGGGGAGGGAAGGGGGAAGGGTTTGGGGTGCTGTTTTTTTTTTTTTTGCGGTTCTCGGGGCTTTAGGGTTTTCGTTAGGGTTTTGTGGGGTTTGGTTCCAGTATAGATCTAGAAGGTGCTATTGCAACGAGCCCGATGGTCGGTGGTATTAGGTTTTGGTACTGATGGACAAGTTGGATCTGCCCATTACAGTAGCAGCTGGCTCAGTGTTCTGATGAAGGTCCTTTACCAACCCTTGGAATTTGCTTCAGTAACCCTTATATTAACCCTGGACATCCTTTGAAGATTCCCACCCCAAAGAAAGGAAGCAATGCTCTATAGGTGCATGTGGTTCAGGTTTTTGGTGTCATATAGGGTATGTGTACTGCAGCCCCTCCTCAACAAAAGTTTGTTGGGTGTTGTGTGTGGGTGTGTGTGGCTGTTTTCGTTTGTTGTTTTCGAGGAGAGGGGGCGAGCCTTCGGGCAGGATGGCGTGTTTTTGTTTTAAAGTCAGGGTTCAGGCTTGCAGATTTATGCTCTAAGGCTCAAGTCTCGGGGCAAAAGCTGAACAACGCATAGCTGCAAGCTTCAAAGCCGAAGCACCCAAGGATCCCTCACGCGTCCGCGATCGGGCTCCCTTGGACGTTCAAGCGGAGGCCGCGGGTGTCTGAACTCGCTTGCGATTATGGGCCGTAATGATGCGCAGTACTATACCCCAACAGAATCCCTGTATATTCATGTACGAGGGAACCATCTCAAGAACTACAAAAAGCCCAGTCAGCGCATAATGCGCTACTACGTAGTCCTTTAGGGATAGGTGTTGAAGAGCAGAACCAAAGTTAGCTTTCGCAGGCGGTTTGCGTGCCCTCGAGCTCCTGTCAGAGAGGCTGTTTTTGTGGCCACGAACTTGGGGCATAGTTAACTTGAGCCTTATAATTATACTTAAGCATCCTCAAGCGCTGACAGAGAACCTGGCATCCCGGATCTTCGCGTGTTTTGCATGGAGCTTCTGGTATGCCTAGTATGCGAGGAGCATCCTCCTCGGCAGTCGCGGGTGCGGTGCGTGCAGGCACGAAAAGCTCAGGGGACATCCCAAATTGCTGTCTTTACACCCGAAACGGCGGCTGCTGAAGCCCTTGATGGCTGCGCTTCCTTTGCTAGCTGTCGGGTCTTGCGTGTCCTTCCGGTTTGGGGGTTTGGTTCGAGCTTGAATCTGTTGGTCAGGCGTGCTGCGTGTTCCAGCACGTCACTGCAGTATATAAGGACCCGGGAAATCCCAAGAATGGGTTTCCTAAAGCGGCGACCCCCGACACGTTCAAGCCTTCCCAGAAGCTATACCGAAATATGATCTGCCTCCTTCCAAACGGTCAGGTTGAGTTTGATTGTTATTCTGACTATCTTCCAGATTTCTGGGAAGGCTTGAGAAATTAGGAGTGGACAGGAATCTACAGAAGGGGAGGTTCGGGGAAGTTCGGCCGCTCAGGTGCTTCCGTGTACCCGGCCAAGGGAACGCGCGTTTCCAGGCCTACCCTTCAGCCTACATGTCAGTTTACTTGTCTGACAACAGGTTATGAGCGGCTCCTCAATGCATCTTAGAGGGTATATGAAGCCCTTGCTGGAAGGAGTGAGCACATAGTGCCACACTACGGGAGTTTTAGAACGCAGGGGTACCCAATACTATAAATATCAGAATCCTCTGTATAAGGACGACTGAATGAGGTAGCCCTCTTTGCTGAAATTCCCATATAGCAGATGTGCAGGAGCGGCTGGAGATAGAGCTGACGACACGTTCCAAGTTGCTGCCGGGCACGAAGTTCTAGGCTCAACCCTTGCAAGGATCAGTGAACTTACTGAGCGTAGGTTGTATTTAGGCTTGAAGATGAGACCCCCAATTAGGATATTTATACACCCAGATATTGCTCAGTTGCAAAGTCCGCTGGTCCTGTGAGCAGGTTTATACATTTCAGCCGGCATGAGATCCCTATGGCTTATACGCTTATGTCGGTTACTTGATGTGATGAAATGGTTTAGGGATGGAGGGTTCATTTCTTCGTTCAGGGTCCCATACCCGATCACCGAGAGCAAGTTTTTGGCTGGTGAGATTCACACATCCGGATGATTGTTGTTGGGTTGCCTTTCCGGCTGTGTTCGTGACTGCGGGAAGGGGGCCTTGCAAATGCTTGGGGTGACGGAAGCCGCAAGTACCCGTGCAGAACATACGTCCTAAGAGCCTTGGGGTCCCAATCTAATTTGGCACCGCAGCCTAGTTTTGGACTATTTGCTGCATAGGGCGGTGATCAGGTTCAGACTTTTGATGACCTGCAGCCCTAAGCCCGAAAACCATAGAGGTCTGAAGCCCCTCCAGGTTTCTACCTGACGAGGTTTTTCTCTTAGTCTACATCGGAGGCCCCTTTTGAATCCCAAGCCTATCGAGCTGCGAAGCCTGCAAGCCCTAAACCCTAACCCACAGGGCCAGCAAGGATGTATTCAGGCTCCTTGGCTCTAGGGATTACTTTCCATGCCTGGCCTCTGCAAACAAGCACAGGCCACCCTCAAAGCACAAGATCGCAACACCTATCCGTACACACGCGACATACACGGCAGCCGCTTACCGGCAAACATTTGTGTTTCTATGTATGTGCATGATGCACTTGTGTGCATATGCACATTTTTTTTAAATGCATACGTACATACAGACATACACACATTCATACACATCCACATATTACATGTATGTATATATGTATATATATATATATGTATATATTGTTTTTTATTTACTTGACATATCGAAAACGAGACACTTCACCACCCTATGCCACACTGACAGACCCAAAGTGGCGGTGCCGCCCAAGGCTTCCCAGACGGAATGTCCGTGACTTGGGAGCACCAACTCTTCATGCAGCTCCGATCACTTTCTGCTTGAGGGATTGGCTTGACGGGTTTCGGGGGTTAAGATTTGGCTTAGGATGCGGTTGGCTGTAGGGTTGACATTGCGGGTACCCTTGTTACTAGAAGCACTTCAACCCTACAGCTACATTACGTACCGAGGATCCCTCCAGTAGTTTGTATGGTTTGGAGCTTCATGTTGAGTATTTTCACCAGGCCGGCGTTGTTCTTGTCTCGATCGGTCTTTTTTGGTTTCCAGCCCTGAAGCTCGGGACCAAACTGCCCGGGAAACAAAGAGGCTCGATCAGATACTTGAAGTTCTGCCATCTGCGATTTTATCGCTGCGAAGAAAACGTGTTGAGCGAAGACGCTTGCAATACGCGCTCACTTAGGTAACCAGACTTTCAAATCTGACAAAACATCTTCTATTGTTGGAAGCTTGTCTCTCAGCCATATGCCTCCAACCACATGTGAGAACGAAAGTAATTATATTGCTCAATAACGTTTGGGGCTCTTGGTGTATAGTAGCCATTTGAGCTCCTGTGTTTCGGCTTTCGCTTCGGGACAGCAAAGCAATGAAAAGGATCTAATGACATGACGCAGGGACAGGCACCTTCATCCGAATTCAACATCCTGTAATAAGGTTATGGGTCAGGGTAGTTGATGAAACCTAAACTCCATCGTTGCCTTCGGCGTTTGTGGACGCTCTGCATGCCGACTGTAGTGTCTTATGTCAAGCCCCGGCTGAATCCAGAACAACTGCCAATTCAAGATCTTGCAACGAGCCGCGGCAATTGCTCGGGGCATATGACTTACAGGTCCACTCTTGTTGAAGGGAGCCCTGCGGACCCTCACCAAGCTCTAGATGTCCCCCCGAACTCCAGCGAGTCTGACTTGTCATAGAGCTCCTTTGCATCGCCCCAAGGCTCGTTTCACAAAGTTATATCGTACATTAGGAGCAGCTGCCACCGTCAAGAGGCAGAAGATCAGCATCTGCGGCGTTCCGGGATCTGCGGAAGCCAAAACATCTCAATGACTGATCGCTGGACCGTAGTTTACATGTCGTGTTCATACGCCGGACCTTGCCTGGTATCCATCCGCTCCCTCCCGAACCTACTGTTGTTCTGACAATCTTCAAGCATTCCCCAGCCTTCAGCACAAGTCTGCAGCAATTGGGGATTACATGATTGTGTTTGGCTAGCTCCATGACTATGATAGCCGCCGTTGTCATCATTCTTTGTGGCTTTCTTGCTGTCACTACCGTTGCACCGTGCTTGCTGCGTCCACCGTGATTCGGTGTATACTCTTCATCACACTGTCTCCAAAGCAAATGTCACAATGATGCACGACGCGATTCTGCACACCGGTCGTCGCGGTGTCCTTCGCTTCGGGCCAATGGTCTCGTGAGTTGCTCCAGTGTCGCGCTGCCAATGTTTCCGGACACCGAGGGGGCAAGCTGCTGGGGACGAAGGCTTTCGGAGTTCTAAATCCTCCGTAGGTGTATATATGCCTGTTTCCGTATATTTACAACTCGTATGTGTGCTTATGTGTATATGTGTAGAAAGGTGGCATGCATATATCATATATGTGTATGTGTGCATGCAGAGCTCAACGCCACGTCCAAAGTCGTTCCGAACGGACACGGAAAACGATCTAAGAAGAGGATGACCATGCTAAACCCTAAACTAAACTAAACCCTAAACCGGATGAGCGAACAGTTAGCGCCAGTTAGAAATAGAGAGAAAGGTGGAATGGCTTCCATTTCTTGCGAGGATAGTAACTATAAGGTTTTGGGGTTTGTGGAAGGACACCTCAGTCGACCGACGTATGATGGAAAGTCCCCCACCGTTCCTAGCTGGCGGCCCCTGCAGACTGTCCATGCACGCTTCAGGCCAGATTGCGCCTTTAAACTCAGGACTTGCCGTCTGGATGCGGGTAAACCTTCGTATGCCTGAAACTTATACCTGTCACTCCAAGTACCGATTCTTCCTGTGTTTATTGATACAGGATCCATCGCTTAAAGGTTTAGATATCGATCGTCGGTGAAACTCCAGACCATATAAACCCTTTTTTGCATCTGTCTTGGACTCTCGGAAATCACCCACATGAGACAGCTGCGATCTAATCTGAAAGCCATGCCGAGTCCTGTTTAGGGTGTAGGGTTTCTTCAGCGATCTAGGGTGTAGGGATCCTTGAACCATGACGTCTTCACTGCCCACTGGTGACATGTCGGCGAGAATTCCTCGAACACAGTAATTCGCAAGTATGGCTGCCATTGCTTCTGAGGCACGGCACAGCATCCTAGCACGCAGTTGTCCTGAACAGTCGAAACTGTCAAGCCAAGTTGGTGAGAAATGCAAAATCTCGGCATCTTGGGCCCTAAATCCTGACACTTTCAGTGCTGCAGAGTTCGAGTCGCGAGAGTCCAATGTCCAACGCCTAGGTCCTAAATCTCTCCGACGTCCTACAAAGATCCTAAAGCTCCTCAGTCTTATATGCCCCAAGAGAAGCAAACCCTTCCGGGCATCAAGTCCCTAAAGCTTCCGGCATCGCTTTCTGCGAGGTCGGCTTTTCGGCAGTATCTACCCCTGCCCCCTGCGGCTTAAGGAATTAGGTGCTAGGGCTTGGTGTTGTTATTAAGGTGATTTATCGAATGCTCGTGCTGTCGAAGAGCCTTCCCCCACAACTTACCGCTGGATCCCAGAAACCGGATTCGCGAAAATCCACATGTCTTGAGGACCAAAACCGTCGTGACAAAGGCTAACGGTGTAAGGTTTCCCAAACCCACCATGTATGACGTATCATTCCTAATTAATATAGTTAATAGGGTGCACGTCCTGGCTGCAACATGAAGGTACGTAGCTTGCGAGGTCTACAGGTGTGGTAAACCCCTTACGAAATGCGGCAGAAACAACCTGCAACAAACGTGTTAAACCAGTCAGCCCTAAACACACAAGATTTTTTCCGACAACTGCCGAACAGCCACATGTACCGTTGAGCAACGCCCAGCAAGATTGCAGTGCACTGGGTTGAGCTGTGGGATAGGATGGATTGAGGAATTAGGGTGTGCTTTGTGTTGGGGATGTTTGTCAAACCGGATCTTGCTGTTCAGGTGTTTGTCAGGGTCCGCTGTTGCCTTGGGTTGGGCTAGAGATGGCTTGAGGTAGATTCTCAATTCTCTAACCCTAAGGGTCCATGTGCTCATATAGTATATACATTGGCCTTAATGTAGTCCCTATATAGGTACTTTGGGGCCCATGTAACTCTATATGGGTACATGGACCCTTAGGGTAAGGAAGCTCCTGAGCCTCTCCAATCCCTCCCTGCCGGCCAATACCTACGCTGAAATGCTTATCCCACGATGCCTAAGGATTCGATTAAACGGGTCTGAAGGGACTTTTGTGAATTGGGACCTGATGGTTTTTTAGGTCCTATAGAACACGCAATGAATGAGTTGAATCCTGCTTCATGCGCAACCCAGAGTCTCAGACGCGGCTTATCGAGCTGGACTTGAGACGTTCCAGCTGCGCAGCTCTCTCAGAATCGCTGAACCTCTGTCAAAAAACGGAGGCTGCTGGACATGAGGTCAGCCCAGAGTGCTCTACTTTTGCGTCATTTACGCCTATGACAGTGAAGGTTGTCATCGGATCCGGTAAGCAGCAGAAACCAGCGCAACGACTGCAACATGCATAAGAACAGCCCAGCAGCCGTCGGATGAGTAGCAGAGACGGAAGAACTGCAGCAGTGCGACGCAGTGGTGGTTCTGGCCGTCGTAGTCCGGAGTCGTCAGTGTCCCGTAGTAGCAGCAGCAACCGGAGTGGCGATGGGCGGTGGTGGTAGAGGTGGTGGTGGGCATGGTAGCAGCCGCAGCAGCAGGCAGGCAGAAGCACTGGCAGTTGCAGTTGCATGTTCAGCATTAGCTGCAGTAGATAGCAGCAGGAGGTGTGGTAGTAGCAATAGTAGGGTGTCATTGCTGGGTTGAGGAGTATACATACATACATACGTACATACATACATACATACATATTTATACGTAACATTTAGTAAAATCTAAGTACATTATCTGCATAAATTATGTAAATATAGGTAAATAGACAAGTGTAGATATACACATATGTATCTACATTTACATATGCTTGTATATGTCATGTGTACACGATTATATGCACACACACACACACACGAAACAAAAAACAGCAAGATCGTTAGCTTCACATTCTTCCGGCTCGTCGGCTCAGCTTCCTGGGCCCGCACGCCGTGGTTCCTTCCCCGCCCGCACCAGGGCGCGTGCAGCGAGCCATGGGCGGAGCTCCTCGGAACCAGTTTGGAGGTTCTTTTCAGGGTTCCTTCTAAAGTTCTATTCGGTTTCGGGCTTATTAGTTTAAGGTTTGGGAACATAAGGTTTATGGTTACGATCACGGGTTCAGGGTCTAGGAGTCAGGGTTAGGGTCGGGATGCGCAGGGCCGCGCATTCATACAGGAGACTTGAACTTGACATACTGAAGCCCTGTAAGGAAAGAAGATCTAAACCGATCTACTCTGCCAGCCAAGAGTTGTGACTCGTGGAATGCCTGTCCTCACAAGTCTTGCTACAAGGTCTATTCACGCGAATCCTGTCTGAAAGTCGTTGTTTTCCGCACCGGCGTGACAAAGCACGTCAAGAATGCTAACACACCTGCGCAAGAATGCAAACAGATGACATTCAAGTTTTAATGGAAGCAATGTTTCATCATTACAGCCATTTACAGGTAGGTGCATGTCCGTATACAAGTCCTCAACTAGCACTGACAGTATTATTGTTTGCAATAAACCTTAGCACTGCTAAGCACAAATCAAAACATGGACCGTCGAGTGCTCCTGTGTGCCCAAAGGGATCGGGGACGCATCTGAAGCAAACGTGTGTGCCTGCTCTAAACTAGTCCGAACCCAGGTGTGTATACAAGCGATTCGGGGCCACTTTCTGCAGCAAAACAGCGACGTTCTCTGCGTGTGCCTGCTTTAAACTGTCCTCCTGCCATCCGGAAAATTGGGGTGGATTTTTGGTTACCAAATTCTGCTGATAACAAGTAAAATTTGCATTGGGCCGGGTGCCCATGTACGAGGTCCCCCCATCTTTCTTTGTGTGTGCCTGCTCTCCAAAACCTCCGGGATTCTTGTGCCCACAGCTCCGTGCACCGTGCTGGGAAAGTCCCTGCACCCGGACAGCCTCAGAAGCCCATAGCTCCATCGCAAGGAGAAGAAGGAAAAGATCAAGACCAAGGCCTCCAAGGACGGCAGGGGGGTCAAAGGGCGCTGAGGCTTTGAATGTAGGAGATGTGACTCGGTTTTGGAGTGTAGGCCCAGCAGACTTCCCATCCAAGCCCATGCTGAAAGAGGTCTTCTGCGTCTTTGGTTCGCTTGCGATCATGATGGTCCTTTGGAGCTGCTTGTGTTAGCGGTTTCTCAACAAAGCTATTCTCACAACACTTCTTCGGCGGAGGCACGAACCGGCTGTGACTGAGCACCGCCCATCGCGTGGTTCAGGTTGTTTTTGTTGGGTTTTAGTGCTTGCGAAACAAGGTGCGCAAGGGAGACTATATGGAGTGGCTTGATGCCAATTGAGAATTGGTGTAGTGTCGTGGAGGGTTCGGGGAACATGGTTACTAAGCCTAAACCCAAAAAGCCCTGACGATTGCCGTGAGACCTTGTCAACTGGGCAAGACTCCGACACTCAAACCGGTAAAGCCCAAAACCCTATCCTCGCAAGTGAGAGGAAGCCATGCGCTGGGCCGATGGGGACTCAGAAGGTGGCGATGTCTGGAGTCCGGATTTCTACAATGGACCCAAAAATGACGTTATTCAGTACTACATACGGTAGTTTGTATTCGATCCTCTGTGGGATCGCAGAAAGTGTGGACCCGCAGCACTCTGAATATCACCCTTCACCCTACTGACCGTACTCTTAGCCCTGATTTGTTGAAGCCCTACAGCCCATTACCCCCGAGTTTTTTGCAGCCAGGTCCCATTGAGCGAGGCCCAACGGAGACGGGAAACGACTTCGACATCCGCCGCCTGCTTTGCGAAGGGTTCAAGGTTTCAAAGGTTCAGGGCTTAGGTTGAGGGCTCAAGGTTTAAGGGTTTGGGCCAGCTCAAAGGACCGTGCCAACAAATCCTGCACTTTTTGTCCGCAGTTTCAATATGTTTCAATCGGATGTAGGGGATTCTCGAAGTCTCACTGAGCTTCCCAGAGAAGTCATGAACTGACATGTCCCAGGAATGCAAGAAGAGCCGGATGGAATGTCGCTGCACTGCAGAGACCGCGGGTTCGGGCTTTAATTCGGGTTAAGGCTCGGGATTGCGCTGAGGGGTTCATTTTTCTACGAAGCCCTCATATCTGTTTGTTGTGCTTTCGGCTCACTGAACCAAATTTCGGGCTCGCCGAGCGGCACGCATGACTCCAGAGTGCTCGACGGCCGAGGTTGCAACCTTGCCGAGGCTTATTTAAAGTAGCTGTATACATACACATGTATGTATGTCTATACATGTGTATAGGTAGATATGTCTGTATAGATGGTCGTCTGGCCGATATTTTGACTTGGACCGCAAACCGTAAACACCGACTGTCTTAGACTTAGACCTCAGGGCCTCGCAGCGTTCTGAGGATCTTCTAAACGACCCTTTGTTTCTCTTTCTCTCCCTCCCTTCCTCCCCTCTCTCCCTCTTTCCCTCTCCCCCCTCCCTCCCTCCCTCTCTCTCTCTCTCTCTCTCTCTCTCTCTCTCTCTGTCTCTCTCTCTCTCTCTTTTCGTATTTGTTTTTTGATGTATGTACGCATGTTTGTTTGTCTGTATGTGGCCTGGTGACCCTCAGGCTCGCAGCGGAAAAGATCGTGCAGGTGCTCAAGGCGGCCCAGAGTCGGCCGTGTACGGTGCTTTCGGGGCGTGCGGCCTAGGCCGTTTAGGGGTTTAGGGTTTGGGGGTTTAGGGTTATAGGGTTTAGGGTTGCAGGCTGGATGCAAAAAGTGTTTGGGGGTTTAGGGGGTTTAGGGATTTAGGTTTAGGGGTTGAGGGTTTAGGGTCTAGGCCCAAAGCGCGGTCATGGTTTGGGTTGGCAAAGAAGGCTCTGGGCTTTAGGTTCATGGGTGTGGGGACCTACTGTTTAGCCCTAAGCCCAGATTGATCAAGCCTCTTTGGGAGAGATCAGTTGATTCATTCAGACTAAGAGCTTCGAATGCCAACAGTTTTTGCGATCTGCAAAGAAGCTGGGAACCCCCAGAAAGCGACCCGACCCCTGTTGGCCTGCGAGTCTCTCCTAATGGGTGCAAGAAGCCCAGCTGTCGCCAAGGCTTCCTTTGTTGTGGCTGCTCTACTTCCCGCCCTAGCCATGACTTACAGGAAAGCTGTGACTTTCAAAAGATCCAGACAGTTAGCAGTAAACCCAAGCCCCAAACCTTACAGCAAGACACCATCCCTCGTCCCAAACATCGCCGTCTTTTATGTCTGCAGGAGAAAGGCGTTTGCGTAGTGCAAGCCAACGCTCCTCTCCCGCTGGTGGCAGAGCCGAACACAGACTTTCCATTGATTCGGTTCCTCTCAGTTAAGAGGTCCCTGGTTTGGGTGTTCAGTTCAACGAAGTCGGAATTGTGGGTTGGCGGAAACTCCCACTTGCAGATTCGCATCATCCTGACAGCCGGGCACGTTAGGCTTTGAACTACCCTGAAGCCAAAGCTCGAGCACGGTTGAGGCTAAAGGGCTCCCGAATCTGACTTGAGGAGTACAACTGACTTGGGTGTGGAGGTTCGTCTTCAGCCGACCGTGTCAGCAGACGACGGGATGCATAGTTTGAGGGCATTCATATTTGGAACCAGGATAGTTATATGGAGACTACATGCAAGCACAACTTACATCCTCTAACCGAGGTGTCCAGTGCTTATGAAGAAGCAGAGAGCCTCTGGGAGGAAGGCCTGCCCTCGCTTGTCGAAGCGAGCTTATCTTGGGCTTAGGGTTTAGTGTTCCGGGGCTAATGAGGTTTGGTGCTACCCAGATCTTGCGACATACCGAAGTTGAGGAATGTTCCTTAACTCATGTTCGGAGGCCCATTCCAAAATTAATCGTCATACGGCATACCTGCTCGAATCAGCTAAGCCTGAAACATAAATCGCCATGCCTAAATGCCGAAGCGCTTCACCCTATAGTGGAAGCCGTAAAGATGTAACATCACATAATCTCCGTGCCCTGAAGGTAAAGTATCAAGGATCCTCGCACGAATCATTCTTCCATGTTCCAAATTTTTGAGGTTCGCTGTAAAGCCGTGATAAAACTCCTGCCTCTGGCTGCGGCTGCGCTGGTATTTCGGGTCCCCAAGCCCCGAACCCCACACCCTAAACCCCAAACCCTAAACTCCGAAGCCCGAAACCCCAAACCCTAAACGCCCGGACCCTAAGCCCTGAATCCTGGTCTCTCCGGCGTTCGCCAGGCGAGTTCAAGCCGCCCCTGCGGGTCCACGACGACCGGAGCCTCTTAGAAGCACAACTCTGGCAGCAGGCGCTCCAGGACGGAAGCTTTGGGGTTAGATCCGGATATGCCTCTTCTAGACCCGTAGACCGTAGGCCCTGTTTTTTGGTGACAGATCCGTTGCTAAGATCCTCAAACAGAAATTTCCCAGCCATGAAAGGACTTCAATAGATAGGGCTACTTGAAGGTAGTAGTAATGCCTGTGGAGCGGCAGTCTGATATGTCCAAGGCCTTTTCAGGCTTAGGCATTCGGGTGTACTTGACACTTGGCACTGGGGAGCCGTAGAGCAAGAAGCAGTGGAGGTTTGGATGGGGACAGTCATGGACAACAAATTCAGGGTTTATTTTATAGGGTTTACAAGGTTTAGGAAAGTTTAGGATTGTAGGGGCCCTACCCTACATGCAGATAGATATGGGTATATATGTATATATGTATATTATAGTCGCAGCGCACGGACAGAAAGCAGGTTTCGCTTCAGGGCGGTACATTCACACACTTCCGATCCGTGTTTTCGCAGAATCCCGCCCGAACCGCATCTTAAACTCGTGTCTCCGTCCTGTAGGACTCGTAGGTGAAAACAGGCATTGTTCTCAGGTTTCCGATTATGGTCTTTAGATTCCGAGTGTAGGTATCTTGACCAGGTTCCTTCATGTGTGGTATCCGGCATGTCAGACGAAATCTGACACGGACGAGCCTGGCACAACAACGACATCAACAGCAGCAACAACCGCGGGTCCTGGGCTTGGGCCTACGATTTGGGCTTATGAATGTATCCTGTATGGTGTAGGCTCCCGGACAGGTCTTTTCGGGTTCATGGGCGTCGAGTTCAGGATTCATGCTTCAGGGAGCACCCAAGAGCTGGCTCCGGCAGGACGTCGACAAAGCCGTGTGGATTCGCCCCTCGGCGAGTGCATCTGGGAGTTGACTTGGGTGCAGGGTTTTAGATGATCAGCTAGATGGGGTCATCTTCTTGTGCACAAGTCTGTGGTTTTGTAGCATAGTCTAGCAGACACCCCGCGAAGACTGAACACTTTATTTCCAGAATTTTTGGAATGACCCCAAACTGCGGGTTTGTGAGTTTCTAGCTTGTCTCATCTAACTATCCTAAATAAATGATAGAAAGTTGAGCCGAACATTTGCTGGGAAAGGCCTCTTCATTCAAGTACTGGATCAAGAACTCCATCGAAGAGTAAAGGCTGTACATCCCATGAAATACTTAGCTTAGCCTTTGACTGGGGTGAGACATCCCAAGGAGAGTCAGATTCTAAAGCCATCCAGCTGAAAAACGCGCTGCTACTTGGATGCAAAAGGTGGCGACCACTCGGGATGGTGGTGTTCAGAGCTGTTTGGTTTTACACCGGCGGGCTGTTGACACCTTCAACGGAACGATAATTTCCTGCTTAGTCTCCTTCGTTTTGTTCTTCTCGGTCTTGCTGCGATTAGCTATGCGGAGGAGACCCGTCTCTTTCGAGCTTGGGACATGGCTCGGCATATCAGTTTTTTTCGGGGGGGCCCGGCCAACAAATCAACATGTCCCAGACCAAGCCCTGAAAACCTAAGCTAATCGTCTGACTCTACACCCTAGACTCTACCTAGAGATCCGAACCATAAGAGCCCTAAGCCAAATAGAACAAGGCTTTGGGAGGAAGCTCCAACACAGGAAACCTGCAAAACCCCCCCCCCCCCCCCGAGCCCTATGACGCGACGTGCAAAATCCCTATACACCCCTAGCACAACCCAGGAACCATGATGAACATATACCCACACGGGGACGAATATTATCCATGCCCGTATCGTTCCTGCAAGAATCGTAGCATAATTCCACGAAGCCGCATTGAACTAAGTTTCTCACAGTAGGGTTGCAGGGCTTAGACGAAGGTAAATTGGCATAGACTTCCAAGCACATGCGAGAGGGAAAAAACGCTAAAGCCTAAGCCCTAGGACCCTAGAAAAGACAAATACTAAGAGAGCTAAGGAAACTCTTGGGCCGGAACATGGCCGACTTCTGCGCAGGCATTGCCCAGACTTGAAAAGCCTCTCTAGGGATTTGCAAGGGTTTGTCTGGGTCTCATGGTCTTGAGTCGTGTTGTGTTTTGTCTTAGGGCCGCAGCTTTGGAGCCCGAGCTCTAGTCTCAAGATCTCCGGATTGCTGAGTGTTGCGGCAAAATCGATTGGACCACGACGTCGAACGTCTCCATGACCAGGCCTCGGTCCACTGCTGGAGAAAGAGATCGGAGCAGCTGGGATTTCGTTTGGCGGGGAAGGGAGTGAAGAACCCGTTGAAGTTGTTGGCTTTGTGCGGATTACGTTCGATCCAATGCACCTTCAAACTCTGTTTCTGTTGCTGGCATTACGTAGGCGTCCGAAGCAAATATTTCTCGGGTACTCGTGGCTCAGGGTTGCGCGACTTGGACTTGTAGGTTAGCATCTAGGGCAGCAATGCTTGTCATTATCAGGCATTGGGACCTGAGGGTTGCTATGCAGCAGCAGCAGCAGCAGCAGCAGCAGCAGCAGCAGCAGCAGCAGCAGCCATGGAGTATGTCTCCTATTATTTCTTCGTTTTGTTTTTGAGACGCTGAATATGATAGCGCTTGCTCTGCTGAAGCAACAAAAATGAAGCAAAACCCGAAGTGAGCCAGTGCTTCACCATTCGGCAATGACAGCCTGCTGCAAGCCTAAACTCCAATCCAAATCCTGATCCATCCCGCATAGTGTGAGTGTGCCAGTCAAGACACCTAAACGCTCGGGGCGAAACCCAAACCCATAGATCGTAACCCGACAAAATCCCATAGACGTAAGACCATTGAACCCTATACCCTAACATTGCTTTGGCAAAGAAGGGCAAGCAAAGAGTCAACCACCTCTTTCTTTGCATCAACTGAGCTGTGCGACTACATCCTAGAGCCAATGCTAACAAATTGAATCCTCAGTTCCAGGTCTCCTTCGATCGGCTTGGGCAGCCGCTTCTGACCTGCTATACGGGGGATCGCCAGTACAGTGCTTCTTGGCGTGTCAACCAGTAGAATATGGGGTGTTGGCATTCTGCTGCAATTTTGTGGGGACGACAAGGGGTCCATCTACTAGACACTTAAGCTCCAAGAAAGACCGCCACTGAGTAATCTCAGGGACAGGACGGCCTTGATTCCTGAGGTCCACATTGACAACCCCCACAACGGAGACGATGCAGGGCTGCCTGACAACGGCATGCGCTCCTTGGAAGATTAGGAGCCCAGGCCTAGACCTGAGCAATTGATTCGTCGTCTACGCAACTTGTTCTATGGGTTGTTACAACCGCAGACTATATGACAGGCTTGAGGATTTTAGGTAACACAAACCATGACAACATTCGGGGGTCGTGAGTATTCTTACATTCTATCAGAGTTCCACCTATGGGCACACACGGGATCTTGATCGCCCAAGGACCAAAACATCAAACGGTGGATCCCTTGTTGCCGACCCAATCCCAGAACCGCCCTAAAGCCAGGATGTGTGACACATGCAGACGGCACCATAGACGCTACATCTAAACCCTGCCTCAACCCTGACATTTGACGAAGTCGGGAAAAGAGCACCGAAGGACGCAGTGTATGGGCCAAGGGGTCCCTGCTTGACTGTTCGGAAGTATGGCTTTACCCTAAAACCCCCTAAACCGTAAATCCCGACTGTTCCGGGTCGTTCAAAACACCCGACTGTTCCGGTTGAGATTTTGTGGATTAGTCGGAAAAGGGAGCCCCCCCCAAAAAAACCTGCCTGCTCAGAGCTTTGGCTTTACACCCGCAAAGGGAGCATTAACCTTGCAATTGGGCCGGGCTTTCCAGAGCTCCTTCCTATGATTGGCATCAGCACACATATAATAAGCAAGCAAGACAGCATGAGCATCATCATTCTTGCGACTTTCTATTAACATTGGCATCCTTTCTGCTATTCCTTTTGTTCTTAGTATTCTTGTTTCAGGAATCTCCCTTCATCAGAAGGCTCACAGGTCTCAAGAATCACGGACCCTGGGCCCCTCGGAGTTGACAGGGCCTCTGTCTGTTACCTCAAACCCTGAAGGGTTGATGTTTCGAGTTTAGGGACCTTACCCTATCCCTCCAAGGACCTCATAGTTAGGGCACTATAGACCCCTTAAGGACCCCAGAATAAGGTCCCTGGAGGCATAGGGCTTAAACCCGAAGATTGAAGACCCGCAAGCTGGGCCCGAAAAGCTAGAGCCAAGGGCTCTCCTGCGCGTACTACCTCAACACGAACTGGGATCCGGAGTCGGGGGAACAGGCTTCTTGGTGGCTTAAGGACTTAGTTAGGGGCTTTTAGAAGGGTTCTTCAAGCATTCGGGTTCTTCAAGGACTCTACAAGGAGTTTGGGGGTTTATTAGAGTTTGGGGCAGGCTGCGGGGTTTAGGGGGGCAGGGTTGAGGATGTAGGGCTCAGGACATTGGTTTTCGGGCTCGTCGGAGTTGGGAGAGCCCAAATCCTAAACGCACTCGACATGCCGGAGCCAAAAAAAATTCTAGACATAGACTCGGGAGGTCGCGACAAGTGGTGTTTACAAGAATGTCCCGATATAATTCCCCGTCGATAGATTCTATGTCATAGTATATACTCCACAACCCTGTTTTCCTCATTACAGCTCCTGTTTTAAGTGCCAGTGACAGGGCGGCCTGGACATCTTCCTCTCCGATCCCAGCGTGGCGGTTGCGCCCAGCGCAGCGCGGAAGCAGCCGCGGCTAAGGCCGGAAGCTTCTGATGTTCTTGTTCAGGAGTTTCGAGGAGTCCCTTAAAAGGGTTTCCATAAATGCGACGCCCCTCAACCGTAAACCCTTAGAGGGTTTCATGCATGTTACCGCAAGGGATACTCTGGGGTTTAGTGCTGCGAGGTTTTGGAGCTGTAGCGTTCAGGGATGGCTCGTTTGGCTCGTAGCTCCCAAAGACTAGCTATATACTTGAATTGAAAAGTTGAGCTTTGCTCTTTACATGGTTTTGGGATTCCTGTGTGCAGGGTCTTGGAATTCGGATCGGAATTTCAGGTCTTTGACTTTGATGTTTAGGTTTGAGGTCAGGACGTCATGGCCCACTCTCACAGGCCTTCAAGAGGCCCGAACAGAGGAACATGTGTGGCACTACTTGCTTAAGCTGTTCTGTTTGCGTAGGCCATAGCCCCGGCCGATGCAGCTGTAGCTGCGGCTATTAGGCTATGGAGTCCTTGTTCATTCATACGTGATGAACCTTGCGATTGGCATAGCCCAAGCAATCAAACCCAAAGCCTATAAGCCCAAAGCGCTCTGCTGCCCGAAGTCCAAAATCCCCTGAGTCCCATTCTAAGTTCAGATAAACTATATCAACACTGCCGCACGCCTCTCTTCGGAGTGCCCCTGCATCTGTAAGTCCCTGAGTTTCGGTCCATCTTTGGTTTCTCGGAAGGTTTGACAGGACCCTTAATAGGACCCCGGCATAGTGACGTCTTCCCATCGCGCAGGGTGGCCCCGCATGCCGACACGCTGATTTTGCATCTAGCAGATCGCACTCTGACCTGATTTGTCCTCTGAGGTTGGGGTAGGGCTGAAGGGACAGCCCGCCGAGTCCTGAACCCAACCCTTACGAGCCCCACTCGGCCAAACACCCATAGAAACCAAGCCTACATGTTGCTGCGGAAGCCTATGAGCTCTCCAGTGCCTCAATGCTGCCCTTTCCAATCCGGTCGAACGGCTGAACCCAAAAAGACTCAAAAATTATACCCTATCTCTACATGCCTTTGAAGCGCCGCAGTGCAACCCAGACCTTGCATTCCTGGTCCTGTTCGATAACAATTGCCTTGCAAGCTCGGGTTTGAGGGTTTGTTTTTGTTCAATAGAAAATTCGGCTCTTGGATGAGAAGGATGTTGGACTCGAGGGGGCCGAGCCACCCCAGTGCTAACGAGTTGCTCTGCCGCCACTTGAAGACAGTATCCAAAGGTCTCCGGTCCTAAACCCTATAAGCCTTACTGTAGACTCCACCCCCCCGGCCCCTCAAAACACAACACGAAAGCAAACGCTTTTCTTCGAGTTTGTACTCCAAGGGCTTCAGCTCTCACCACGGAATCAACTGCATTAACTCTCGACCTAGCCTTGAAGCCTGAGATGAGACTGAGGGTTTAGGGCTTGGGGCTTCGAGTCTATATGGGCTTGGGCTGAGAACTCTTGTTTCTCGGCAGGGGTAAGAAGACCGCCCGAGATAGTTGCTCCCTTTGGCATCTTTGGCCTTCCAACTCTGCAAAGGCATGGCCCACCGCGTGATCCCAACGCAAGGTATCGAGGACACGCAACGGGCGTTGTTTTTTGTTTACTTCTTCGAGTCTCCTGGCTCCTTGCTTAGTGTAGAAGCCTTCAGTCCCAAGTCTTAAGAGCCCTACAGCACTACAACTTACATCAGGAACCAGAAGCCAAAACCCTAAAGCCCAGAGGCCCTCAGGAGGGAGAACGACCCACGACCCCAGAGGTCTGCTGCCTTGGCCCTTGGAAGCCACGCGGATGTAACCTGCGACCCATGCAACGCAGCACTTCAGCCCATATAACACCCCAGAGATACCCCAGAGTGCGTATTACAAAGACAGCAGGCGGTTTGGTGGATGTGAGGTGTTAATCATCGTTGGTTGAGGCTCATGGTTATGAATTATAAACCGTGATCGGTATCGTGAAGCTGAGGCCAGCATTCTAGCTAGCATTTTGTAGTTGAGTAGACACTGTCCTGTGCTCAACTAAGCCCTCGTCAGAGCTTGCAATACACTACCGGATGACTCTCCCGAATCATGGGAGCAAATCTCAAAAGCTAGACCTGAAACTGCCCTCTGAAGTACAACGCTCTTATGCCCCAAAATCTGATTTCCTCACCCCAGACCATCCTATACCGACTTCCTCAGCCCAGAACCTCCAACCTTTCATCCCGAAACCGGGGCCTAACCCTAAACCCTACAGATCCGAATACATCTTCTTATCAAACCCTTTTAAAGGAAACCTAAACCCTTATTTATTCCAAAAATCCTCTAAGCTCTAAACCCTAAACCCAAACTATCCCAAGCTCCTTAGCAGCACGTCGACCCCCGAGTTTTCCAGGAGAGATGGTACGCTTTGCAACTCTGGGGGCTGCATGGGGAGTCCATGCAGCAGATGTCCAGGCACCGTCCCGAGGGCTTGCGGAGCTTAGCGTTTAGCTGGACCCAAAACTACGTAGAATAATAGCCATGTGCAGGCTGTGAGCCATTTCTTTTACCATTTTTTGTTTGGTGGGTTGGGTAGGTGCAATGGGAAGAGGGACCTTTTTGGGGTACCTTTGGCTCGCGTGAAGGTCTGCTCGAGACCATTCTTGGTGTTGTCGCTTCCCTTCAGCCTGGGTTACCCAAATATTGTGAGCATATCATATACATATATAGATGCATATACTTGTCAAAGCAGATGCATATATATATATATATACATATACATATATATATATATATATATATATATATATATATATATATATATATATATATATATATATGTATATATATATGTATATATTGTATGTGCATATTTATATATGTAGATATATGTGCACTTTCATAAAGCATTACATCCAGTGCTTTGCTTGAGAAGTTTAAACCTGCCTATATATGCCGAACCAGGAAGCTGCTAGCCATGCGGCAACCGGCGAAAGCCGAGTCTGACGACGAGGACTCAAACTTTGATCCCGGAAACCAAACCAACTTTCTGTAGATCCTTGGTGAGGGTCTAGGGCGTAGGGTAAACCCTGCTCTTTAGGGGCCTTACCAGTTACGATCCCCATTACAGCCTTGATTACGGGAGTGGGTTCCTGAATCAGGGGTCTTTATACAGCCTTATGAAGTCCGCATGGAGCCCGCTATATACAAAGACAAAGACCTTACGCAACCCCAAAACCCTAGACCAGTCCGAAAACGCGACCTTCGACCCTAAACCCCTAAACCCCCAAACCCTAACGGACAAGGACTGACTGGCGCGAGCCTGCAGGCGGCTGGGCAAGCTAGAGAGCCAGGATTTCTTAAAGTCCTTGGATTTTTTCATTTTTGGTCATTATAATCCCGAAGAAACAGCTAAAATTAACATTTTTTGCTTAGGGTTCTAAGTTCAGTATAGGTTTGGAGGGTTTAGGGTTTATAAGTCCCTATAAGATGCATAGCCCAGGTGTAAAAGGGTTTACAGACTGAGCTTAAAATAGGCGCCTTGGTACTTCCGGCCTTGTCTGCAACCCTTGCCTGGCATTGTCCGAGTGTGAGCGTCAATCATCTTTAGAATAGGGTGTTGGGTACAGTCTTCTTGTAGTAAGGAGTTCGATTCTAACGAATCCTGGTCGTGGCTGTGGCTTCAGTTTATGGTGTAGGTGTCGGTTTAAGGTTTAAAAACCACGTGAACTTGTTGGTGTTATAGTTTTTGTTGGTGAAACCATAACATACCATCTTCGAGGCTTTGGGGTTTAAGCCCAGAACTCTAAACCCGCCCCCGGGTGTAATTCAGCTTCATGTTGAAGCGGCAGGCTTCAGTGCCCCACCGAAACCCGAGTCGTACGAGCACATGTAGACACATACACACATACATGTATGCATGTGTGAAAGCATGAATGCATGTACGTTTTTGTTTAATGTCTGTGTGCATGTATAGGTGCATGGATGTGTGTATGTGTGTGTATGTGTGTATGTATGTATGTACGTACGTATGTATGTATGTGTGTGCATTTGTATGCATGTACGTATGTATGTATGTATGTATGTATGTATGCTGCTACATTTTTGTCAAATCATATTCAGATAGTCAATACAGACAGGTAAACAGAGGGACCAATACAAATATGTACTTAGATTGATCGATGCATACATTGACTTCGCGATTTCCCAACAAAGCTTCTTGCTAAAGCCAGAGTGCACGGATCATTCTAGGGTTTGCAGTCTTTACAGTTTAGGGTTGCGTCTGAGGTTTGGGATTTCACGAGGTTCACGGGGCACCTAAGCTGGCTGAATGCGGAACGGTTCAAAGTCATTTCGACATCAATTAAGTAGTGGCCCAAAGCACTGCGAAACAGGGGTTTGGCTCGAACATCGGGTGACCCTACCGGACTGTGTGCGGAGCCAAGGTGTGGATTTGCCAGCAGTCGGTCGGCGAAAAGACAAGCCAGCGGAGTGCAAAAAAGCATCACTTCTGGCTACGTTCTGATGGGAAGGGTGTTCCGAATGCTTTGGCTCAACAGATACAGTCGCAACTGGAGGGTTTCTGGACTTGAAATTAAAAAGTTCTGGCTCATCCCCTATCTGCCCTATCTGAAGATGGACACTGCAAATCTTGAGCCCTAAACCAGCCAGGCCCAGACCGATGGGCAGGCACAACTGTGCCAACACGAGTTGCCTAAGCATTCAAACAGTCACTAAATAAGATTAGCCTAGGTTTGCGTTACATTAGTCAACACATACTCCCTTAAGTCAGGATTGTATTGGTTCATGAAAGGGCAAACCAAAAATAATCAAATGGAGGACGTGCTAAGATCAAGCAGTAACCAAACTTGTCCAACACATGAATGTACGTATACCTGCGTCGGTGTATGTAGCTATGTAAAGCTGTACATTGAAATACTCAGCAATATCGGAGGGAAGAAATGCTGTGATGGATTTTGCTGTTATGCAGTTATGCTGCTAGCAATTACAAGTTATTTTCCCTGTTCCAGCCTCTCTGTTAATCAACAACACAGCTTCAATTGCTGCCCGTGATTATAGGTTTATACCACCTACCTGGATACAAGCATGTTGTATTTAGCCGTCTTTTCTCTTCTTTGTATTGTTCGTCCGTATAATGTGGGTCCGCACCCCACCCGCTCCAACCCAGCCCAATACCTCAGAGCCACCACTCCAAACCTTCATGACTAAGCCTACTTTTGGCGACCCCGGAAAGCTGAGCACAACCACCAAAAGGCTGCCTCTGGCTCCCGGACTGACGCCATGCGCCGGTTCGTTTTCCTCCTTTGTTATGCCGTTGGCGGCCGCAGTGTGTCGCGAAGCTACAGCGGTGGCACCGTAGCCGCTGAGTTTGGTCAAGTAGTCAAACTTAAAACGCGAAGCAGGCCTTACTTCGTGAAACCCTGACGTATTGTGTGCTTGGGAACGGAAACCTGGCGGGGTAATCAACATATGTTCAGTGTTCACTGAGTCTCTAGTGAACTCGCGCATTGCAGAGAGGATGTCTCTAATATACCTGTCACTGACTTCCGGTTTCATTTTCTTGTGAGGATGAGCGCATGACACCCCCAAAAGTGCACCGAACCAGTTCGTTCTGCCCTCGCCTTCTTTTTGTTGAACGAGTCTCACGTTTATGCTGCAAAGCTCTGTAGGGGCTTGCTGATTTGGCACCGAGGACATGAGCGGAATTCTGCGTTGGGAAGCCGATGAAGTCGGCGCTTTGTGTAGCCCTGCTGAATCCCTGGCACCCTCGCAGTACCCCGTCATTTCACGTAGCTTATATATATATATAGATTGCCCTGAGTCAATACTTTGGGGTTTACGGTCTATGGCTGTCGGTTCAGGGTTTCAAACTTCATGAGCAACGTCAAACGCCAATACGGATCATCAACGGGGGACCCGTTAGTCAAGGGATAGTGGAGACATTGAAACGTACATTAAAAGCCTGGTGTACATTCATAGCTCGGATATCCGATCTCCCGGGTTTCCATCAAGTGGGCCCAAGGCGATGAGTCAATTCTTCCCAAGATAAACTGCGACACTCGGCCATGGCTTTTGAGGGTTCAAGATTCAGAGTGTAGAACTTATACTGTTGGGGCTGAGGGCCTAGGAGCATTAGTATTAGGGTTTGAGGATTTAGAAATCGGGTTGTGAGGAGGGTGTAGGACGTTTAATTAATTCGAAGGTTTGTCATCACATGTCGAAGAATCCCAAGTTGCTTTCCGGAGTAGATTGCTGCAAAAAGCACTTGGCGGCGGTGGGGGGTACGCCCACCACCCAACGGAGGAACCCCTATCACATAACATGTCCGCGCATGCAACTTTCTAGTTGCAACAACCCACCATGCAAGTGACAGGTTTTCAACATCCGCTTGGCGGCTCCTGGTCTAAGTAGTGCGTGACCTAGGCTTTCGGTTTTGATAGGAGGATAGGGTTGAGGGGTGAGGGCGCAACGAAGGAGACATTTTGCGTTCCGACCGAGGCTACACACTCACAGGTTGGAGCCAGCTTTTATTCGAGCACGATCCGGCAGGGCAGACATATTACAAACGCCATGTGAAGTGTTGGAATTATTTTCACACCACCGGTTTCAGCTAGTTTGTACGAGCTTAGGTATTCGACAGTGTCCAATACGAGTGTTCTGACCATTGAGGCTTGAATGGTCTATGGAGGGCATTACATGCGTTTTTTTTGGCACTGACTGTGAGGGAGTGAGGGACTCTTCCCACGTCTGAATCGTGGTATACTTTGTTGTCATGTCTTGCACCAGAGCTTAGGACATTAGGATTTAGAGCTTCGGGTTTAGGGAAGCATGTGGACCCAGAAGTTCGACTGACGGTATCTCTCACAATCCATCCGACATTCCCTGAGCTTGAAAAACCTTGGAGACCCTGGGACGGGAAGCTAGCTTCTCAAAATAAGGCCAAAACACAGAGTCCGAGTTGCAACAATCCACAGGCAAAACCCTGATTCCTAAACCCGAAAGTCATGTCTGTGCTTCTCCCGATGGGGACTTTGGGGTTTAGGCTTGAGGCGCGTAGGCGTGACTCAGTGCGAGTGTGGGTGAGAGTGATGAGAGCAGCGAAAGGCCACGAGCCCCGAAGCTTGTTGAGCTTGAAGGGTGTTTCTTCAAAACAGGATTCATTTCCAGGTGGCTTCTGTTGTTCTGTGCACATTTTCTGAAATACCCTTGTCCAGGAGAACAATCTGTGGCAACAGCTTCTGACTTTGCTTTGCCGCCACTGCTCCCGTAATCGCTGTGCCGCTTGGCGAAAACAACAAGAAGACGGAGTCTTCCAGCAACCTGCAAATTGTAAGTGCTTCGCACCAACTCCCGAAACCAAGCCGCCGTTTGCCCAAAGTCAACAACTTGTGTAAACCCTATAAGGCCCTATAGCACCTACATCTTTAAGTTTGAAGACCTATGCAGGTGGTGAACAACCTAAACCGCAAAATCGAAAACTAATAAAACTCGAAAGTCTTTAGCGAGTTTTCCCGCAGAAGCCGAAGAGGTCAGCGATCCCGAGCTAGAGAAGGCTCGGCTTTTGCTCCGTGTTGGGTCTTCGGGGCTTATACTGGTTCGAGATTAAGGTTTTGTAGCTTTGAGATGTGAGGATTAGGGTTTTAGGATGTTGAAGGCTTCGGGTGTGCCAGCTTTACGTGGTCTATGTTGCCTAAGCTGAGCCTAAGCCTTGTTATAAGGGTTAGGGTGAACGGGCGATGATTACAGCAAGGGTTGCTTTTCGGGTTGCCCCAAACGGGGGTGCAAACGACGAAACACCATCGAGGGCTCTTTCCGGCTGTGGGGCAGGACATTTGGTTTACGATTGGTCGAGGCCGGAAAACCGATCAGGGTTCTGGGAGACCTCTTGAAGAGGTGGCGCGGATGGCGATTAGACTATACGTCACAATGGTGGAGCGCGGTCAGGACAGACATCCGGAATGCTCTAAACCCATACCGCTTTGGGGTGCGAGGCTAGGGTTTTTCAGACTTATGATCTGATCTTCTGGGCTTATACGAATTTGGCAGGGGTATGCCGGGCGCGGCCCCAAAAGCCTAAATGGGCAGTACGGCGTTAAGATTGAAAGTCAAAGCACAAACCCTGAACCCAACCGACCAAACTTTAATTGAGTTCTTTCCAGAGAGCTTGCAGCTTTAGGTTCGGGTGTGTTCAGGGTTGCGGGTTTAACGTTCCGAAATTCGCAACTTTCGATGTTGGAGCTCAAATTCAACTTTAGACGTTATAACCCCCTTTCCCACAAACCTGACGCCTGGCTTGCTAGGTAGGATGGCAAAAGTTTCCCCGATCCCCTCGATACCGTAAAGCCCTATGCCTATACACTAATCCTTATATCATTTGAACCCTAAGCCCTATAAACCGTATACAGACCCCAAACTTTAACCCGACATCCTCAACCCTGCAATGCGGGCTCGTCCTAGCTAGGTGGGAGGTAAAAGAAGCCCCTCCCAAAGCCTGGAAGCCTCGGCCCTAGATGCGGAAACAGCTCGAGTCAGGACACCCAGTCCCAAAATGGCGGTTTGCAACACTGCCCTCGTTGCTGAGTTCCTTTTCCGTAGCCTTGCCTTTAGAGTATATTGAGTCCTAACTACACCGCGGCTGAAGGAGAGAGAGGACAGCTTGTGTGAAGGTGAGGTCTACCCCTAAAGAAGTCATGCAAGGCTGCAGGGCCTTGACATAACTACAGGCCCTTATGATAACTGCCATTGCATAAGTGCAAGAATCCAAGAAGCCGTGTTTGCCTTTTTCCTTGAACGGGCTTTAAAAAGCTTCAACGCCTATACCGCCTATACCCCTGACCCTTCAACCTCTAAAGCCTAAACCCCTAAATCTCCAAAGCTTAAACTCCTAAAAGCCCGCAACCCTAAAATCCCTGAATAAACCCGAAACCTCTGAAGCCTAAAGCCCTGAACCCCAAAGCCATCGTTTTTTTACAGGAGGACTTGGGAGAGACCTTTGCCTGCAAGCATGGCCTTTTCGCTGCATTGCTCTTCCACTCTGAGCCGCTAAGCGGCGTTCAAAGCGCGATTTCCATGCGGGGTTCAGGGTTACAAGGGTTTAGGGTTTAGGGGTTATATATGATGAGGGGATTCTGGGTTCAAGGATTTTTTGGGGGGTTGCAGGGATACGGGTTTGTTGCGTCCATGGTTTCAGGGTTAACGGACTTTGGGATTCGGTGATTAGTGTCTTGGAATGGCGAAGAAAGTATATAGACATAAGGCTGCAGAAAGAACAGTGCAAGACATACCCAGCAAGGGGCATTCGAGAGGCGAGCACAGGCAATGCGTGGCCGAGCCCCCTCCAATTACTACAAGCACGCACCCTTCATCTAGGACCTGGGGTAGGCCCTTACTCCCTTATTTTAGGTTTCAGGTTCCCTCATAAGCCCCTTTAAACCAAAAAGGCGAGACTCTTGATGATGGCACCGCAGAGAGAGGGAGAAACCCAAAAGGGCACCCTTTTATTTCTTGGTTACTCTTGGGTTTGGTCATTCCTGAGCACTGAGAGATGAAGACCATTAGGATGTTCGAGTGGCTTTCCTGGTTGCAGAATAGTTCTGTAGGAGCCGGATTAAGGAACCCTGGGCCTACAACCCCCAAATAGTAGGCTTCATAGAAGGAACCTTAATAAAGGCCCAAGGTTTCTTGATCAGGTTCCTACATTACGTCTTGCAAGTTGCACGGCATCCACATCTTTGTCCTCCCAACATTTGTTCACATGCTTCGCAGTCCTCTCGGTACGTGTGGTAGATAGAATGTTGGCCATCCACGGAGATATTGCCCAGGAAGCAGTGTTCTGACTTGGATTTGAAGGTTGGCTCTTGCCACTTCACCCGTTGTTCAGGATGGAAGCTCGGAGCTGGTGTTACCACTTTCCCGGGGCTGCAAGTGGCTTTATACAGTCACCACCGGTACTGCACGTATACAGCAAGGAAGCCTCGAAACCGATCGTTCGTCAGCCATCGAACCAGGAAGTACCTGCAGAGATCATACTTACTGGTTGCGCTGTTTGCTATGCTTAGCAACTACCCGGGGCGCCTCAAAACCTTGCCAAAGCCGTGCCGTAAAACTTCAATCCTAGCCCCCAGGCTCTACTGTACAACTTCAAGCCTAAAGCCTCAAGCTCCAAGCCTAAATTCTGAATCCGAAGCCACCTCTGTCGCAGGCATGTGCCGGTGGAGTTCCGGCACCCACACGTGCAGGTGGAGGCATCATCTTGACGGCATCGAAATTCCTGTAAAGATTGTACTAGGCCAGAAGTAATTAAACTTCTCCGCGTGCAGTCCGCATATCGTTGTGCCGCAACATACGATCGGGCTGAGTGTTTGGAGGCATAGCGCTACATATGCGAAGTGCAAGCTCTCCAAGATAATTGCCTCGCCCGCTGACGATGAAATCCCCGAAGTCCTCCAAGAACCTAACACCAGAAGGACATGTAGGTGGGCTTGGACTGTCGAGGGTCGGATAGTGCTTCCAGGAGTTGGTGTTGTCGGGCAAATTTTAGGGTTTAGGGCGGTTTGGGGTGTAGGGTTCAGGGAATGTGGATGTTGAGTTGAGTTCAAAAGCACGGTACAGGTAATACACATTAAGCCATCAGAAGCAAGGATCCATTTCAAATGACTTTTCTTATCGCAGAGAACACGCGGCAAATGCAAAGAACTACATTCCAAGACCTCGTAACCTGCTACTTGCACAGGTGCTTCGCCCGCCCGACTCTTGCCTGGAAGAGTTTTCTGGGGTACTCACAGGGTTTACTGCTTGGGCCCTGGCTGTAGATACACGGGGGCCTGAGAGACAAGACTGCTATGTATATAGTTGACCGGGCTTCGGATTTATGCCAGTTTTCCATTTTTCAACAGGCGAGAAGGATTCCGAGAGTTCTCAAGATCTCTGCGTTTTAGGGTTTTCCGAAAGCACCCGGGGGTTCTCTGAATGATTCGAATTTCGAGAACTAGCCATGCAATAGGATAGGCTCCTGCGGAGCGATCTTATACATAGCAACCCAACAGTATTCACAGTCTTAAGGCAGTTCTCCAAATTCGGGCCCTTTTGGCGGTATTTTTCATTTGTTTGGTTGCAGAACTGACCCTTAATGTAGCACCGCTTAGAAGGAGACCATCGAGTTCGAGGTCAGCATGGAAGAGATCCAATCCAAGCCGGCCATCATGGAGGGCCCCAGGGTTCCATCTCTTGGGATTCGATGGGTTTTGGGTGTGAGGTTTTTGCCGATGTAGGGCTTCAGATGGGTTTTATAGGTGCCATCATATAAGTGCCATCATATAAGTATACATGCGGCGGGTATAAGGATTTACGAATAGGCAGTGCCAATATTTCCGTGTAGTTCATGTATGTTTGAAATGTACGATCTGTCCCAACATCGATTTCCAATTGCTAAGGCTGCAGTATGACCTCGAGCTACATTCAGATTTCATGTCTAGGGTCTGATGCATCTGGTTTCCCTTGCAAAGTCTTGAGCTCATGGTGTTTAGGGTTTACTGACTTAAGTGTGTATCGTGCTTGGCATGCAGGGTTAAGGGATCCTTGTGAAGCGCAATGAAGCCCCGATTCAGTTCAGGGCTACCGGGGGAGATCTCGGCCTCGGAAGGGTTTGGGGTTTGTGGTGTAGATAGGGTCCAAGGAGGTTGGTGTTGACTATAGTTGCCTACAGATTGTGAATAAAAGGCGAAGGCATGACGTGACGAGTCAGCGAGGCTCCTAGATTGAACGCAAAACCAAACACTTCCAAGATTGTGCACCTTCGAAACCTTAAACCGAAAGCAGATGCCCGCTAGACTACAAGCCGTAAGCCATAATTCCCTGAGCCCCACACCAAAACCTCAAAATCCTGCGCCCAAAACCTTTGAGGAGCTTTATCTGCGAAAGTTTGATGTTCCCAGCGCTGCAGTGGACACGACACGCCTGGAGGCTTATGGGATTGGACCGGCACGTCGAAGCTCTTGTGCTTGGGGTGTAGGGTTGGCAGCCTGAATATTTCACTGTAGCAATTCTCAGATTCGGACAACTCCAAAACCGTAGACCCTAAATTGCTTTTAGATTCCTAAATGAGGTTATAGTTATAGCAAGAAGGGTTTTTGAGTTCTGGGCTGGGTGGTTGCGAATGAAATTGATCGAAGTGGCCATAATGGCGATAGAAGCAGGGTGAGACAAAGTTCCACAGCAAGCCTGGTGGCGAGTTGAGGACTCACTGGCGAAGGGTTCTAGATTCAGGATCTCTCGATCTCTTGCTCAATCTTTTGGTGTTTGGGGGATCATGACCTCAGGATTCGAGGTGGAGGAAGCCCGATACAGAACGTTTGGACAAGCCAACCCAATGTCTAGCTGTGGATGCAGGCCTCTC